AGGAACAAACTGCCCATTTATGGTAGACCAATAACTCTTGCTGCAGTGTGCAAGCCCAACCTCGATTAGAACTAAGTCCGTGATTCACGTACATTGTCCCAGTAAATTTCAGTGAGCCAGACATTTTTGGAATCTCACGCTTTTTGCTGCTCACGTGTTTCTCACCTCTTGCTGGCTAGCACAGCGTTAGAACAGGCGTACACTTCTCCCAGGTCAGCAAATGTACGTCCGGTAACCCATGTCAGAAGTCTAGATTTTGGCCAATATATATAAAAAAAAGCTCAACAACTTTTTCACTTCTGGGTTTTCACTTTTTGAAATATAGCAACCCTAAATTGCTTTCTTTTCCTATGGTTGGTGCCCCGCAGAAGACTCCCCTTTCCAAATCATCGTCTTCAAGTAGGATTAAAAAAAGCTCGCTCATGCCATCTAGAGGCCACAGAGTGCTAGTGGGCACAAGAAGGTATCCTCCTCACATAAGCACATAGTTAAACCATGGAATCCGCTCACAAAAGAGGCAGTGATGGCCAGCAAACATTTAAAGCACATTCAAAGCACGTTACTTCATGCAAAGAATCCTGGAACCTGTAGTTTACCCAGCACAGAGCTGAATTCCTAGCACCCTCAACAAACTACACAGGATTCTTTGCATGGAGTAATGTGCTTTAAAATATGCAGGGGACTCAGCCTTGGATTGCTTTAATAGGAGAACAGACAAATTCATGGGTTCTAAATACCAGTTGCTGGGAACCACAAGCAGAGAGAGCGCTCTTACGCTCAGGTCCTGCTTTTGAGCTCCCCAGAGGCATCTAGTGGACCACTGTGAAAGCAGGCTTCTGGGCTAGACCTAGACTTTGGGGCATGACCTAGCTTCAGGGCTCTTTTAATGGTATTTTGAGTCAACTTACGTTGGGGAAAACATGGAGACCACCAGACGGTAAGCCCTCCACCCTAAACCAGAGGGGGCTTCTGCAGTGTATTGCATTGCATTGTATGAAGCTAAAGCCGAAAAAGTTTCCAAGAGTGTCTTGCAAATATCAGTGATAGGATCACCCTGTCCTCAGGCTTGCAATAAAAATTAATGACACAAAAGGAAAGGGGGGGTGAAGAAGGAGTGGGGGAAGGAGCTCAGTTGAGTTTTTGTACAGTCAGATGGTGTGGAATGGGTTCGAGGAGAGGAGACAAAAGAGGCTGATCTGTTGGCTGTGGAGACCCCATGGTTTTGTCTCTCACTCTGCTTTAGCCTGGTGGAATAGTTCAAAGGAATTTTCAAAGGAATTTTATTCATTCTTGTCTCCATTACGGTATGCATTATATTTGTGTGTTACAGACTCCCATGTCTGCCTATGTGTACTGCTTCACTTGTGAATAGTCTTAAGAGACCTGTCATGCAAGTCCCTCTTCAGGTTTACATAAAACCATCCAGCTGCAACATCCGGGAAGAGTGGATAGCAGGTTGTAAAGTGGGACATCAATTTTAGTTAAAATTATAGCCCCAGAGGAAGGGATTGTTATAATAATTTTAACGTGCGCACACATAGCAGGCCACATTCCACAGAAAACCAATCCTCCACTCTTCAAAATTAGGAAATATTCCCTGAAAAAAATACATTTTGTTTTAGTACAGAGGGCAATTCCGAAGCCATCTTGACTCTCTTAATGACCCCAAATATTTCCTCTGCAGTAGAAGAAAGTATATTGGAAAAACCTTTCCCAATAGTTCTTCTTTTCACTTGCAAAATCCTTCAAGGTCCTGTACTCACAGGTCTGGGACAATGGCTTCAAGAACCAGAGTATTTCCCATTTTGAAAGACTGGCCAGGATAAGGCAATTAGCAAGCATTATCATGTATAGGCAAACAAGAGACAAGCCACACTCTCAAATTTTTTGGTGGTCTTTGGCTATGGCAGGGGTCTGCAACCCGCGGCTCCGGAGCCACATGTGGCTCTTTTACACCTTTGCCGCAGCTCCGGGGCGGATACTAGCGAGGGGAGGAGGCGCATTGTGCGCCCCGACACTCCCCACTGTGGCAGGCGCTGTACTGGCTGTGACGTTGCATGGGGGCGGTGCGTGCGTTAGTCACGCACTGTCCCGACGTCACCTTCCCGTCCACTGTCAGATCGCGGCTCCGGAGATATATTTGTTTTAAATGTCGCAATGGTTTTGCGGCTCTCAGGTTTTTTTCCTTCGGAAACGGGTCCAAGTGGCTCTTTTTGTCTTAAAGGTTGCAGACCCCTGGGCTATGGGGTTGGGCAATTTTTAAAGCCTTTAAAAGCTATCACACAACTTTGTCCTCACTTCCTTGCAAGTAGTGGGTGGGGGGACGCTGTTACAACAGAAAATAAAGATCTTCCTTGCTTTTCTTCTACAGGTTCCTGCTTCCACCCAATTCTTCTCTGAACAATAATGGACTTAGGGGATACATTGTCCCTTCGAGGAGTTGGGCTGTAAAGGCCAACCCCAAATTTTCATATAACAGCCTCTTTCCTGCTCCAGGGGTAAACTAGGCCTCATATCAAGTCTACTTTCTTCAAAACTCTTTGAAGCATCTCAGAGCAGGTATAGTATTTTCACTAAGATAAGCATTATGATGCCTCCGCTCCCCTCACACACATTTCTTGTAAGTGTGATTTGGATGAAAATCTGCACTGCAAAATTCATAAATGTGTGGATTTTAAGCAAGAGGTATGTTTCGGGGACGCGGGTGGCACTGTGGTCTAAACCACTGAGCCTCTTGGGCTTGCTGATCAGAAAGTCGGCAGTTCGAATCCCCATGACGGGGTGAGCTCCTGTTGCTCAGTCCCAGCTCCTGCCAACCTAGCAGTTTGAAAGCACACCAAAAAACTGCAAGTAGATAAATAGGTACCGCTCTGGCAGGAAGGTAAACGGCGTTTCTGTGCGCCGCTCTGGTTCGCCAGAAGCGGCTTAGTCATGCTGGCCACATGACCCGGAAGCTGTATGCCGGCTCCCTCGGCCAATAAAGCGAGATGAGCGCTGCAACCCCAGAGTCGGCCACGACTGGACCAAATGGTCAGGGGTCCCTTTACCTTTACCTTTATGTAATGAATGGAAAAATTCCTAACTGTTATGAGAGACGTAGCTTTGAATGCAGAAGGTCCCATATTCAATCCCAGGCCACTGTGGATATGACTGGGAATGTCCTATCCATCTGAAACTCTGGAGAGCCTGAAGAATATTGAACTGGAAGCACCAACAGCCTCACTCTGTTTAAAGCAGAATCCTGTTTAAATCCACTCTTTTTTCAAAACAACGAGGACTAGAATCTTTCTTATTTATAGCAGACGGGACCATAGCTCAGTAGTAGAGCATCTCTGGGGGAGTGGGAAAAGTCTCACTGAGCTAGCAGGAGCCATTGCAATGTCTTCCACTAGCAAAAAAAAGGTAAAAGGACCCCTGGACGGTTAAGTCCAGTCGAATCTGACTATGGGATGCAGTGCTTGTCTCTGTTTTCAGGCTGGGGGAGCCAGCGTTTGTCCGCAGACAGCTTTTCTGGGTCATGTGGCCAGCATGAGTATACCACTTCTGGCACAAGGGGACACTGTGACGGATGTCAGAGCACATGCTGGGCTGGTTGAGCCCAGCCTGTAGTCTTTGAAGATCACCACCCTGACCCACTGCTGGATTTCAGATACAGTGTCTGGAATGCTGCACACAGTTCTGTTCACCTCACATTGGAGAGGATATTGTAAAGTTGGAAGATGTTCAATAAAAGGCAACCCAAATGTTCAAGGGGTTGGAGCAGCTTTCAAGGAAAGGTTACAGCATTTGGGACTTTTTAACTCGTGGAAAAGGCAAGTAAGAGGGGCACAAGTTTCTAAGACGATGCACTAGAACTTGGGGACATCCAATGATGGTATTGGAAGACTCAGAGTTGGGGGGGGGGATTCTTCACAAAGTACTTAGTTAAGCTATGGAACTCCCTCCCACAATGTTCATCAATTTGGATGGCCTTTAAAGAGGATTAAACCAGGGGTCAGCAACCTTTTTCAGCTGTGGGCCAGTCCACCATCCCTCAGACCTTGTGGGGGGCTGGACTATATTTTTTTTTGTGGGGGGGAGGGAATGAACGAATTCCTATGCCCCACAAATAACCCAGAGATGCATTTTAAATAAAAGGACACATTCTACTCATGTAAAAACACGCTGATTCCCGGACTGTCCGTGGGCCGGATTGAGAAGGTGATTGGGCCGCATCCGGCCCACAGGCCTTAGGTGGCCAGACCCTGGATTAAGCAAATTCATGGAGGACAAGGCTACTAGTCACGGCGACTATACTCGGCCTCCATAGTGAGAGCCAATGTCAGTTGCTGGATATTACAGGTGGGGTGAGAGCTCTTGTGCCCAGTCGATTGTGGGCTGCCCATTGGGGCATCTGATCGGCCACTGTGAGAATATGATGCTGGACTAGATGGGCCACTGGTCTCACCCTGCAGGCTCTTCTTAACATTCTTATGCTCCTTCCCCACAACTGCACCCAAACCCAAGACTGCACCTGTCCAACGCAGGTGTAGCTTGACAGATCCTTCCCTTCTTCCTTCTGCTTCTTCCCTGCCAGCCACGCAGCCACTTAACCAAATCGCATGCAGATTCATTGGGTTGGGGTTAATCAACATTCATTCATGTTTCCAAGTTTAAATGGAGCATTTGTTTAATTATGTGCAAGTAGCAATACATTCTGGCCATTATCTAAATCACTATTTTATTTCCTGGATGTGGTTTCATAATGCCCAGCTTTCACACTCCAGCCTCTGCATCATTAACAGAGAAGAGTTAATGAATATAAAAGCATAAAGGCTAATTACACTTTAATTTACAATCATGATCTCATTTTGGGACTGGAGAAAATCTGTTTTGAAAAACAGCTTCTTCCTTTTTTTCTTCTTTTTTTAAAAAAGAGAACGACCCAGTTTTAAAGACCTGGAGTTGAGGACAGGAAGATGTTTGGATCCCCACCAAATTAGAATGCAGGGAAGAGGCGAGAGCTTAATGGTAGAGCACCTGCTTGGCATGCAGAAGGTCCCAGGTTTAATCCTCTGCATCTCCAGAAAGGACTGGCATAAGATGCTCTATCTAAAACCCCAGAGAGTCGCTGCCAGTCAGTGTAGACAATACTGAGCTAGGTGGACTAACATTGGTCCAAGTCAGTGTATGACAGCTTTTACTTTCTACATTTCACATCTATGCAGACTACTATATTACTTTATTTTTAGGGAAAGGCGCCATAGCTCAGTGGTAGAACATCTGCTTTGCATGCAGAAGGTCCCAGGTTCAAACCCCAATGGTATCTCCAGATAGGGATGGGAGAGAACCCTACCTGAAACCCTGGAGAGCTGCTGCCAGCCGGTGTAGAAAACTTAGCATAATAGAATTGTAGAATTGTTGGGGTGGAAGGGACCCTGAGGATCATCTAGTCCAACCCCCTGCAATGCAGGAATATGTACCTTTCCTGGGCTGACCTTAATATCTAATCACTTGGCTCCTGTTGAAAGGGTCTGGGCATGAGATGAGTGATACAAGGGTGAAAGCAGAGCTTTCCAGACTTTCCATGTTGGGGACACACTTTTTAGAGAGGCAGCCTTTCGCGACACAGTAATTCATTTTTACTAGCAAACCAGAGGTTAAACTAACCCCTTTCCAGTCCCAGGAGGAGGGTGGCAAGTGTTTGGGTGACACACCTACACGCTGCAGCCGACACACTAACGTGTCGCAAGAAACAGTTTGGAATGCTCTGAGGTAAAGTAAGGTAACATTTATTTTCATGGAGTTTTTTAGTCAAAAGGCTGGCTGATGAAACAATGGGGCAGAAATATGTGCAGTTTCTCATTTTGCAGCACTTTCAGAGCTTTTTAAGTCAAGCTTCCTGGCCCTCCCGTCTGTTGACACTGGACTCCAGCTCCCATCAACCTCAGCCAGCATGGCCAATGGCCAGGGATGATGGGAGTCATGGTCCTCATTTTTAACACCAAACTCCCTGAGAGAGCCAGTGTGGTATAGTGGTGAGGAGACCAGGGTTCAAATCCCTACTCAGCCATGAAGCACACTGTGTGTGAACTTGGGCCAGTCACTGCCACTGAAGCTAATCTACTTCACAGGGTTGTTGTTGTTTTTGGGGTTAATTGAGGAGAGGGACAGCCATTCTATGTTTGCCACCTTGAGCTCCTTGGAGGAAAAAATGTGAGCTATAACTGCAATAAATAAATAAATTGTACTTTTTGCAACAATGTGCAAAGTGAAACATAAAAAGGTAAAGGACCCCTGACAGTTAAGTCCAGTTGCGGACAACTCTGGGGTTGCGCGCTCATCTCGCTCTATAGGCCAAGGGAGCCGACGTTTGTCCACAAACGTGCTTTCAAACTGCTAGGTGGGCAAGAGATTCATTACATACAAAGGTTTATATATCAACATCTAAAATAAACTGGAGTTTTTGGTTTTTTTGCTTTTGCAATTAAAATAAAATGGGATTTGGACCTGAGCTCTAGCCCTCAGTGTTCTTAAGCATTTCAAAATGAAAACTTTCTGCCCTTCCAAAGAAACAAAGCCCTGGTCTGAACAAGACCAGAGCCATTCAGCCTGTGATGCTAAGACTTCTGAAAAGTTGGGTCACACTAAACATTTTGCACATAGGCTGGTTTGGGATGAGGACTTTGAACATGTCTGTTTCCTCAAAGCCATTTCCACCCTCCTGGTTTTGGCTCTGGGCCCACATTCCTAGCAGCCTGTTGAACCCCAGGGCTCTGGAAGCTGTCCTGGGGTCAAGCTGTCCTGCCCTGAGTTTAGTCATTGGCCCAGCAAGGGCTCCGCCATTGTAGCTGCCTCAGCCATTGGGGGACGAGCCGTTAATGGCAGGTCTCATTATTAGGCCAATGGGGAGCTTTCGGCAGGGTGGCGGTGAATAATGGCCGACCTCGACACTGTTGCTCCCTCCTGCCGGCTCTGGAGCTGTCGCTGTCAATCAGAGCACCTGCCAAAGGCTGCAGGGCAGGGGCGGCGCAGCTTTTGTCAAGGAACGGGGAACGGTCAGGCTGATCATCCGCCAAGGCCATTTGGCATGTTGTGGCCACATTCGCACCATGCATTCAAAGCACTATGATGCCACTTTAAACAGTCATGGCTTCCCACAAAGAATTAGGGGAAATGGGGTTTGTTAAGGATACTGCGAGTTGTTAGGGGACCCCTGTTCTCTTCACAAAGCTACAACTCCCAGAGTGGTTAACAATCAACCCTTCTTTCCAGGGAGCTCTCCTGGGCCGTTCATGGTGGTGGAACAGACAGGAATTCAACAAGTGAAGCTTTGTCACAATATTTAATAAACAAGGTTCAGGATTTTATTTTATTTTTAATAATAAATCCCAGGCTGCATCTGTACTGGATTTTAAATGGTTTTTAATGACAAAATTGATTTGTTTTTAAATATGTAATCTATATCTATAATTGCTGGTGTTTTTAATGTTAGATTGCTCCGAGATGTTTTGTAGGAAGTGATCCATAAATGGAATGAGATGAAATGAACAAATGATGGGGGGGGGGAGTATTTTTAAAGGGAAAAAATTAGGCTGCCATACTGGTCGCTTGCAACATAATGGAAACAAAATCTATAATAAAGTATGTTATGATGATAAGATATGATATGTTCACACACACACATACGTACAATAATTTACAAATAACCAAATGTCAAAAGCACATCAAGCAGTAACTTGCAATCATGTCACTTCAATGCAAGCAGTGGCTGCACCCGTTGAATACCAGCCTGGTTTGCTGCTTTTGAAGACACAGTAGTGCCATATAAAGCCACCTGTATTTTACTGTGTCCTTGAGAAGCTGGGATTATCCCCCTGCTCCCACATCTGGGGGGGGGGGGGCAAGCAAGCAAAGCAAATTTCAGGGAATAGAGATTCTTGTTGAATATTTAACAAATTTGCTTTGTGTTGATTTCAGACCATTGGCCCATCTAACCCAGCAATGCATTCTCTGCTGGCACAGGTGCTTTGGGCAGAAAATGACTCTTTTCAAAGGACTCTTAAAATTCTTTTTTTACCAGAGGGGGCATGTGGGGTGTGTAAGAATATAGAAAACTGCCTCGTACATAGCCAGACCATCAGTCTCTTTAGCTTAGCACTGCATGGTAGCAGCTTTCCAGGATTTCAGGCAGGGAGCCTTCCTAGCCCTACCTGGAGATGCCCTGGATTGAACCCAGAACCTCCTGCATGCAACACATTTGCTTTATCACAGATTTCCAAAGAGCTTGGACTCTACCTGTCTTCAAGCCTACCATCTTTTCTGTGCTCCGTTTCTGTGCTTAGTCAATAACACCTTTTTGGGATGGGGTGGGGAGCACCTCTGCCATGATCAGAAAGACAGAATACTTTTAAAAGTAAGCAGCCAAGATTCCCTGCCACGCAGCATCATTTCCAAGCTAGAAAGTAACATAATCAGCCTAAGACCTTGGCAGCAAAGGCACAGGAGCAGGACCTGTTTTAAAAAAACAGGTTGTCAACCCTGTGGCCCAGGGTCCTAATGGCAAAGCAACTTGAAGCCCGAACCCCCACTGCTCTCTCTTCTTAGGATCAATGAGAACGAGTGGAATGTCCAGCCTGAAAGAAATACTATGGGCTGCATCCAACATTAGTCCGACTCAGACTAGACCCATTGGAATGAATAGAGATGACTAATGCAGGTCCATTGATTTCAATGGGTCTGAGTACAAGTTAGGTGGATACAAACCTGGTAGGTGGAGCGAAGCAGATGAGAGAAAGCTGGGGTGGGCACAACATAGATAAATCTGGAAGCTTGTCGGCAGAGGCTGACTAAAACTAGCAGGTCTTGTGGGGAGGGAGCATGGCAAAATCTCAAGTGCCGTGGAACCAAACTTCACGACAGACTTATGGACACTTTAGACTGGGGATGTTTTTGCTACATAGTGCGTTTATGGTGGATTCATGTGGGACCATCAATGCATCATTCCACTTTATCAGTAGTTCTGCAGTGCTCTGCCAATGTTACTGTAAGGTAAAAGGTAAAGGACCCCTGGACGGTTAAGTCCAGTCAAAGGCGACTATGGGGTTGCGGTGCTCATCTCGCTTTCAGGCCAAAGGAGCCGGCGTTTGTTCACAGACAGCTTTCCGGGTCATGTGACCAGCATGACTAAACTGCTTCTGACACAACGGAACACCGTGACGGAATCCAGAGCACATGGAAATGCCGTTTACCTTCCCGCCGGAGCGGTACCTATTTATCTACATGCACTGGGGTGCTTTCAAACTGCTAGGCTGACAGGAACTGGGACAGAGCAATGGGAGCTCACTCCATCACGAGGATTCAAACTGCCAACCTTCAGACCGGCAAGTCCAAGAGCAATTTCAAAAGTGGGATCATTCTACGAGCACAAATCATCGTGAATGCACAATGAAAAGGATGTCTAGAAGGGCTCTTTTATTACACTTGAATGTTCAGCAGTCCTCAGCAGAGCTGGTCCCAGACATTGTGCGGCCTGAGGCAAAGGACAATATGGTGCCCACCCTCTCCCTCTTTCAGATGGTGACTCTACTGAGAGCTGACTCAAACTTCATTGCTGGCATCAGGATAGCAATAGCAGAATCCCCCAGCCCACACGAGGGCTGCTGACACAGGGCACTCCAGCTCCTGCCCTCCTACAGAGGGAACAGTCAAGGAGCTGCTGCTGCTGCTGCTACCCCCTCAACTTCTGCCACCTGAGGCAGTTGCCTCCCTATGCCCAATGGTCTTGCTGGCCCTGGCCCTCGAATATGTAAACAGAGGTAGTTTACGTATGTAACGGTTCTTAAACCGTTAAGGAATGGATCCCAGAGAATCCACTAGTGCTCTGTGGGAATGCCCCTCTGTGCAGACCCCCACCCACCCAAAACACCTGGAGCGGTGTGTACATATGTGTGTTTGTAGGCCTTCCCAGGGGCCTGCTGGCTCAAGAACACCCCTCCTCCTGTTCACGCTTCCAGGTATATGATTTAATGAAAGGCACAATAAGAAGTGAGACAATTAGAATTTCTGCCTCATTATCATGGTAATCTTATCTGTGGGATAATGAGGTATTAATGGAGATTTAATGTGCCTCTCATAACACAATCCCTTGGAGAAAACACATAAGGAAATTGCTGTAAATCCACTTAATGATGGAAAGGTCCCCAAACGCCATCTTCCAGGGGATGAAAAATGCCGGCAGCGAGCGAATGAGATTCAAGGTCAATCACACGGCAGGGACTTTACGGCAGGAGTGGAGGCAGTGGGGAGAGCTGCCATGGCGGAGGAGACTGGCACGACTCAGGCCCAGCATTTTGCAAAATGCTTTGCCAGGTGCAGTAAGGTCAGCTGCCCGGGACTGGCTGAAATGACAAATCATACAACACACACACACACACACACAACCCCAGCAGTTTTGAACAACCAAAAATAAGGAAAATACTCAGTATGGAGCTCTTTCACAGATCACCAGTGAATGTAGAAACATTGGAGGCTGAACTGGCAAACTGATCAGGAACGAGACCTTAGGATTGTAGTCAATAGCTTGATGAAACTTTTGGCCCAGTGTGCAGCAACTGTGAAAAAGGCAAACTCCATGCTAGACACCGTTAGAAGAGGACTTGAAGATATAGCTGCCAATATCATAATGTTGATATACAGTGGTACCTCGGGTTACAGACGCTTCAGGTTACAGACTCCGCTAACCCAGAAATAGTACCTCGGGTTAAGAACTTTGCTTCAGGATGAGAACAAAAATTGCGTGGTGGTGGCGTAGTGGCAGCAGGAGGCCCCATTAGCTAAAGTGGTACCTCAGGTTAAGAACAGTTTCAGGTTAAGAATGGACCTCCAGAACAAATTAAGTTCTTAACCCAAGGTACCACTGGATACAGAAGAAGAAGAAGAAGAGTTTGGATTTGATATCCTGCCTTTCACTCCCCTTCAGGAGTCTCAAAGCAGCTAACATTCTCCTTTCCCTTCCTCCCCCACAACAAACACTCTGTGAGGTGAGTGGGGCTGAGAGACTTCAGAGAAGTATGACTAGCCCAAGGTTACCCAGCAGCTGCATGTGGAGGAGCGGAGACGCAAACCCGGTTCCCCAGATTAGGAGACTACCGCTCTTAACCACTACACCACACTGGCTCTCTACAACTGCAAAACTGCATTTGGAATACTGGGTATTCTGCCTGCCTCACTCCAAAAGCATCTTGCAGAGTTGGGAAAGGTTCAGAAAAGGAAAACCAAAATGATCGGGGGTGGGGGGTGGAGAGTGGCTCTCCTAGGAGGAAAAGTTGCAGCATTGGGGACTTTTTAGTTTAGCAAAGAAAAGAAAAGAAAGGCAAGGAAGAGGGGACATGATAGAAGTTCATACAATGATGCATAACTTGGAGAAAGTGAATAGGAGAAATTTTTATTCCTCCCTCTCATAATGCTAGAACTCAGGAACATCCAATGTTGAAAGATTCAGACTTATTCAAACAGGGCACAATTAAATTATGAAACTCAGACCCGCAGGAGGCAGTGATGTATAAGTAACCAACATCAGCAGGAACAGCCACCAATTTGGAAGGCCTTAAAAGCAGGCTGGACAAATTCATGGAGGATAACACTTTAAATGGCTACTAGCCACAATGGCTATCCTCTGCCTCCATGGTTGGAGGCTCTATGCTTCTGAATACTATTTGCAGGAGGGGAGATGCTCATTTGTTTGGTTCCAGCTTGTGGGCTTCCCGTTAGGAACTCTGGCTGGCCCCTGTGAGAACAGGATGCTGGACCAGATGGGCCATTGGCCTAATCCAGCAGATTCTATTATGCTCTTAAGCAGCGCCTAAGGTCACAGAGGTCAAGCCATCATACTAAATGGGGAGCCCTAGGGTAGTACAGAAACTTGGCCACTAGATGTCACTCAAGGCATGCACAGGTAATATGCCCAGGTCTTTGCCAAGGTTAGGGCTTTCAGAAAAACACCTCCCTTTTCTCTTGTAGTCCAGTGTAAGTTTCGATAATGCTGGAGCCCTGAGATCATGGAAAGTGTCCCACGGCAGTGTCAGCAGCTGAGGTATGTGTGTTGTAGAGAGGTGTGTGAGAGTGTTCAGGGAACATCACTGATACAACCCCAAGAGAGGGAGGGTGCCTCCAGATTACTGTATATGCTTATCAAGTGTTTGCAGGTAAATTAAATGACATTAGCCATTTAAATTAGCATTTAGTCTGATTGGTCTGTGGAGAGGTTAGATGATGTGGAATCAAAGCAAGGGTCCCACATTTTACTATGCATTTTCCAATCAGGTAGGTAGCCGTGTTGGTTTGACGCAGTTGAAATATATATATATAAATAGTCCAGTAGCACCTTAGAGACTTAGTTGGTCTCTAAGGTGCTACTGGACAATTTTATTATTAGATTATATATTTTCCAATCACTTCTTCCTTATTGCAGAAAGTCAAATCTTTGCCGAGAAAGAGAAGTGGGTCATGCAAGACTTCTTGCACAATCTGGAGTTTGCAGTGCCAGTATGCAATTGAATCTCAGCTGGAAATATAGAGTCTGCAAGTGACTGGAGAAGGGGGAAATCCCCCAAGAGGCAGCTGCTTTCCTAAGCTGATCTGCAGGAATTGAGGAGGGGAAACTGTATGCATTGCAAGCGTGTGGGTGTGAGACTACTCCCACCCACTTCTGGCCAAGGGTGAATCTGGCTCTTGTGCAAAGAAGTTAAGTATTGCTCCCTCCCCTCCCAATGCCTTAGGGACAGAAATGTGACATTTTATACAGATGTAATATTCTAATAACCAAACGGAGCCACTGAGGAAAAGAAAAGTGAGGTATCTGCAAGGTCTGTAGAAGACAAATAGTTCCTTAAAATAAAAAGGACACCCCCCAAACAAAGCAGCCCAATAAGAACTGAGCATGCTCAGTAGCAATAGAATGTTGAGTGACAGCTGGAAAAGAAAAGTAGGAAACAAGAGGCTATGGAACATGCTGGAAAGAGAGGTGCCTGGCTGAACAGAAACATTTATTGAGGATATGTTGCAACATTTTCTTACCAGTACCATGCAGACAAACACACATTCTGACTCTATTGTAGGATTCCCCTCTGCATGGTACCACTCATAAAGCAGGCAGGTGACAAGGATGATGACTGAAGCAGGCATACAAACTCATCTTCAAATATTTGGTGAGAGCAAGCTCTCTTTATTTTTCCACTGTAAGGGCTAGAAACTTGATTTTTTTATTTTTAAAGGTTTTTGGTATGTCCAATTCTGTGCCAGACACCAGTGATTTAACTGCACAGCCTCCCTGAGGGCTCTTGTGGAACGCAGCAAACGTTTTGCGTTCTGAGCAACAGTTGCCGTCACCATTCCAAAAACGAGGTTGGATCAAATTCAAATGTGCCTATCTTTCTGTCCACGCTCTAATAAAAGAATACAAAGCCCTAATAACCCACCAAAAATATGCCTACAGCAGAAAACGCTGGTCGAACCTAATTAGCGCGGCAAAGGGGAAACATCAGTAACTATTTTGGAAATTGGTTACCTTCGGCTCCCCCAAGGCTGTTTCCCCTCTATCCACACAAATTCCACCTGACCACTGGGTCTCCTATTTCCAAGCTATGTATGAGGTTGTTGAATATCCCATTCAGGAACATGAAATAGAGCAGCTGGCTAAATGGCCGACAGTCTCAGAAACAAAAGTGAAATGTGCCGATTGAAAAAGACATCAATGCTTTTGTCTTTTAAGCCTTCATCGTCCATGCTTCTGTTTTTAAAGCGGAAACGAAACACTGGCTCACCGGAAACTAACCCAACATACATTTATCCACAAGAGTTGAAGGACCTGTTAAGAATTTTGTTCCCAGAAAACAAGGTATGGGTGGCAATTGGGCCATCACACTCAAAGCAACTCTGCTCTCTGCCTCTGGGTGCAGTAAAGTGGAAAACTCTTGGTCCTCCTACTGTTAGATGCCAACTCCCATCAGTCCCAGTTGGTATGGCTAAGGATCAGGGATGATGGGAGTTGGGAGTCAAACAGCATTGGAAGAGCAGCAGGTTCGTCAACCCTCTCCTATACTGTCCAAAAAGAGAAAGGGGGAATCAGATAATGACAAAGACCTCTGCTTGAAAGCCTGGACAGGTGCTGCTACTCGGTATACATGAAACTGAGAACCCCTTCGGTCCATCTAGCTCAGTATTGCCTACACTGACTGGAAGCAACCATACTGTTTTGGAGACAGGAGTCTCTCCAGCCCTACCTGGATGCCATTGGGGTTTGAACCTGGGAGCTCCTGCGTGCAAAATGGATGCTCTACCACTGAGAGACAACCCCTTGATTGTACAATCCATCACATTTTAACTTGTAAAACTCAAAAGGAAAACAACACTTTAGCCCTTTCCCCCAACATGCGCAGCAACAAGTTTGATCAAACCCACAGGCAGAAGTGTCGTGGTGAGAGTGCCAAAGGCAGGGTCCGAGCTGAGCTTGCTATGTCAAAGAAAACACAGCTGTAAACTCTGGGGCCTGTTTGCATGTTCACTTGTGACCCTCCAGCTGTTGCTAGACTCTTGACTCCCATCATCCTTAGTTGATCCATCCTTGGCCATCCTTGCCTGGGGCCAATGGGAGTTGGGAGTCCTAACATCTGGAAAATCACAGGCTCCCCAGGCTAAGGTTACACTGGGGAAGGGTGGGGTTATCATAGTCCATTTATAATTATGTAATGTGCAAGCAAAACACACAGAGTTACTTATTTTTCTCTCTGATTAGGAACACTTCCTCTCTTATATCCCTTTGTATCTATGTTTAAATTGTAAGCTCCTTGGGACGGGGACACGCCCTGTCATTGTAGAAAGATAGCATTATATAAATAATAAATGATCTGTGGAGTCCTGTTGTACAGGGAGCCAGCCAGCCAGCCTGGCCTTCATCCTGGATACTCCATTCCACCTCCCCCCAACCCCAATTCCCCATTTTCTTCTCTGCTTCCCCCCACCCGACATCTCCAAGATAGCCAGAGATTATGCCTAGTCCTCAACCAACTGCTTTTACACACACACAAAAGCAGCCCCATAATTTGTATAATAAACCCCTATATATTTGTTTTTCTTATTGAAAAAAGAGGAGTGTTATCCTAGATACACCCAGTTTAAAACTACAAACAGCAAAGAGAATGACAAGCCAAAAGACACACAAAGATTTTCACCCAAATGCTTGATGTATGCTTTTAATACGAATAATCAAAATATATATTACAGATTCTGGTTTCATAGGGGGGAAGTTCCATTTCGGGTTTGTACAGTATACACAGTATTTCCGAAGGAAAACAAAAACAAAACAAACGTAAGGTTATTGATGTTTCTTTCTTTCGCTTATATTTTTAAATTCTCTTCAAGCAATCCCGCTTCCCCCTATAAACCCTTAAACATCACCTCTTTTGTGCAACAGATGAATAACTCTAATGCCCTGTCCAAAATTAGAAAGAATGTGCTAATTATGATAAAGGCCATATGAATATCTTCCAGTTTTAGTATACCATTTGGTGAGCATTTACATTTTAATAAATACATTGCTCTTTCATGATTCAAGTTTGACCCCTTCACTTGCTGCAAAAGCTCCTCTGTGACTGGTGCATTCCGTCTCAACAAGACAAATGAATTCTTGTAAATAAAGATCATTAGAAAGTGCTTACCTTTATTCTCTCCACTCACCAAGTTTTTAAAAAGTTCTAACTAAACTGTTAAGGAAAATTTTTTTTTGACATGGAGGTTGTGGCAGCAGAAAAAATGCCTGGAGATTCCAGGATACTTCAACAAGTGGTCCCTTTTATTTTTATTATGATTTGACACAGTGCTAGTTTCTATGGGAAAGAGGATTCAAAAAGAAAAGGAAGCACACACAACCAAAATAATACCTCAAACCACCCTGCTGGAATTAGTCCAATTAGTAAAGGTTTGTTTGAAAATGCTTGGAACTCCTTTACAGTATTTACACATGGAGGTCTTCTCTCTTTGTTTTCCTGCAGCCTGATGGGCAGAGACCAGGCGTCATACATTCATAAAGGTCCTCCTCTGTGAGCCATTTGGTTCTCAGCAGAGATGCTGGCTGGGTTGGGTTTACTTGCGCTCGTCTATCGTTTTAATGAACTCAACTGCCGCTGTGAACTGCATCCACCAGTAGGATTCTTCTCCAGTTAAACAGTTGGCGTAGAAACTGCTGATGTACTGGACAGTGGACAACAAGCAGGGCGGATTGGCCTGCAGAGAGGAGGAGATGTATGTCACGGTTGGAAGGCCTGTTGTCTCCAGAGGTCATTGGACTCCAACTAGCCAGCATAATTTTTTCCCCACCATGGTGCCTATGTTATGGAATGCCCACCCTGCTGAAATATGAGAGGTCCCCATCTGCATGGGCATCCCGTCTGCTTTTGAAGGCACACCTGTTTACACAGGCAATTCCTTTGCTGTCTCAAACTGAGACTCCTGTTTTAATTACTGTGTTGTTCTAATAGTATTGTTTTGCTGCATATTTTAAGTAAGAGTATTTATATTTTAACGCTCGTGCAATGGGTTTTTATACTTGTAAGCTGCTTAGAAGCCTATTTTGGCATCAAGCAGTTAATCATCATCATCTGATGGGAGCTCAAGTCCAACAACATATTGAGGGCACCATTCCAGCCGCCCCCCCCCTTTATAACAGCTTGGAAAGCAGGCAAAAATACCATTTACAAATACAACAGAACTCTGTACCCTGCCATCTGAAGACGTAATGGGGAAGGTACCTGCCTTCTGAGGAGGAAGATGGTGGCGCTTGGTTCCTTGGCAGCAGCAGAAAAGTGCAGGTGGCCAGAAGGATCGGGGTGGGGTCCCCATGAACAAGGATACCTTAAGGGGCTGAGGCATTTAGCCCCCTTCCAACCACCCTACTACAGGGAGGAGGCAGTAGCTAGGGTACACCCTCCCCCTCAAAATGCAGGAAGATTCCCCACCCCAATTCTCTCCCTCCTCCACCTCCAATTTTATTCTGCTTGCAACCTAGATTATAATCTCATTTCTTCCCCACCACTCAAAAAAATAATATGTAGGGTAGGATATGCTAGGAGGGAGGGAGGAACTGTGCCCCTCTCTCCCAGAAGATAATGTTGATCACCGCCCCCCTGCGCCCCTTCTCTCTCCCTCTTAGAAAGAGAAAGAGAGATGGTTTGTCGGGGTTTAGCTCAGAGCCAAAGGATGGAGACGGACCACAAACCCGCAGCGCAGGAGGGGCAGGGCCTTCCAGAGAAAGACACTGACCACCCCCTAATTGAACCCTCTCATGAGAAAAGGGTACAGAGGAGTCACACCTCTAGCGTGGAAGAAGTCAAAGGACCTTAAGCCATACACGCCAGTTTGTGGCCCCTGCCAAGGCAGGATTAATTGATGCAGCAGGTGGAGGCACTGTGCTTGTTGGAGACTCTTTTCACCAATGACACACACCCCCCCCTCCCAAGGCCTGATCCAGCCACTGGATAACAGCTGCCACAGCAGTTGAACCAGCCAGAAGCAGGTAAGGCACAGCATACATGTAAAGCAGGCTCCCCAAACTCGGCCCTCCAGCTGTTTTGGAACTACAGTTCCCATCATCCCTGACCACTGGTCCTGTTAGCTAGGGATGATGGGAGTTGTAGTCCCAAAACAGCTGGACAGCAAAGTTTGGGGATGCCTGATGTAAAGCATCCCCCACAACCAAGAATAACAGGAACAGTAGTTTGCGCTGGGAATTGTAAGGTTTTTTTTGGGGTAGCTTTAAAAGTTGAGATTCCTGCATTGCAGAGGGTTGGACTAGATGACTCTTGAGAGTCCCTTCCAAAAATACAATTCTATTATTATAGCCATCTGGACTGTACTGGAGACTAGCCCAAAACAGTATATCCTGCTCCATACCTACTGGATATTTTCTTCTAAGGAGCACCCAATAGTTCCCATGACCTGTGTATGGTTCTTGGGTGTGGAAAGCCATCTCTCTTGTGCACAGACCTGCACCTTGCAGTTGGGAGAACAAGTGTCCCTTTTTGTCACAGGCTTGAAGCCTAGCCCACAGGTGCAGCAAAATGGCAGATGGGAGAGAGGGGCAGGAGGATGGACTGTGTTACTCGCAGCCATGTCTCTTGAATACTCCCAAGTGCAAACAAAGAGCAGAGCAGGCAGGAGCCAGGCTGGTTCACTTTAAAAAAATTACGACACCTGCAGAGAATGTTTCATGTAGGGAAATACTAAAAAGCGGTCTGCAGTCTGAGTTGTTTTATGAGCGAGAGAGGCCCAAGGCTCTTGTGTGGGGACATCACCCTTACCTTTATGAGAACAAAGACGAGAACAGGGACAAAGTCGTCTGCCCCAGGAACAGAATCTTCGTTTGCCAGGCTCAGCAGGTTCATGATTGTGGAGCACATCCGCAAGACACACTGCAGCTTGTCCCGGGGGGTCTTGTAGGCGCTGATGGTGCGGATCTCAGACTGTGCTGATGGCCATGGTGCTTCGCGGAGGTAGACCTGCAAGGAAAGGAGAAGACTTGCTTCTAGCCCAATACAGTACAGTGTTTAGAAAAGGGAGGGTGAGAAAATGTCTACATACAAACACGATTAACCCATTGCATCCAGCAACATATACTGCACATGGTAAACATGCAAGCTTATTAAAATACCTGTGATTGGTGTAGCATAACGGTTAAAAGGCCAAGCTATGAATCAGAAGGTCCCCAGTTCAAATCTCACCTTGGCTGTGAACTCACTAGGAGGCTTCAAACAAGGCACACTCGCTCTCCCTTGGAGCCTCTGTCTGCAATTTGGGAAATACTAACACTGACCTATCTTACTGGGTTGCTGGAAATACTACAACTAGAACCTGCGTGTGATGTGCTCTGAATGCTTGAGACCTCTACGCAAATGTTATGCGATATTATAACTAACACCTACTACGTATTTTGAAAAATTTCCTGCTTGCTTCGTATTTGGATCGTAAACAAATTCTGCGTGATCATTCCTGAGATCCAGGAGCAAGTGTTCACCCACGGTTGGAAACAACCAGAGCCCCATTTTGAATCAAGATGACAGACTGAAACTTTCAAAAGGGCACTGATTCTAACCACTGATCTTTTTGGTTTTTTGGTACAAAACAATGAAGATTTGTAGGGAGCCACCACACAAAAGGCAAGGAAGCTTCCACATGCTACCAAATAAGAATGGGACATATGGACTTGTTGGGACTACTTATCCATTGAGCCTAAAAGGACTGGATGCACTTAGAAAAGCTAGAGCCACAGGACGGTTACTACTACTTCCAGACCTCACTGTGGTGAGGAGAAAAACTTGTACCAGCAAATATTAAGTGATGCAAACCCTGTCATGTACTTACCAATTCAGTCAGAACTAAGACTGAGTTATTGGGTGCTTTTCAGCCTAATCTGATCCCCAAGCCCAGCATGGACTCTAGCTTAGTACTGTCTACACTGACTGGCAGCAGTAGCTCTCTAGTGCTTCAGACAAGAAGTCTCTCTCAGCCCTTCCTGGAGATGCTAAGCATTGAACCTGGGACCTTCTGAATGCAAAGCAGATGCTCTGCCATTGAGCTACAGCCACATGCCAAACTTTCAACCATACAGGAGAATCACTTCCACACAATCAATCTGAATGTTTAAGGAGAAAAGTTCTTCCTTCTCCCAACTCCAGCATATCCAAACTGGCTGTGTGTGTGTGTGTGTGTGTGTGTGTGTGCGCGCGCGCGCGCGTAAAATTCAACCCCCCACCCCCATACTACAGTGACAGTCCACATCATGAACTGTCATCTTCAGTCACAAGTGGTACAGTTCAGACAAAGTCTTACTCTCAGGTGCCAAGCACCACCAAGGACTTACCTCAGGAATCTGGAGTGCTTTATGGTTCGCAGTCACTACTTTAGATAACCTCTGTATGTGATCGTAAAGAAGCCTAGAAACAAAGGGGGGAGGGGGGAGAACCAAACAATTTAAGTAATCTAGATGGCACAATCTGGGGTTCTGCATAGCAAGCACCGTTAGGTAGCAGGGGGTTTCCTTACGCAACCTTCAGTTCCTTGCAGCAGCACCCCTTACAAAAATCTGTCCTACAAAGGAGTCTGGGCTGTCAACCCAATAACTTGTATGGCTTAAGCGACTAATTGTATTTAAATATAATGCCTCAGTGAAAGTAACATTTTGAGGTTACTGAAGAAGGACGCAAGAACTTGCAATTAAAAAACCAATCAGCTAGCTTCAGAGACAGATCAGAATATCCATGTTTATCCTGTCTTATTTTGGCACAGAAGAGACCAAGCATTGGCAAGGCTGCCACTTTTCCAGAATCTCAAGCCCTCATTTTCTCTCTTGTTGCCTCTAAGGACAGGCTATATATACGGGGGGGGGGGGAGAGGTAGATTGGGCCCAATACAGAAGGGGTGGGGAACCTCAGGCTTGAGGGCCCAGTGCAACCCTTCAGGCCTCTCAATGTGCCCCTTGGAACTCTTCCCAACCCACACCCCTTCTTCCCAAGCCACACCCTCCACTCACCCCCTGAGTGGTTTTGCCTGACTGAAATGTGTCCTTGAACTCTGATAATGCCTCTAAAATGGGTAAGTAAAAAAGAGTCTATTGTACAAAGGTAGGATTTACACCTATTGTTCTGCCCACTTGCTCCACCCACCACTTGCATGCAGCCTCGGAAAGGTTTCCCAGACTAAATGTGGCCCTCAGGCTGGCAAATGAAAGCCCTAACAAAATCCCCAAGTTATGTCAGGAGTGCTCTGATGGTGTTTCCTGCTTGGCAGGGGGTTGGACTCGATGGCCCTTGTGGTCCCTTCCAACTCTATGATTCTATGATTCTAAGATTCTAAGAACAAATGTGAAAACTGAACACTCATTTCTTGCAAAGGAAGCAATGCACCATTAGGGTATTTGAAAAAGCTACAACCAGAAGCAAACTTGGGCCTGCACAGAAGTAGAGGGAGCACACAAGGAAAGGTGGCTGTGGCTTGCTCTCTGCTGCCATTATTGCTCAAGCCTGAAGAAAACCAGCCACGTCCCACTCACTGGTCACGCAGGATGTCTCCATCCTGGTTAGGGTAGAAGGCCAGTTTGAAGATGCGGTTCATGACGCTGCGCTCAATTGCCAGCTGGGCATCCTGGAGCTGCTCCTCGCTGGCGTTCTGCCAGATGACATCCTGGGCCATTACACCGTAGAGAAACTGGAGGAAGTCCTCAACCTGAGCAGTTTTATCATCCGCTGCAGTCAGCTTCTGGAAGTCTTTGGCAACAAAGCAAAAGGGAGGAAATCACAGGACTGGGGAGGGAGAAGCACACCCTCTCTCCTCACACACAATATAGGAATTAGAAGCTGCTCCAAAGTTACAATCCCCATGTGTTCTCCAGGAAAGCCATGACATTTGAACTTGGCAGTGCATGTGCACTACTATTCCCTATGCAAAGAACCTGCACACGTTGCAAAGGAGAGCTGGCCAAGAGCACTTCCAAGGGGGAAATGTTTAACTGGATCTGATCTGCAGAAGAACCAAGACCAGCAATACATACCACATGGGCCTGCTGCTTCCTAATCCATGACTGGTTCCTGCCTTCTCTGCCTACCTTAGAACGTCAAGTGGCTTGATGTCACAGAGTGGGACTGGAAGCCCTTTCTGTGAGATCACAGCAGCTCAACCAACTGCAGCCAAGGTTTCCCCAATGGCAGACTAAAACTCCAATTACAGTGGTGCCTCGCAAGACGAATGCCTCACAAGACGAAAAACGCGCAAGACGAAAGAGTTTTCCGTTTTTTGAGTCGTTCTGCAAGACGAATTTCCCCATGGGCTTGCTTCGCAAGACAAAACGTCTTGCGAGTTCTTGCGAGTTTGTTTCCTTTTTCTTAAAGCCGCTAAGCCGTTAATAGCCGCTAAGCCGTTAATAGCCGCTAAGCCGCTAACAGCCGTGCTTCGCAAGACGAAAAAACCGCAAGACGAAGAGACTCGCGGAACGGATTAATTTCGTCTTGCGAGGCACCACTGTAGGAGTCTTCCCCTCACCCCTTTTATCTTAATATGTCTTGGACCATTCACTAGGGTACAGCCAATGGCCCAACGTCACCCAGTAAATCTTTGAACCAAAGTGTGCCTGGCCCTACACTGCATACATCCCACTTCATCTCTTGTGCACAATGCCGGGAGTGGCTTACCTTGAATGAACGCCCTTATCTTTGACTCTTTGCTCTCCAGCAACAGCCGCACACACACTGTGGTGAAGTATCGGTTTGCCACTTCTTTGTCTCGCAGGACTCTCTGCAACAGCCTTTCCAGATGGGCCTGGGTGGTCTGTAGACCCTGGCGGCACTGTGTCAGGTAGGCAATATAGGGAGCCCTTTTCCTGGGATTTGGGGGTGGGTGGGAAGAAAAGAGTTGTACAACTCAATGACATCTGGAAAGTGCAAGTTTGGGGGAGGTGCTCCAAGCTGTTTAGGGTGGCTTCAAAGCACCTGCCCTATGAGAAGTGACAGCCTAATTCTACTCCCAAATTTATATGAGCGAGATGCAGACAAAATGCTGCCCTTGTGGACTTCCTGGGGGCATCTGACTAGCCACTGCTGTATTAGATGGGCCTGATCCAGCAGGGTTCTTCTTGTGTTCTTATGGAAGGTAAGGGATTTACCTGTAATCCTCAGCAATTGAGGCCAGCAGCTTGCGGCAGGTCCTGTTGTCAAAGCGGCCAACACAACGCATGGTCTCCTGGATCTGAGCCATCAGGTTCTTGTCCTGAAGGTTGATGGCTTCGGCTAGCTGGACTTTTAGGAAGCATACAATTTCATTGTCTGTTCAAGATGGTGGAAAGGGGGAGCGGAAACCGAGTGAGTAAAGGGGAATTGTGGTAATACCCCCCCCCCGAGTTGTGGCCCTGTGGGATCGCCCCCTGCTGTCCTCCCTGCCATCTTCCGGGGCACAAGAGATAGACTATATTTGGCAACACTTTGCTTTCTCTCATACTCTTCCTAGTCTACATTTCACACGAACACACACATACACACGCTGTATCAGCCTTCCCCAACCTGTTGCTGGATTAAAACTCCCATTATCCCCAACTGATTATGCTTGCTGGGGCTGATGGCAGTTGTAGTCCAAAATTTCTGAGGGGCACCAGGTTGGAGAAGAATGCTCTGCCTAGTTACCAGCAGGTGACTTGGTCATGGTTGCTGATGGGACATCTGGTTCAGTAATACCTAAAGGCCCACTATGGAAAACTCATGTTACCAACCCCTGTTCTAAGTGACAAACTGTGTGTCAAAGAAGTAAAATAAGTTTGACTTTGATATGAGTTATATATCCAATGTTAGTCCTACTCAGAGCAGGCACGCCGAAGTCAAAGAATTTATGTTAGTTATGTCCTGGATAAGTGTTTACTAGTTATTGTATCTGTATTCATTTAAGAACCATTAAAATTTTGTTTTTAAAAAAGTTATGTCCTTTTGTTTCAATGAGTCTACTCTGAGTAGCACTAGCATTAGAGAACACTGGTTCATTGACCACAGTAAAGAGATTAACCCTAAAATATAGCTCTAAGCATTGTATAACTTATACCCTGAGGCTTTATGATGAAGGGTGGGTAAGATAACCAATAAACAGAATAAATTTTCTCAGATTTTCCACTTTTCCTCCAGGGGGGACGGGGACAACACCACCCTGTCCCTGCTTCAAAATTTCCAGCAATTTTACACATTTCTAAGTGGTGTCATGTGTCAAGTGTGCCTCTTGCTTTAAGTGTGGTTGTAGCTATACTAGAAGTCTGAAAGTCAAAAGAGGTCTTTTACCTTCAGGGTCCGTATGATCCGGAAGGCCGTTCCGCGTTGAGTGGGACAACATAGGGAAGGCCACAGAATCTGCTGAACAGAGGGCAAGCCGCAGTTTCTTCTTTGCATCTCTGGGAGGAAGGGGCAGAGGGGGAGAGAGAAAATATTCATTTCTGCCTTGAATTTTCATATAAACACCAAAATCAATATATTTCAGTGGCTCCCCAAAAAAGAGAGAGGTGGTGGTGGACTCTAGCACCTCATGTGAAAATGCTTATTGTCTAATACGAATCTGCTCTCCTCCCTTTTCCAACAGGAAGGAAGTTTATACAGTGGTACCTCGGGTTACAAACACTTTGGGTTACAGACTCCGCTAACCCGGAAATAGTACCTTGGGTTAAGAACTTTACCTCAGGATGAGAACAGAAATCACATGGCAGCAGAGGGAGGCCCCATTAGCTAAAGTGGTACCTCAAGTTAAGAACGGTTTCAGGTTAAGAACGGACCTCTGGAACGAATTAAGTTCGTAACCAGAGGTACCACTGTTTTGTGAGCCATTTGTTGGAATCCATTTTTGTAAGGTCTAACCCCAAATCCCCTGGAAGAATACACCAGGAAAGGAGGATAGATGCCACAGGGCCTCTCCCATCCCCCAAAAGAGCAATTCAAGTCACTTGCCTTCATGGTGATGGAAGAGCACAGAAAACCAGTAGGCAGTTTCCACTCTCAAGTTACACACTGGAGAATTTCTAAGCAGAGCTTCCAAAAGCAGGGAATGTTATTCAGCATAGAGCTAAATGCCCGCCGTGTCTGCCTCTATACATCGAACAGCCTTAGTGTTTGGGCTCATTTATTAATATTCCTACATTTATACGTCACTTTTGCTTTGAGTAGAGTACGTGGTTCACCCTCCCATTTTATCCTCACAACCACCCTGTGGGATATGTTAGGGTGAGAGTGTGCTGCTGTTCCCCAAGGCTCGGCCATGGCAGAGTTGGAGGATTCGAACTGGTGTCTCTCTGAGTCCTGGTCCAACACTCTAACCGCCACACTAGAGGCAGAGGATTTCCACCAAACACAGAATCCTAGACAGTGTTTAGATCTAGCCTTCTTCCCAAAGTCCCTTTGTCTACTGCAGTGAACATCTCTCTCTCTCTCTCTCTCTCTCTCTCTCTCTCTCTCTCTCACACACACACACACACACACACACACACAGAGAGAGAATCAAGCTACCTGTAAGAGAAAGCCGAATCCTGTGGCTGGGCTGCTTGGCTGGCAGAATCTGGAAGGTCATCTGCGGATATGTTCTGCAAGTTGTCGTCCCGCACAGAGTCATGGATGCTCTCGCCATCTCCAATGGCATCTAAACCCAGCCCACCAAATGAGCATAGAAAAGTTAGCCTTATCACATTAGCAGCAGGTAGCAGCCATCCTTTTCCCCTCATTGCTTGAAAACCATGACGGCTGGGGGCAAGAACAGACTCTCACCTGCATTGTCATAGGTCACTACAGCTCCCTCATTGGGGCTGGTTCGCTTAATCGCATTCCTGTACTTGTCCAGGATGTCCTCCGCTGCCTGGGCCTGAGCGCTCAGTCTAGGGCCAGAGTCATCTAAAATGCCAAAAAGGGGGGGGGGGTGAGAAGCAGCAAGGAATTAACATGGGGGTGGGTGTTGGTCTCGAGTAGGCAGTCTAAATACCAAAGGCATCATGCGGCGGATGAAGTCATACTGCTACTATGGACATGAGTGAATGTGAGAATATAGAAATGTGTCATTGGGGGTTTCTCCCAGCCGTTTTGCTTTCCCCGTTAAATCAAATGTGTGAGAAAGATGGCTGCAGAAACACAGGTTTTTGTTTTTTTTAAAAAAATAATTTATATTAAAGATTGTCTTGGTTTACAAAAGTACGTGCATTGTCTCTTTTTTCAGGTTGTACAGTCTTTTATACAGACCAGTTACATTTGATATGAGACATTAGTGTTGTATACAGTATAAGTTTGAGGAAGAAGAGAGAGGTGGGATGGTGAAACTTACATGCCAAAACACAGATTTGAGGAAAGAACTTTTTTTTAACTGGTTCAGAAGGTTTAGACTCCCACTACAGACATTCATTGTGGTTATAGCAATGAAATAACTAAAGTACAGCATTTTCTGGTTCAAACACACACAAAAACTCTTCATATTATCTGGTGTCCTGTTTATTAGTTTCCCCTTGTGTTTATTTTTAGATTATAAGCCTGCAGGTAGGGACTGTCTTGTGCTGATTGTATGTTGGCTGCTCTGGGAGCCTTTTTGGTTGAAATGTGGGGTACATAAACACTAAACAGATAGATGCAAGTTGCAGTTCAACATTATCTGGACAGCCACAGGCTCCACACCCCTGGTTTAATACAAGCCATCTGCGTGCAGTGAAACACAAAAACACATACAGCCTGAAGTGATGCAGTTCTACAGACTTGCCCCAAGATGAGTGTTCTCATGTAGTAAGTATAGGTAAATCCTATCTGAATCCCTAGACCAGGATCCTTGAGATCTTCTTTATTTAAAGTCAACCATGTTATAAAATTCAGCAGCAACTACTAACCTTGAAGAGCGTTGTATCTATCAGGCACAAAGTCCTCTTTGTCCTTGTCCTGCTTCTCTTTTTTTCTAAATGGGATGGGAGCTGGGGAAGGCGGAAGGCAGAAGAATTTTAATTTGAAATAGGAACTTCTATGACAGCTCAGTTTGCACAAGATTATTCCAAAAAACATTTCACCCCATGGTAATGAGAGAAAGGATCTGAAGAGTGAGAGGGAGAGAAATTCTGTGAACTGCCCAGAGACCACCGGGTATAGGACAGTATATAAATTCAATAAATAAAATAAAAATAAAAATACCACAGGTGCAAAAATCCCATGAGAGAGAGCTTCTTCTAGGCATGTTTTGAGTGATATTGCCACAAGTCCAGGTGATAGGTAAACAGGTACATATATATATATATAAAGTAACCCACCAGTCTTCCTGCAACAACACTTGAAGCTGAAACAAGGCATCAGCAGGCAAAGAAGCGAACAAGCTGTTTTCGGGGCAAGACAATCAGGTTTTTTTGTTTTGTTTTGTTTTGTTTTGTTTGTTTTTAACTAAAAGGAACTTTCAACAAAAGCCAACTGCCAGAATCTCTACAGCACAATAGAAATTGCTTAAAAAATGACTATATCCATTATGTTATAAAAAAAAACCTTCAGAATTTAAGTAGCATAAGAAATAACACATAATTCACAGGTATCTAAGGGGCAGGAAGACTGAGTATGGTGGGATTTTATTTCATATAGTTCAGTTTAAGATATACAAGTATCTCTCCCTGTGCCATTTGGAAAAAATATGATTGCCATTTAATATATTCAGGTTTTGCATGCCCTTCCTTTAGTTGGATATATCATTGGGTTTTTGGAATTGTTTATTTGTCTCTGTCAACCAGGCAGAGGGCCTTCTCGGCACTGGCGCCCACCCTGTGAAACGCCTTCCCACCAGATGTCAAGGAAATAAAAAACAATCTGACTTTTAGAAGACATCTGAAGGCAGCCCTGTTTAGGGAAGTTTTTAATGTTTGATCTTTTATTGTGTTTTTAGTATCTGTTGGAAGCTGCCAAGAGTGGCTGGGGAGGCCATAAAATATTTTTTAAAAAACAGTAAAAAAAATAAAGGCAACCCGTTTTTCAATATAAATGTGGCTCCCTGGCTTACTGAGGTGATTTTCTTCTCTGTAAGGAAAAGCAATGATCACTTGAAAATGTGCAAAAGTCACCTAGTCCTGGTGATCAAAGAGGATCAATGGCGCAAAATGTGGTCCAGACCACTGTTAAAAATAGTGGCCATAATACAATGAAATACTTGAAAATTATATATAAAGTGGCATTGGACCCCACTAAAGTTTCCCCAAATTAATCTTCAGCATTCCCCAAGTTGTTGGAGAAGGTGCAATGTTCTGGGATCTCTGATCCAAATGTGGTGGGACTGTGCCCTGCTACATTCATTTTGGCAAAACATTTCCTCTGAAATTTCTATTATAATCAATCATAATTTGATTTTGGATCCTAAATTAACACTTTTGACACTTGAGGGCAGCTCTAACCCTGAGGTTCCATCTTGAGCTCTAGTCTCTTTTCTCTTAGCTATGGCCAGAATGGAGACTGCTGCTGGGTACAAAACAGGAGAAAAATCTTACTTTGCATTTTTGGTACGCATGTGTATGGGAATTAGCACTTTCTGAATGCTTAACCCAACACAACAGGGCTATTAATGGATAGGCAAAAAGAGATAAAAAATTAGGCATGTGCATTTAGATGATGATGATGATGATGATTATGCCCTTTATCTGAAGATCCCCAGGCAGTATACAACATTAAAAACATTGATCACATCAATGTCAGCACAGTTATTGCAACCCCCGACAACACACGTATGTCGATGGAGAGGACTACCTCACCCAAATAACTAATCAGTGAACTTACTATGCATGTACCTTACTGTTACTTTTTGTAACCGATAAGCCAATAATATGTACTCCATTTGTTGTTCTTGTTTTTATGATATGCTTATGGTATTACTGCTGAAAATCATTTTTTAAATTTTTTTAAAAATAAAACTTGCCCAAGTCCAGCTTTTGAACAAATAACCAAAACTGATTTTTTGCTACCTATTTAGGGTGATATGTTAGGACACTGGTCTTCAACCCACAGCTGAGTTGTGGCCACAAGAACTGCACTTCCACTAGACAAATGCACAGTAGAAGAAATAAGGCATTATACACATAACTTATCTAAGAGGTGAGAAATAAAACCACACCTCTGGGCATAGCTGAAACAAAACGTTTCCTCCACCATGGTTTGTTCCGGTCAGATTTCTCATCGTCGCTGTCTTTGCGATCCTCAACCTGTTTGGGGAGAGATGTGTTGGGTCAGGTCTAGACTTAAGTTAGTTGAAATCAATGGAACTTGAGTCATGAGTATCTTTTCCTGTTGATTTTTCAGCAGAAAAGTTGAAATAACTACTAGATCCAACCTGTTGTTTTCATTCTGCCTTATCCGATTCTGTTGAATGTTAATAAATGTTAAACTCTGGTTGGAGGCTTGTAAGAAGCAGGATTTTTAAAAAACCATAGGGCTTTTAAACCAAGTAATCAATCAAATATGAATTGAATATTAGCATATTTAAATTCAATACTTGAGATCAGGGGGGACCTGGAACCCTCTAGATGTCGCTGGACTTCCACTAGCCCCAGCAGCCAGCACAGCCAATGGCCAGAGAAAATGGGAACTGTAGTCCAACCATGGAGGGTCATGTAGCAGTAGCAGCCACCACTGAAACTCTGCCCTCTGCATGAAGCACAGTCCATCCCTTTTGAATCATACAAAGAGGCTGTTGACACATGGACCTATATCTGATAAGAAGAACCTGTCTCCTTTGATCAACCAAGAGCACTAGAGAGTTCAGTTCTTTGTTCCGTGTGCAGGAGAGGGAGGGGAAATAGTGGACTCTTCTACCCCTTTATGCAGGACTAAAAGGGATATTGGTGACTTTCCCCCCACTTGCTCAACCACAAAAGCTAATGGGTGTGTGGGGGACACTCCTCTGAGGTCAAGGGTGACTGACTGTTTAGCCTCTCACAGCCTCATCAGCTTTCCACAGGAGAAAACTGGCAGATTAAAAGACAGGGCAGTGTGGCCTCTATGCTACAAAATCAAAAACACTGAATTCTGTGACTTATGTAAAAATTGCCAACCAGTTTCTGCCTGGTGCATTCTGCTTTGAGCTACTTATGAAAAGTAGAAAGGATCTATACAAGAGACTGAAATCCCGTATTAGTCACACACTTTCAAACATATATTCATAAGGGCTAGAAGCTTGCTTCTTAAACCTCTGAAAGGACTAAAAGCTTAATAATAATAATAATAATAATAATAATAATAATAATAATTTATTATTTATACCCCACCCATCTGGCTGCGTTTCCCCAGCCACTTGGGCGGCTTCCAACAAAGTATTAAAATACAGTGGTCTTGCTTCAACTTGCTTCAAAGGGGAAAGAAACCCTTGGGATTCTTAGGAATTCTGCGGCCAACACCACATTTTGTGGCTTTTCAGTACTCCCACCAAACTGTAATGTGTATGGAGTTAAGAACAAAGGACTTTAAAATTAAGTCTGCGGGATCAGGCCAAGGCCCAACTAGATCAGCATCTTGTTCTCACAGTAGCCGAGCAGATGCCTGTGGGAAGCAAGCTGGAGAGGAGGCCACAGCACTTTGCCCACCTGGGATTCCCAGAAACTGGTATTCAGAGAAACCATGCCTCTGACAGTGGAGGCAAAACATAGCCATCATGGCTAGTAACTACTGATATCCTTGCCCTCCGTGAATTAAGCTAATCCTCTTTTAAAGCCATCCAAATTGGGGCCATCACTGCCTCCTGTGGAAGCAAGTTTCATAGTTTAACTATGCTCCAGTTGAAGGGAGTTCTAGCTTAAGAAAAAATTGAGGTAGCAACCAAGCTAACACATAATACACACAAAATGCTTTTAGATAGAGGTAAAACTTAATGCATTACTTAGCTATAAAGCCTTGATTCGAGAAAGCCATTGAGAGGCTTAGTTTGTCTTCTCTTACCTCTCCTCTGCAGGAATCTCTGCTAGGAGATGAGGAAGAAGACTGAGAGGCTGTCAGCAAAGGAGTTCCCCCTACACAGCCAAGCACAGAAAGCTCCCTCTCCTCGTTGCCGGCTCGCCTGTTCCAACCAGGGTCACTCATTGGCCTCCGGGCAGATGACACTATATCAGAGCTCCTGCTCCGCACGAGCCTCTCAGGATAGGAATACCGCTGCCTGAACACTTCGGAGTCAATGATTATAGCAGTGTGGGAGCTGAAATTGGGCAGCCTTGCCTCGTTGCCTCCTAGGGTCCCTTCCAGGATCGGGGGGTCTGGCGGGGGGTGTGAAGGTCTTGCATAGTGCACTTTGGGCCTCACCACTGCTGGAAAAAACACCAGCGTCAGACCAAGCAAAGCATTACACCAACGCTGTTCTTTCACATCCCTTTACAGTTACAGGTAACACATGGAAGTTTTGCAGCTATGGAAAGAGGACCAAATGCAGTAACACTACTGTTAACATGCATGTGGCCCACGCGCTGCAGGATTACCTTCGTTGGAAGACAAGGGATCGAACATGGCAAGCAAGGATTCTGCATGAGACAAGGTAGAGGCCCCCTGGCTGGTTCCTAAAAGATGGAGAAGTGGGTTTAAGAAAGTACCAGGAGGATCTTCACTAACAGGCTGCATAGACCCTAAGAAGCCAGAGATATCACCTGAGGTCACCTACTCCAGCATGCCTACAGCACTCTGACATACAAAAGGATTTGCCTTTCACTATGGATACTTTAAGGGATGCAGGTGGTGCTGTGGTCTAAACCACTGAGCCTAGGGCTTGCCGATAGGAAGGTCGGCGGTTCGAATCCCCGCAACAGGGTGAGCTCCCGTTGCTTGCTCCCAGCTCCTGCCAACCTAGCAGTTCGCAACATGTCAAAGTGCAAGTAGATAAATAGGTACCACTCCAGCGGGAAGGTGAACAGCATTTCTGTGCACTGCTCTGGTTTCACCAGAAGCGGCTATTCATGCTGGCCACATGACCCAGAAGCTGTATGCCAGCTCCCTCGGCCAGTAAAGCAAGATGAGTGCCACAACCCTGGAGTTGTTTGCGACTGGACTTAACTGTCGGGGTCCTTTACCTTTAAAGGTACCCCTGCCCGTACAGGCCAGTCGTGTCCGACTCTAGGGTTGTGCGCTCATCTCACTTAAGAAGCCGGGAGCCAGCGCTGTCCGAAGACACTTCCGGGTCACGTGGCCAGCGTGACGAAGCTGCTCTGGCGAGCCAGCACCAGCGCAGCACACGGAAACGCCGTTTACCTTCCCGCTATAAAGCGGTACCTATTTATTTACTTGCACTTAGGGGTGCTTTCGAACTGCTATGTGGACAGGAGCTGGGACCGAAAGACGGGAGCTCACCCCGCCGCGGGGATTCGAACCGCCAACCATACGATTGGCAAGTCCTAGGCACTGAGGTTTTACCCACAGCCCCACCCGCGTCCCTTTACCTTTACCTTTATGGATACTTTAAATCAATGTTACCAGACATTATTCATCTCTCAAGCATTTGGGACAAGTTGCAATCTTTTCCTCATTCCTGCTGGGGATAATCTTGCCAGATTTAATAATCACCTTCATTGGCTCCTGCTCTGAAAGCCCTAATGCAAGGATGGGCTATCAGCAGCCCTTGGCCGGGCTTCAAGAAGTCCTCCCTACAAGTAATTTGCTCAGACCTCTGGGTAAGAGTGGCATACCCCTCCTTTGGCTTCTCCTCCCATGCCCACAACCTGAGTGGATATCACCCATCCTCAACAGAGAAATGTCATCATTACTCATCAGAGAATTTTGGGTTTCTACTTCAGCACATGGCACAAGGGAGAATTTTCCCCCCCTTACAGTTAATTTCAGTTTACAGATTTGGGTGCGGGAGGACAACATTCCTGATAAGGATGACTCCCCCTGCTGGGTCTCGTGTCCACTCCAGGTGGAGTCATCCTGTCTCTCCAGACTGTCAGAACGGAAGAACACCTCAACCCCCAAGAAGTTAAGGAGAACCCATAGTTACTCAGCACTAGGAATGAAAACACTCATACAAACCGCAAGACGTTAGGAAGAAACTCAAAGGTAACCCCTGCCAAACACCTTCCCATACAGAACTGCAACCGATTGTAACCTCTGGGTATTCCCTCTTTCCATTTTCCACCTCATAATCCTTTGGCTCATTTTCTTCATCTTCATCAAACATTGATCTGATCATTTTTAATAGTTCAACCATCAACTGTTTAACAATACCAACAGTCACTGTTTGAAACAAAACTACCTTTTCCATACCGGAAGCTTTTAATGTTATGGATATTATCGGCCACTCAATCCACCTTAATGTTTTCCCTTTAAAATCACAGTTGTGACTATGCCATCTCAAAGCAAATTCCTTTCTCACAGCTAATTATGGCCATTTGACTTTCACCAGTTCTTTAATGGCAAGAAACAAAAAAAGCATTAAATGTTTTTCAAAAACGAGTTCCTATCGTCCATTTTAATCTTTCTTGTCCACCATAAATCAAGCCTTTCCACTTTCCTTTAGACATTTTAACAATTAGTTTCCTTTCTGTTTCATTAACAACAGAAGGTGTCTACCCCATCTGTTCTGAAAGGAAGAGGAAGGTTGTGATTTAAGAATTGTAAGGTGCCTGAAAAAATTGGGTCAAATCCCCTACTACACACTCCCCTTTACGAGAACAGCAGGTGGGGGGGGGACTAAAAGGTGTGTGATAGGGCTGGGCGATGTATCGATACATCATCCAACACTGGTTTGTGGATCACATCATGAGAACCATTACAGAATGATTGAGCTGGCAATGTATTGCAAAGCACAGCCTTCAAAACTACAAGGGGCGGAATAACTGAGTCCTCTGGTGGCTGGCTGGCTGGCTGCCCTTTCAGCTCCCTTTCCCCTCCAATGGCAGAACACTCTCACTCCCAGCCTCGGTGCCCCCCTATAACCATGGTGTCTCTACCCGATGCAGAAATCACAGGTGGGCTGGATAGTTCTGTTGGTTAAAGTGTGGTGCTGATAACACCAAGGCTGCAGGTTCAATCCCCATATGGGGCAGCTGCATATTGCTGCATTGCAGGGGGTTGGACTAGATGATCCTCAGGATCCCTTCCAACTCTACAATTCTATGATTCTCTGATTCTTCCTTCTCCCTCTGTCTAGGGAGGAGTGGAAGGAGTTCACCCTCCAAACACGAGGGCTCGCCTGCCTTTGGGAGGAGGAATTCGCAGTGCACATAGCACACACCTATTAATCTCCATGACTGCTACTCTGCCCAATCTCCCCCACTCCACCCTACATAGCTCCATGTTTCAGACACTGTGATATATCACTAAATTGCAATGTTTAGCTGGTGATATACCGCAATGTTGAAAACCAGATAGTGTGTATAATGGAAAACAAAATGGAAGGTGTGATGGTGCTGGAGGGTGGGGGAGGCCGGCAGGGGGAAACATGCAAGACACATTCAGAAACAACCAAGGAAGAGCAGAAAGTAAAGAGGACTGAGATTGTACACAGAAAGAAAAATCCACAAAAAACAAGTACTCAGGCAAGTGTTTCTCTCCATACACAGGGAGAGACGTGAAGACCCAACCATCCCTAGCAACATGAAGGGCCAGTCTGGAGAGACACGATGACTCCTCTCCCCTGGATAAGACACAATAATCTGAAGACCTTGACTGCCTCCAGCAGGGGGATCATCCCTAGCAGGAATGTCATCACCCTCCATCTGGTAAATTCAAATGCTTTCAGGACTGATGTTTAAGCTGCCAGGAAAATCACTGCGGGGCGGCCCATGCTTCCCCTTACCATGAGCTGTATCATCCATGTCAGGGCTGGTTACTGAATCCTTCCCACCAAAGTCAGAGCTACACTCGGATCGGAGGTCCTCAATCTTGTTTGGGATGTCTTCAGAGGTTGCGCTAATGCCTTAGGAGAGAACAAGAGACCTCGCTGAAAGGGAAGCCACCAAGTCTGAAGACATTCAGCACCACAGTAACTTACTAGACTACTGCAGTGGATATCCGTTCCAGCAATGAATGCATGGGATTTATAGACCAAGAGCCTCCTCCTGCTCTCCACATCTAGAACCCTGTCCAGCAAGACCAAACTCTGTAACCTTGAGGAAGCAATCCAAGCCATGCAATTTCCCCTCCTTTATTTTACAGCTGGATTATGAGTTCCTCCTGCTTCAATTATTCTATGGGAATTTGACTAGTCCAGAAAGCAGAATGACAACAATGAATGCTTTGGGCTTAACTCTTTAATTCTCATCCCCAATTAAATCTCTGAGGAGGAATATATAATTGCATTTCCTTGCCTTCATGCCATGTTATCAACCTCCACACCCCTTTCTGCCAACTCTCACAACTTAGAGCAGGAACTCTCCTCCTCTTTTCAGCAAGAAACACACACGAAGACCACCCTCCTGCAGTGCTTACTGACTTTTCCTTTACCCAGGCACTAACCCTGTCAGGAATCTTAGACCAGCTAAAATTCTTCTGAGGGTAGTGAGTATATGTCTGGCTTTGAAAGGCTGCCATTCGTGGGGAGGCAGCAAAACAACTCTCACAAGAGCCATCTTAGCATGGAGCCAAGAGGAGAGAAGCAATTTTGAGAAGCTAGACCATCCACTGAAAAAGGACTTGGCCTTCTTATGGATGACAATCCCATATACAAGTTTTACAAAAAAGTCACAAACACATAAGAGACACACAATTAGGAACATAGGAAAGTGCTTTTCATGCCAGATCAGATTGATCCATCTCTGACTGGCAGTGGCTCTCCAGTCTCACAGGCCAAGAATGCTTCCTTCCTTTTCACCTGCTCCCTGTCTAGAGATACTATTGATTGAACCTGGGATCTTTTCACATGCAAAATGCATGCTCTGCCCATATGAGCTAAGGTCACTTCCCCAGTTCTCAAATCCCTGGCATCTCCAGCAGCAGGGCTAAGGAAGTCGAATGCCTGAGATCTTGGACTGCTGCTGCCATTCAGGGTAAACAATACCAGGTTAGACGGACAAGCAGTCTTATTAGACATAGCACAGCTTCAACTGTTCACATGATGTATTGTTTTCTGAGGTCTCACCTGATACGACACTGAGGCCTGGTGTGCTGGGGCGGGAACTGACCTCCCTCACATCTGTGTCATCGGAGGTGCTCCCCACCCCAGAGCAGCTCTCAAGCTCCTGCAGCCTCTCCTCTTGCTTTAGATCTGGTGCCTCTAAATTGTGGGTGGGGAGAAATACAACACACAGGTCACCTTCTAGATACAGTAGTCTTGTAATTTTACATCCAGTTTTCACAAATTTCCTACCTTCCATGAACACTTCCCAAACATTGGAACCCCAGTGCAGATGCCACAGAGTCATGTTCAATTCACATGGTACATTGACCTGGATCTCTTGGCCTTATTATCACCCCCACATGAATCCCCTAGACCAGGGAAGGTGAATCTGTGGCCCTCCAGGTGTTTTGGGGCATCAGCTCCAAACAGCATAGTCAAGAGTCCAGGGTATCCAACAACATATGGTGAGCATCAGCTTGGGGAAGGGCTGCCCCAAAATGTACTCATCACCCTTCCTTTCAGATGCATGCAGGAGATCTAAGTAGCAGGCAAGCTGCCTTTCAGAGAAGCTCCCCTGATGTTAATAATCTCCCCATTGTGGAAAATCTCCTCACTGAAGAACCTCAGAATTCCCTGGAGCAAGGATTCCCAAATTTTGGTATGTGCATCGCCAGTGGTCCACAAGCTTCATTCAGGTGGTCCAGAGCATGTCTGCATTAAATATTCATACTGATTTTAACAGTATGTTTATTGCTACTTTTATTTTTTCTCTATTGGTCTTTTACTGTATGACAATTTGATTCTATGGAATTCAAAATACGAAAGAACAAAAGAAGCAATACAAATGCACTTTAAAAAATCACGTGGCATCTACCACAGTGCATTTTAATCGCTACAACAGGAATAAAAATCAACAAGAAAAATCACTAAGACTCTCAGCAGTTTTCAAGTGGTCCGTAAGGAAAATAGTTTGGGATCGATCCACGGCCCCAGAATACAAGGTTTGTGTAGAGAATTAAGGAAACATTTGCATGGGAGAGTAGGCAGAATGGAAGACCAGGGGAGGTTAATCTCTCATGGGAGGCTTCTAGGTTGCCTCATTTGAATGGCCCCACTGTCTGGAGTGAGAGTAGCAACCCAACAAAGGATATCTTCCTCCACCATAAAGAAACAAAGTGTGTGCATGGGTGAGTAAACTGTTAAGAAAAGGCACTACTTGTACTAGTTGACTACAGTTGTCCATACATTGGTAACCTCACGGTTGAAGGACTGCAATGTACTCTCTTTGTGGCTACCCTTGGGGTTGATCTGAAGGCTACAGCCAATGCAGAACAAGGAGGCCAGTGTGTTTGTGGGGGCAAACTATCAACAGCATATAATACCTTGCTTGTGGGATTTGTACTGGCTGTCTATTTGCTAGTAGGCCAAGTTCAGGCGTTGGTACTAACACATCCATCCCTATACAGCTTGAAACCAGGTTACTTAAAACACTGCCTTATCCCTTATACACCCGCAGACCACTGCAGTCCGCAGGAGAATCTCTCCTGCAAGTTACTAAGGTCTCAAAAGCTCACTCCACAGTAACGCAGAGCAGGGCATTTAGTGTGGCTGCCCCATTCCGTGGAATAAAAAGCACCCACATTCTGCCCTTTCTGGAAATAACGGAAGTTATTTTTGTTCTGATGGGCTTCCCCAGGTGAATAAATGATCGTTTACTATGAGTGTCCACTTGTCATGGTTTTAGCCTTGTTTTAAATGTATTTGTGTTTTGTTTTTGTTTTTATGTTGTGTGTAAATCACCTTTGGGCAGTGTTTTTGTAGGAGATTAATAAATATACAGCTATTTATTAATATAGCACCCTCAGCAAAAAGCACATTACAGAATTTCATAGGCAGCAGACAGGTCCCTGGCCTGGAAAGAGCTTACAGATCTAATAGGGGTGGGGGGGGGGGGAGGAAGATGGATAGAGGCAACCGCAGCTCCATGTGCTTATTTTACTCAACAAAATTTATAATCCTCCTTACTAGAACAATAGACCTCTAAGCAGAGTACATGACAGTCTCAAGTGTTAATTAAAAATTTCAATAAAAGCAAATATCAACAGGCTACATAAATTTAAAAAAACCATACAATAAAAAATCAGTAATTTTGAAGCATACCTACTAAAATCACGTGTCTGGGCAGGATTGCTGGAACAAAAAAGGTTTTAGCAGGCACCGAAAACAGTACAATGAAGGTATGCCTGCCTAATATGCATGGGAGGGAGTTCCAAAGCACAGGTGCCGCCACCCTTGAAGCTTAAGGTTTAAATTAATTAAAGTAGGTTTAAAGGAATGAAGACAAAGAGAAACGCTTCTGTGTCCACCTCTGGGAAAGAGTTCCAAGCACAAAGGAGAGAGCACAGAAATGTTTAAGGAAGCAAAAGACCTCCAGCAGCTAAGGGTGGTAAGAGTCGAAGGAACAGAGGCCATAGGCAAGAATATAATTGGAAACAAAGGCCAAGAAGAGATGGAGAAACGTCACGGAGAACATTTAAAGTTAATGACAAGGGACCATGTCCAACATTATTCCTGCTCAGAGTAGACCCATTGAAACAGCTGGGTGTGACCATCTTAGCTTTGTTAATCTCTATGGGTCTACTCTAAGTAGAACTTAGCTGGACAGAATCCAGAGATTCTGCCAGATATGAAAGGGATTGGAAGGTAGGGAAGGATTATTTATTTTATTTTGTATACTGTTTTGGCACAGTTGTCCCCAAGCAGTGTACAGGAGACCCACAATAAGACTAAAAATGTGTTAAAACTATAATATCAATTTAAAAGCCTGCTGATTTTTTTTTAAGTCTCCAGTAAGAAGTTCAACAGAGAAGGGAAGTTCAATATGGAAATGAAGTTCAAGTTTCCTTAACCAAAGAAACCAGAAGGTAGCATTCCTTCATAATTACAGCCCTGCTTGTGTGGGACATACAGACAAATCAGTTATCTTTAAAGCTGAGGAGTCTAACCTGAATCACTTGGTAGCACTTCAACGCTCCAAGCTTCACTGGTGGTTTCCGAGATGGTTGAGCCTGTGCAGGGGTCAAAAAGCACCGATCCTGAACCAGGCAAACACAGCAAGCTTCCCAGCATATTCTCAGCTGCGGCACCTGAGGAAGCAACCCACAATTTGTTAACGGCACGGAGATACCCAAAGGCAATTACATCTACCCTTTATCCCTCATGTTAGCTCTGAAAGGATCCATTTTCTGGCTGTCCAGTAGCGACTGTGCAAGAGGCAAAAACCCTATCTACCTGGAAAACATTACGTTGCCCCTATTCTCACTAAACAATATGGGCCACCACCCATGAGAAGCTTGCAATCTTTTAAGAATGTAAGAAGTGCCCTGCTGGATCAGGCAAATGGCCCATCTAGCACAGCATTCCGGTCTCACAGTGGCAAGCCAGATGCCTGTCGGAAATTTGCAAGGAGGATCCAAGCACAAGAGCACTCTCCCCTCCTGCTGTTTCCAGCTAACTGGAATTCAGAAGGATTACTGCCTCCAACTGTGGAGGCAGAATATAGCTATCATGGCTAGCAGCCATTTACAGCCCTCTCCTCCATGGATTTGTCTAATCCTCTTTAACGTCATCCAAGTTGGTGGCCTCCACTGCTTCTGTGAGAATTAGTTCCAAAGTTTAACTCTGCAGTGCATGAGGAAATACTTTCTTTTATCCGTCCTGATTCTTCAACATTCAGCTTTACTGGATGTCCACATGAGTTACCCAGATTTCATGTATTACTCGAACTGCATGGCTCCTTCCCACATCATCATCTGTGGGGTGGAAGTGGGCCACTGGCAATGGAAGTAACCATACAATGAGCTCCTGCTTATTACACTTACACCCTGCTCTTCCTATAGAATGCTAAGGGAAATGTCTATGCAGCTCTCTATTGGTTCTTCCATCCAAGCAAATCCTGTCTAAACCTGAGTAGCTGTATCCATGTTACTATATCAGGTACTGTCAAGACCATGCATCATACATTTAGCACTGCGAGGCAAAACAACCTTCTGGGGAACTGTGGTAAAGCACTCCATGCAGAGAATCCTTTAACCCAGTCTATAAATTGCATGAATATGCTTTAAATGGGCTCCTCTGCTCTTCCCTGTTAGCGCTGGGAGGAAAGAAAGTGCAACCCGTAAACTGATGTTAGATCTGGACAAGATCATAGTTTTGCATTGCCCCCCAGAAGCCATGATCTGTAGCCAAGATTTGTTCTCAACTTGCTGATCATGATTTGTTAAAAGGTGTTTCCTACCTTTGAACAGTTGCAAGATATTTCTTGACTTAAGTAAATGTATAGTTTCAACCTTAAAGCATGGCAACAATTGTGCAGTGCACTCTTTTTGGGTACCTGCTTCAAAACACATATCCAAATACAGAGTGCAGGCACCTCACTGCTTTGCAGAAGGACCAGTGTTTTTCTTGCATCAAACAGCAGACCGGTTACCTGCAATTTCCTGCAAGCGGTCCTCGTCAATATTTGGATCGAAGTCGCTCCCTAGAACATCAGTGCTCCAGGTCTCGCTCACAGTCTCAGAGATGTCCCTGTCATCTGTTAACCCCATCATGTCACGGATCTCAAATTTACGGAGCTTATCATCAAGGTTATCCTGAGTGGTTGCTATTGTAAAAAGATCAGAGTTTGGTTAAAACACTTTGCATCCCTACACAATTATTTCATAGCTTGTGTTTTTAAAGGTGGGGAACTGAGGTAAACATGAGGCAGGATGACCACATAAAAAGAAGACAGAAGGCTTATTGAACCTTTAACAGAAGCAGGAACTTTGGCAGGCATAGCTTATCAAACAGGGATGAGGGTGGAAATCATCTGCCAGAATTCCCCCTTCCACTCAACGGTTACAGATACAAGATCAGTGCCCTTCTTTGTATTTGATCACCCCTGGAAAGAGAAGGACAATGCATAGGTAAAGAGGAAATCCAGAGAAAGTGAGTTGTACCCAGTGCTGCTGTTACTCCAAGTTAGACACACTGAAATTAATGTACACAGCTCACTTAGGAGCATCAATTTCAATGGGTCTAGGTTCAAGTAGAACTTGGTTGGAGACAACCCATTTTAGCATCTAAACCATCTTTCACCACACTTGAGTAGACCACAGTTGAGGCAGCCAACTCTAGGCTTCCATCCATGGCATGCATCAAAACCATTAGCTCGCAAGGTATTAGGAAGGGCACAAGTAGCACACTCTGTTTACAAACATGAAGTAAGCACCCACACGTGGACTGGTCTGCATGTCAGAATATGGTTTACTGCAACCATGCAGTCTCCTGAAGACAAGCTTGCACCTGCTTTACTTCCTGGGCTTTTCAGGAAGCCATTTGACGTCCGAGGCACGTTCAAAAATGGAAGCATTTACTTCCGGGTTTTCAGAAGCCAAGACGTTCAGCAGCCGAGACGTTTGAAAACCAAGGTTTGACTATAATAAATTTGAGAGCAGGGACTGATCACTGGTATTAGCAAGTCACTTTTTGGCCATTGGCATTTGTAAGACCTTTTGTGTGTGTGTGAAGAGTGGGATTTAAAAAATCTTTTAAACTAAATAGGCATAAACCAAAAAAGGCAGTGAGTTCAGCATCTACGAGCTACGCCTTTGGCTGTGTTCATTGTCAGCACTAACCTTGCTCATGCTCCAGCAGTTGCAGGGCTTCCACCCCATTGCTCCCTGATGGGCCGCCTGCACCAAGTTCAGACACAGATTCCCCCTCCAAGTCCAACGATGACACAGAATTGGAGCGATTTGAAGGGCCTGTTGGAAAGAGATGGTGCTATTTAGCCTGATCTCCCCGCACCCAGTAAGAGGAAATATACACCCAACTAAATGCAACCACGAACCAAACAGAAGTCATTAGACAAGGTGATCAAAAAGAAAACTGCACCAAAAAGTTATATATATAAAAAAACACCAAAACGTTATTGGCCAATGAAATGAGCAGCTATCACAGCATTTACAACAGTGGCTGAGATACAAAGCACACACCAGCTACAATGAACAGAAGCTCCTATTAAATATTGCCTGACAGACAAGAGGCCATCACCTTCAGATATTCCTTCCAGATTATCACTGCAGAGGGAAAAGCGCAAGGTTTTATCAGGTTTACCGTGGAGTTTGGTTTCATCAACAGGGACATCTCCTTGCCCTCCGTCAGCAAGCTGCATGTTTAAAACCTAGGAAAAGGGGGGTGGGGGGTGATCAGCATTTTGGTCATGGATTGACAGTCAAGAAAGAATTATTGTTTGCCAAATACCTTTAAGCCAGAATTTTTAACTTAGAGTCTCTCTGGCTTCCAGTGCCATCAAACTTTTGGAGTGTAGCGATTTGGTATCAGAACTGCTTCTCCAATTTGTTTGGAGTCATTAGAACATAGCAGAAATCAGATACTAAATTAAACTGTCTATATTTAAGAAATAATAGATGTATATTCACTAAATATGGCAAATATAGAGCTATCATTGTTTTTGCCAAGTGCTTGTGAAGCCCATAATAAATCTAACATTTTACATCACAGGATCCATTATATCTTCTTCACCTTCACATCGGGGGTGGGGAGATGAGGTGGTGAATTATCAAGTTGCCATGAGTCTGTCTTAACATTTATTGTCCTGAATACAGAAGTGATAGGCACCTCACCCAGAAAGCCCACATCCAACAACTGTTCAGATGTCACATGAAATCATGGTTTACTGTGACATGAATGAGCCCTATCAAATGGCTGAGGGAAAGAGCTCATAAGCTTTTGCTTCTGGTTATCCACAGCTTGTTGTGTTTAACCCAAAACTTATTTTGGGTTCAAATAACAAGTTATTAAGTTATTTTAAATAAAAAAACAGTCAACTTCAAAGTGCAATTTCTGAAACTGGCTTGCTTAAACTAACCATTGTTAATGTTGACCATGGTTTGTGGGTCCAGACAATATATACTAACTGCAGTTAACCAAACCAATATGTGAAGGAAGTACTACAGTGGTGCCTCGCAAGACGAAATTAATCCGTTCCGCGAGTGTCTTCGTCTAGCGGTTTTTTCGTCTTGCGAAGCAACCCTATTAGCGGCTTAACGGATTAGCGCTATTAGCGGTTTAGCGGCTATTAAAGGCTTAGCGGATTAGCGGATTAGCTGCTAAAAGGCTATTAAAGGCTTAGCGGCTTAGATAAAGGGGGGGAAAGCGGAAAAAAAATCTCAAGACTCGCAAGACATTTTCGTCTTGCGAAGCCAGCCCATAGGGAAATTCGTCCTGCGAAGCAACTCAAAAACGGAAAACCCTTTCGTCTAGCGGGTTTTCCGTCTTGCGAGGCATTCGTCTTGCGGGGCACCACTGTACTTCATGTTTGCTGAAAGCTGGATCAAGGAGGGACAGACACTTGTTTGCTGTTGGAAAACAGCAGTTAATGTTTTCATAGTTCCACAGCACCTAGTACTAACTGAATTTAAGGTAGCATCCTGTGCTGCACAGCACCTACTTCCACCTACACAGATCTCAAAGCCTCGCTGGGTCAATACCTCGTTTTCTGACATCATTCCTGGAGTTATTTGGGGCCCAGTCCCGAGAGAAATAACCAATACTTCTTCTGGTTGAACTTCTTGTATTGTCTCCTGAGAGAATCCATCATGGTCTGCATGCTGGTCCACTTGAATATTTGATCGGCTCCGGCTTCGGGTAGCTGGAACATTTTAGGGGGATTGTTTTATAAAGGATTTTTGACTGGCAAAAATGCAAGATCCATACAACAGGGTGATGCTTAATACAAGCATGCTGAGCAAAAGGCAAAAATGGCTTTGAAAGACTGTCACGAAGTGGTGCTATATGATGCCACCCTCCAGCTGTTGAGGGCTGCCTTGCAAGCATCAAGCCAGCACACTATGAGCCTTCAGGAAGAAGGGTTAAGGAAAGCCTTACGTGTACACCTGCCCTCTGGCTACCAGGCATTAACCACAGTAGTTTAAATGTCTCATAGATCTTCCAACAGTCCTGTGGACAGAAGCTTTATACATTAATTGTGCAGAAGATTCTTTACTGGCAGGTGGGTTTTGCCACATCTGAGTGCTGCAGGGAGCAAAAGGAAAAATCCCTGCTGAAATCCCTGCTTCTGTGTAATTACTCAAGGCACGGGGACATCTTATCCAACCATCCAAAGGGGGAACAAAGCTCTTCTTGCATTGTTTACTACTCCCTTTTGTAAAATCACTAGGGAGGCATAAGTAGGATTTCAGTTACTCCTACTTCCCTGGTTTTTGTTCATGCTTTATTCTCAGGAAAGACAAAGTGTCTATCGTTACATCTCCTCTGCCCCAATGCAACACAATCTCTGGTAAAATGTCCAGAGGGGCACCAGGTTAATGGAAAAATAGCTGCCTTGCAGTGGTTAAAGAAGAAATTTCACCCCAGTGTTTGGACTGCTGGTAGGGAGAAAATAGTCAGGATCCCCCATAAAAATGGGAGGGTTAAATATCTTTAATGGCGTTACTTCAATGAGAGATAATTAGTTCCTAGATACAAGTAATGAAATAGCCAGTGTCTCTTCACAACTTGAAGCAAATGTATGAGAAAGGAAAGGGCCTTCCTCTCACAGCAAGGGGAAAAAGTCACACTGGCAGCACTCAGATCCTGCTATTTAGACAGCTGCTCGAAAACTCCATGCCAAAAACCACAGTATTACCAAGAATGAGGGCCCCATATCTTGGGTAATATCTAAATGCAGACATAGCACCAGAAAGAGTCCCAAACAGCCAAGCATAAACTGGGGGGGGGGGGTGCAGAAAAATCTTACGTTTCCTCGGCCCCCGTCCAAAAAAAAGAAATCAAGCTCTTTTCAGAAAATAAAATGCATAACATTGGAATAAAGCATAAAATGCTTCAAACAGAAACACAGAAACTTTCAAAACTTTTACTACATTAAGACAGACTTCTACATACACAACACAGAACAAAATACATGATGGAATTTCAAGTCTACATCCCTGCTGGAGTTCCGTTCCAGACAAGGATGACTCTCTAATTCTTGCAAGATGGCAAGTTTACACAGACCAGCAAAAGTAAGTGGTATTCTTTTTGCTTGAACGGAACCATTTCAAGCAGCAAGAGTGTCATACGTTTGAAAATTCCCCAGTTTTTTTTAAAGTCTCTATCTGTAGAAAGGTAATACATCTGCAAGGTTAGACTCAACTCTTCCACCTAACATGCCAATTTTCAAGGTACAGGGCGTTTGGGGTTTTTTTACAAGGTGACATGTAAATATGAAGAAAAAACACCACCCCATTCCATCTGCAACATTAACACTTGAATTTGCCAACTGCATAAACTATCCCAAAGGGTAGCTGGTCATCACAACCGAGAAGTTAAACCATTTTTGTCAAAGCACTCTGCCTTGAGGATGTTTTTGAAAGCTGAGGATAATACATTTTTCAATAATAATAATGATGATGATGATGATGATGATGGAAAGGCATCTAGAGAATAGATTGCTGTTATTTAGAAAGACTTAAAAGGAAAAAATGCACATGATGATTCAAAACCAGCTAGGCATAAATGGAGTTTACATGAAAGAAGGTTGTCACCAGGAATGTTGGTCTTGGAAAATTATGAGGATGATAGACCACAAGAATTCAACAGCCCAGGGAGTGTCTGAACTCTTCTTTGGGTTGTGGACAAAGGTTTAAGGTGTGGTGGATTTCTTCAATATACACACAATTGTGATGTTTGAGGCAGCTTCACTTGATCAGCTGCCACTGGGGGACCTACATGCCTAGAAATTAAGCCATGTTCTCAGAGGGAAAGCATGTCTCCATTATCAGAGGTGGATGCCTAATTCAGCGAGAAGAACAGGGTGCCTATTCTCTAGCAAACTATCTGAACACTGCACAAACATTTTTGACACATTATTTTTACATCTCTTCACATGTAGACTATCAAAGCATATAATATAATTACCACCACAAAAGGTCCATGCAGGATTCTGACCCAATATTCAGAACCAGCGGACTCCTTTCAACCACCCCTTGCACAAATCTTAAAAGACAAGATCCTAAGTCAGAGTTTCATTCGTGCACAAAGTCTGACCCAACCATTCCAACACTTCTTCTAGATATAAAAAGCTTTAAAAATAGAAAGCAAGCTTCTGAACAGAACAATAGGAAGATGCCTTTCTTTTAAAAAAGCAGCTGGTGTGGACACAGACATGCAAGGCAACAGCATGGCTTTGCAGAAACACTGAGAAAGAGGAAGGATTCAGTTACCCACCAAATGGGGTTACAAGGTTTATGTGAGCTGTCAGGTTGGTGGCAGACGTATCCCAGGCAGTGATGGCTGCCAACTGTTGTCCTTGAGTGGACAGCATTAAAAAAGAAACACAGGTCAAACCATTGCAAGGAGATAAAACATGGTTCAGTTGTAAAATAAGCACATAATACAAATGCCTCATTTGGAGTGAGGTGGAGGAGTCAATAATTATTTGAGACTATGAGGTTCTGGCTTTACAACAATTCAAGTGCAGCTTTGTGTAAGGCTGTGTGTCAACTGCAATTTGGCATGGATGCAGAAAATCCAAAGAATGCAATACTGGGAGCAGAAGTCATCGTATTGAGTATATACAGAGATATTTTTAGGGAAAGTTACTATACTTCTTGATTGTGAAGACATACTTGCAAACATGTCTGAAGAGATCTCAGAAGCCAGAAGAGATGCTAAATGTCTAGCAGACATAACAAGTGGAATCCAGCTCCCCTTTTAGTTATTTGCCCTTCTCCTTGACCATTATTATTTAAAGTTATAAGCTGCTTTTTGTACAAAAGTAACTCAAACAACTTACAACAATGGAATAAATCGTGTAAAAGTTGTGCAAGTACACAATTCTGAACTTTACCCCTACCCTCCTGTCAACTGCACAATGTACACAGACCTGAACTTATAGCAGGAACAATAGCAGCCCACCACAAAAAATGCTTAATTTCCTATTTAAAAATGGGTCACTTACTATGACAGGCTGTGCCATCAATGAGCTAAAGAGAGGCATTTTTTAAGTAAGCAAATCAACAGGAATAGAGAGTTGGGATAATGTGCATTTGCTGCTTAGGCTTTTGAACGAAACAGGTACATATACAAGCCTTCCACAACCTGCTTTCCTCCAGATGTTTTAGACTACAACTCCCATCAGCCCCCGACAGTGCAATTCTCTTAAACTAAAGAAATGTATCACCCGGTTTGTCTTGTTGGCATTTATTGAAGGCCTCCCTTTTTCAACAAGTATTTTAGGTGGATCTTTACCCCAGTCTGTATCCCTATTAGATTTGAAAATGGGTATTTTACATATGAAATAGTTCTTTGGTGCCCAGTTAAAACATTGATACTCACCCAGGTCTTTGGAGTTTAATTCTCTGCATATATATTTTTAGTGGGGCTGTGCTGGATTTGCTCCTGAATACATATTATTGAATTTTAGGTTGCCTTTTATTCATGTTTTATATCTACTTCTAACATTTGCTTTTGTAGGTTGCTTTGAGCTCAGTTTTTTGAAGAAAGTTGATAATCAATATAATGAATAACAATAATTTTAATTTTGTCAACATGTGGGTCTTGTGTTATATACATATTTTTTTCTTAAAATTATTTTTATTGCTGACATCACTTTGAGATATTTTGTGTGAAGGAATTGATAAATGGATTTTGCCCTTTTTGCTTTGGTGGCAAAAAAGATCAGAAAGAAGACCCTGGACAATATAGCAGTGAACTGTAAGAGAGATGAAGAGATCTAAATAGAGATCAATTAAATAGAGATTTATTTGTGGCGCAGCATCCCTTTTGCTTGTATTTATTTCTGATTCAGATTTGTCGTGGCCAATGGCAAGTACAATAAAGCTATTTTGATTGGATACACTAAGAAAGGATTGGATAAATGAATTTTAAAAAAAACTTTAAGAAATAAATCCTATTGGTCAGGGAAGAAGGGTGTTATAGTTCAACACATCAGGAGGGCTCTGGGTTAGAAAAGGTTGGTGTATACAATGGTACCTCAGGTTACAAACGCTTCAGTTTACAAACATTTTGGGTTACAAACTCCACTAACCCGGAAGCAGTACCTTGGGTTGAGAACTTGCCCCAGGATGAGAACAGAAATTGCGGTGCAGCGGCAGCGGGAGGCCCCATTAGTGAAAGTGCGCCTCAAGTTAAGAACAGTTTCAGGTTAAGAACAGACCGCCGAACAAATTAAGTTCATAACCCGAGGTACCACTGTACCTTAAAACCCAAGTGACTGACACTAGTCAAGGGGACTCCACTGTCCTAAAGCAAAAGAGGCAGAGGAAAGCATCCGAAAACAGAGCTGGGAAAAGATATCATGCAAAAGCCTGACCCTTGACCTTCCTCACCTATAGGCAACCGGTTTTTCTTGTTTGCTGGTGTGGTGGCAGGGGAAAGCTGTGGGGTGTTGTATGGGGTCATCTCCAGGCTGCTGCTTTTCCCTGGCTTGTTCTGGGGCAAGTTTAACAGCAGGTTTTCCAGAGCCATGCGGTCCTCCTTCAGCTGGTCGCCTGACATGACGTTCCGCATAAAGCCGACCTAAAAAAAGTGTGCGATGTTAAAAGAAGGCAGCAAAGCAGACCCCCAGCACAGACACTTTGACTTGTCTCCTCCTGCAGCCCAAAAGGAGTTGGATATTTACCAGGCCAGTGAGCTGGCTATGGGTCATGTAAACCACAGTTCTACTCAGCCCTTCCAAAAGGTTCACCGAGGACATGGGTGGAGTCTCTACTGCCCGTCCGCCAATGACAACGTCCAAGAAGGCAGCCACACAACCCTGCAAGGAAAAAATTGGAGGGGGGGGGATGGACAAGTGAGCTGTTTCAATACAAGCACTTCAACAAGAGACCTGTACATCCCTACAAAGTGGGTAGACAATGTAGAGATACACACACAGATAGAGAAAGAATTTAGGACCTTTTGTTTGTATTTGTTTTAAACTGATTTTAATATTGTATTTTAAATTGCTGTAACCCACACTGGGACCTTTGCTTATTTTATTTTATTGTTATATTTATTTCATTTATATCCCACCTTTTTCTCCAAGGAACTTAAGGTGGCATACATAGTTCTACATCTCCACATTTAATCCCCAAAGCAACCCAGAGATGTAGGTTGGGCTGAGAAGCAGTGACTGGCCCAAGATCACACCCAGTCAGCTACATGGCTGTGTGGGAATTTAAACCCAGGTTTCCCAGGTCCTAGTCCAACATTCTTGATCCCTACACTACACTGCTTCTTCACTTATGGTGAAAGGCAGGTAAGAAATTGAAATTGTTATATTATTTTAAACATGCAGCAAGAATAGAAGCAGGTCTACGTTTTTAATAGTTAAGAAAAAAACCCACCAATATATGCCAAAGCACACTTCTTCATACAGGTTCCTTGAAACTCGTTTACATTTAATAGTGGCTCTTGCACACTACTGATTCTATTGAGGGGAAGTGCCATTTGCTACTTCCTCTTAAGGTTGCAATTTGCTCACTTGAATCTCTTCACAGTCATAACAAAAGTCTATTTGCAGGTGCCTTTTCCAAAATTATACAGAATGAGAAAAACACTGGCATGCACAGAGATACAAGTTCAATAGCTTTGGTTCTTACTTTGTCAAATTTACCCAGGTAACTCTTTGTGCGGGGGTCTCCTTCTTCAGAACTGGTCATGGCCAGCTGCTGCAAAAGTCTCCCAACCTAAGAATGGGAAACAAGTTAAAGACAGGATTGCAATACTACCACAAAGAAAGAAAGCCGCCGCCACACTCTAAGTTGAAACTGGATGAAAAATAACTATTCATACTCCGCTTGCACAAAGTCTGAGACTTTACAACCATATTTTCTTTCCAAAAATTAAAAACAATTACATGGAAAAGTTCCACAGCAAAATACCTGTACAGAACTTCAATTTCCCTTACAAAAACTTTGGCTACCTCTTATCAGCTTTGCTTCATCTCAGGTGGAACCAACACACATATAAAAACTGTTCTGAAAATGCTTTTTTGAAAGCGTTTTTAAAAATGCGTTGAATTTCCCATAAAGCTCACCATCACCATCTAGTGTCACACTGTATATTCCACTTAAAACGTTTTATTTAGAATCATATAGATTTAGAAGCTATATAGAATCATAGAATCATAGAGTTGGAAGAGACCACAAGGGCCATCGAGTCCAACCCCCTGCCAAGCAGGAAACACCGTCAGAGCACTCCTGACATATGGTTGTCAAGCCTCTGCTTATAGCTGAGTCCTCAGTGGCAAGAACAGTTGAAGGAACCTGGAATGTTTGCAAACTAATTTATCTGCTAAGCCACAGTTCCCAGCCTGAATTAAACTTGCTCATTCTATTTCCATCCATACTTAACAGGTGCCAAAAGATGGTTTTCACATAAACATGGGATAATCATCTAGCAATAAATATGACATCCATGAAAATCTCAGCTTTTATCATCTAGAGTTGGGATGAACCAAAAATCCATCAAAACCAACCAAGCACCTATCCATCAACCTGCACTGAACCCATAAACATGTTTATATAAACACACAAAATCCCAGTTTGTCTTTTGTGTCTTGCTGAACTGCAGGGTGTCAGCTTCTCCTGCAGAGGGCATTCACAGACAGGAAACCTAGTATGACAAGGACGTTGCAGGAGCAGGAAGATAACAGGTCAATATCAAAAAGTGTCCATTTGTGTGCCTACAGGAGGCATTGAATTCTACAGTACAAAGCAGAAGGCTGTAATTGAAGCAGGTGTAAAGATTGTACCACAATTCATTTTTCAACTGCAGCCCTTTTCATGAGTAAAGAAGCAAGAAATTCTTGGTGGGGGGAGAAGAAAACACACACACACACAGTTATACCAATGGGCATCCAGGTTATTCCAAAAATAAAGGACAGGCCTCTGACAGCTGCAGGGATCAGACTGCTTATCTAGTGAATGCTTAGAAACTAGTGGGCCAGCTACAGCAGGTTGGCATCGCTCTGTACACAAGTCCCTCCTTCTTCCATTCCTGCTCTTCTCTGAATACTAGACAACACCTGACCACCAAAATCTGATCTTACGCCTTCATGCATTCTACACTGCAACACCCATGCTAATTCCCTCCCCCACAGAAGCAGGGTGGGTAATGCAAAAGTAACACACGCTTATATGTTGTGTGATGTGTGCTCTGTAGAACTAGGACTACCCTGAATATCCATGAAGTTTCTTAAACAGCGCAAGGTGTTGTGTGCTAGGTATAACAAAACAAAAAAGTTATTACCTCCAGAAACTATCTCAAATATGGCCAGGGTCACAGAACAAATAAGCAAATAGATCACTAACCTAGTTGCCAGCTAAAGGAGAAATGTCTATGTGTCTTTCAATTGTGCCCAGTCTTCACATGCCTAGAACTACCACTCTAAACGTATAACATACACCACCTCTCCCTCTTAACATCATTCAGAACTGTAACAAAGCTTTAGGCACTTGTAACTTTCCCCTTCACAGCTCCGCTCTGTCTCTCATTTCCACCTTGTTCCTTGGGAGCAGAGATCTATGCTGTCCAGGGAACTCTCCACAAAGTGTTGTCTACATTGATGGTGCTGTATGAACACCAGCATTTTATAGCTGGTCAGCATGGCACAAATTAGACTGGCACACCAACTGTCCTTGGAAGGCAAGGAACAACCCAGAAAATGTAAATTTCGCTGAAGGTAGGAAGGGTAGTCCAAGTAGCAGGGCTATTGGTGGATCTCTTGATTTTGCCCAAAGGGTACGATGAAGTTGTTCTCTCCTAGCTTACAATAACATCAAAACAACAAACGCTTTTCAGTCCTCAGTCGTGTATTTAAAAGTATCCTCCTTGTAAAGTATATTGTCTTTTAAACACAGACCTATCACTTCTACTGTATACACACACTTTCCTTGTAATGGATACTGTAAAACCACATCCCTCTTAAAAATTCAAACTTTTTACAATAAAGTGGTTATTTGAGCTCAATTGCTCAGGGGTAGGTAGCACTGGGAGAAATAACAGTCAACATCACCTTATCTCAACAAATGAAAAATACTCTGGTAGCACAACTGGAAATAAAATAAAGCAACTTAGATGCTGTCCCAGTTCTTTTAAGCAAAGAAGAAAGACGCACACTATGGCAGTTGAGCTATCTGCAATATAAGCAGGGCTGGAAAGGCCACTTCAAGCCCCTGGGCCCCTAAAAAAAAATATAATGGCAGCTAGAAATTTTATTTTACTTTTGTTCTAGTCTATATAGGGTTGATGAATAACAACCTAACTGTAGGAATCTGAAAACAGCCTAGGGCATGGGGAGGCAAACTAAGACCGAGGGCCGGATCCAGCCCAATCACCTTCTAAATCCAGCCTGCGGAAGGTCTGGGAATCAGCAGGTTTTTACACGAGTAGAATGTGTCTTTTTATTTAAAATGCATCTCTGGGTTATCTCTGGGGGCATAGGAATTCGTTCGTATTTTTTTTTCTAAAATATAGTCCGGCCCCCTACAAGGTCTGAGGGACAGTGGACCGGCCCCTGCTGAAAAAGTTTGCTGACTCCTGGCCTAGGGTAAGGGTTTGTAAGCATTCATTCTTGCAACAAATGAGGACAGCCATTCTTCATACCTCTGGCGTGGCTTTAAGCAGTGGGAGTTCCCCTCCAGCCTTGCCATTCGTATGAAAAGTTAGAAACCCATCTGCTTGTACAGTAAAGTACTGCACAAGAAACTTTTTACTTTATTGGAAATATTGCAAGATTTTGGCCTTATGTTTTATTTCTGTATTATATTGTTGTATTAATGTTGTATGTGAATGTGATTGTTAAATAAGGAATTACACTGCAAAATAAAGTTATTTCCTCAAGTTTGTGTAGCATTTGCTTCTCTGGCTCCTAGTCATCTGACATAGCTTTTCCTCTAGACAAAGTCCAGAACAGCTAACAGCTCACAAAATAACATTTGGCCAGAGAAAACTATGAACCACCAGCTAACAGGAAGGCTGAAGAGGCTGCCTGCAAACAACTGGTCTCACCACTAGCAGGCAGAAAAGGAGGACGCAGCACCAAGAATGGAAAAAGATGGATTAAAAAGGTATGCAGGGCAGCTTTCCCCAACCCTGTGCCCTACAGGTGTTCTAAATTACAATTTATATCAGCACAACTGTGCTGAGGGAATGTATATTCCAAAAAACCTGCAAAAGCACCAGGTTGGTACAGGGGTTTTTTTTGGGGGGGGGCAAAGTTTCTGGATTACCCTGGCATTTTTACTGCACTATTCCTCTTGACAACATTCATCCACAAGTCTGCTTTCTGAGCTAAAGAGGATCAAGAATGCCTAACCTGCCCCCCCCAAAAAAACTTAAAGTACACTTTGTTTCTTAGACACAACACCTTTCTCTATTTTCTTCTTGGTACTACAGACTAATACAGCAACACTATGAGAGAGAGAGAATATATATTTTTGAAGACCTGCTTCTACCTGCATTAGGTTGAACCTTGCCACTTCATTGATTGGGGCATCAGAAATAATCCCATACTGCTCTGGGTTGACCACGGCAGGACAAATGAAGCAAGTCAAGAGAAGGTCCGTGCACATGGCTCTCACTTCTCCGACATCAAGCCTGTCCACACACGAGAGCGTTTTGTACATCTGGGATACAATCCACCGTAAGCTGTGTGGGAAGCAGTAGGTGTTTTGCTTGAGGTAGCCAATGAACTTATTCACCAGGGCCACCAGCTTGGCCTCATTGGATTCTACCATCTCCTGAACTTTCTGCCTGAACTTTTCAGTGCCCTTTTCCCCAAAGAGCTTCTCCTGCTGGGTGGGCGAGAAGCGGTCAATCAATTTGCTGGGGTCGGTTTCCAGGTGGTCTTCATCTTCAACCAACAGCTGCATAATGGGCTCGTGCAAAGTGGCAGTGAGGAAGAGCTTGGCTGAAAAGAGCCCCTCAGAAAAGAGTTTGAATAGAATGCTGAATGCGCAGGTGCCTCTCCTTAGGAGCCGTCTGGGATTATCACTTTCCTTGAGTTCAAATTCAATCAAGTAGCGCAAGACTTGGAGGAGGTAGCTTTCGTCTTCTGGCATAATGCAGTTGCCATAGATGGAGGTGAAGACGGTGTGAATGACACTCTGTGTGTTCTCCTGGTTGAGCTTCTCTCCAGCAACCAGGCATGATGCAATAAGGCGAGGGTTTTCACGCAGCCTGTTAAGGAATTCTCCATAGGCTGTCTCTTGAAAGCCCAACTGCTTGTACCCATCTACGAACAGTGTATCCTCCAAGACCTTGGCATGCTGGCAGCATTCAGCAGGTGAAGCTTCCGCGCTAGGAAAATATAAATATATATAGAAACCATTTAGATCACCCAAAATCTTAATTTCTCAAAGTCACAAAAAATCAATGGAAAGAGAAACATCCTAATTTTGCTGAGTATATCCACACACAAACACACACACACACACAAACACACACACACACACACACACACACACACACACACACACACATACATTTAGAGAGAATCTCCTAAATATTAAGATCTCAAAGTCCCATCTATGAAGAGACGGCCACCAACTCAAGACACAGGTAAGTCTTCTCAGTGGTTGCAAGAGGGCTATAAAATACACGCCCAATTGCATCCCTTTGACCCAGCTCAAAGCTATGTTTTCTTTATGCTTGCTCAAATGTTTTGTGCAACTTTAAAGCTTGCATATGTACTTCCGGGGTGGCGCCATCGGCAATGGCGGACTCCCTCTGAATTGGAGGGACTAGCTCCGCGCGAAACGGGTCTTCTCCGCTACGGCGAAGCAGGGACCCTTTTAAAAATCACAGGCGGATGAGCGGGGACCCTTCTGGAAATCACAGGTGGATGAAGCCTGTGACCGTGGGACTCAGCGGGCACCCTTAGCGCCTCCCCAACCCGCAAAGGAACCCACTAACGGGCTCCGAAGCGAAGAGGGGGAAGTGGCGCGGTGCTGTGAGTCAATTGCTTTTTCTGCGGAGCGAAGCCGCATAGCCGTTGCCGGAGAGCGCTGCCTTTTTCCTGGGACAATTTGGCATCTAAAATAACCACCCGTGAGTACTTAAACTTTGAACAATTGGACTTTAAATAAGGACTTGCGAGCAGAAAGGAATTGGACTTAAAATTTTTACTTCAATTTGGTACTGAAACAGGAAGGTCTAAACAGGAAGTCAGCCTTCCATTTCTTTGTAGACAGAATAAAGCAAAGATAACGTAAACTAGAGCTCAGAAAATCGCCTCTAAAGGATCGGCTTTCATCATTTAAAATTGTTGAACCCCCCTTCGGCAGCAGGAGAAGAAGGGGGATCTTTTCTGGACTGTTTAAACCTGCAGAAGTGAGTTTAAAGTAAAGTAACTTTCCACCGTCCTGATCCTGGAGCAGGGTGTCAGGACTGACGTTTGAAGCTCATTGACCAGAAAAAAGCGCTTTTGACAGATAGCTAAAAGAAGAGGAACATAGTGATTCCATTGTTTCCTTTCGCACCTTATAGGAACAAATATTGACAAAATAACTGAAAAAAGGAAACTCTGTTGCTAGACTTGTCTTTAAAAGAAAGATTAAACAGAAGTTTTCCCCCAGAGGGAGACTGTGAAACTGTAACCAACTCCTGGGAGCTGGCACCTGTTATAGATTACAATCGTGGGAATAGACATCTGACCTTCAGTACAATGTATTCAGAAGCTCTGCTGTGTGCTTTCTATAAAACAAATGCCCTACTGGAACAGTTACATGAGAAGACGAATTTGATGGCTGATTCGATTAGAAATTTTGAACAGGCAGTGGGAAATTTTGAACAGGCAGTGGGAAAATATGTGGAGCCCACCCAGGAATTAAATCAGGAGTGTGTCCTGACAGAACAGGCCCTACAGGAATATGAGCTTTCGGATTTGACAAATGAACTTGGAAAAAGCCAGATTTGGAAAGAAAAAGTTTGGTTTGGTTTGGAAATGGGGGGTTGGATAGACCCTCCCATGCAGGGATGATTGGACTTTTCAAGTCTGGCAATGGGCCGTGAGATGTTCGGGATTGTGGGGGCTCTAAACTTTGGAGGGATTCTGAAACATGTTTTTAAATACCACATGGAATTTAGTGTCGATTATGGAAAAGGGGCTGATCTGTCGAGAAGGGTCAAAAATATTGCTAAGTTGGAGTTCCCACGAGTGAAAGGAGCAGGAGACAAAGGAAAATACAGCTATAAATATGAAGAAGAGCTGCGGAAGGGACATGGAAAGGACTTAAGGGCCTCAGATATAAGATTACCAGGTTAATGCACCAGATTGACGGGATAATAAGGACTGACAAAACCCGGGACCAGGAGGAAGGGATGCTGAATGAAGATTGGATTTGTTTTTATCTCTTTTTTTCACTACTAGGACTGTTTTATAAAATTGATGAATGTTAGAAAAATGTTGGAATGAAATTACTTGGCTTTAGTAAAAATGTTTAAAGAATTATGCAAGAATATTATGGTTATGAGAAGTTGGTAAAAATAAGATTTAAGTTTTAAGTCTCAAGGTTTTTTTTATAGCAAGATAAGATTAAAATAATTTAAGGTAATGTAATGACAGAATATTATGAAATATGGAAAGGATTTGCTGTGACAATTAACAAACAGGATACAAGGAAGGGGAGGAGGAGGAGGTAAAGGAAAGAGGGTAATGACAGTTAGGAGTTGAGAATAAAGGATTTGTTTTTAAATGTTTTTATATGTTTGTGGTGTATTTTTTTTTTCTTTCTTATTTTGAATTTGTATATGTATGGTTGGAAGTGGTGTGTTTTTCTCTTTTTCTACTTTGTTTTTCTTTTGTAACTTTAATTTTTTTTATTTTTTTCAATAAATATCATTAAAAAAAAAATAAAGCTTACATTTGCAATGTGTGATTTCTGCAGTGTTTCAGTGCACAAAGCACTGTCCAATTTCAAATATTAGCATTTCTATTTCTGTATGTACCAGCAGTTACCTTGTTATGATTAGCCGGTCCAAGTTAATCCTCTGCTGCTTCGAAATCCATGCCGTGCGATACAGCTTTTCAGCAGTCTTCAGCACCTCAGCATTCAATCTCTGAATCAGCTGCTTTTCGGAGTTCACATAGAGCCGTTCCTGCTTGAGGTGATGGGCCAATGTGTGAATATCCAGCTTCACCATCTTTGAAAGAGGGCAGCAAGACGTTGGGTGACTTGCTGTGAAGGAGAAACAGAATGAGATCCATGAACAAGGAAGTGTTACACTGTGTTCAGTCAATCCATGGTACACTGATTGAATGAACCTGGAGCCACCACAGCGGCTAGCATGATTTGGCAGAATTAGCTGGGATATGCCAACCTCAAGCACCCTCTCACCCCTTTAACTTAGAAGCTAGGGAACCTGTCAGGTTCAGTTTATCAAATCTAGGCTTCAACAGCAACATAATGATTCAATACCTGGCTTCTCCAGAAATAAAAAAGTGAAGAGAATAAAAATGTAATTCTGAAGCAGCCCAAGTATCAAGTTGGGTGTGAAAGATATGGAATGAAGCAGCAGTTTTTGCAAGTATAATTGCATCAGAGAACACAGCTGCAAAACTGAACACACCTCAAAAATAATTGTACATGAATTAGACAGTTCAGCATTTTCTTCAAGGGAGAGCAGAAAGAAGAAAAATGGGCTCAACGCTGCCATGGCTTGCTGGCTTTCAGGTAATTACATTATCCTCATGGAAGCGTTAGCCTTTAAGAAAAGTAAGACACTGTGCACTCTCCACTGTCTCAACCAAGACCCACCCCACCTCCCAAAAAAGTCCAACAAATCAACCAGCGACATAAAACATTTAAAGCTGACCAGGAGGTAAAATGTTTTACCACATTTTTACCGCATCAGATTTTCTATCCAACTAAGTTGTACTAAGAGAAGACCCTCTAAAATTAATGAGTCTAAGATAGTCAAATGTCCATTTTTTTCAATGGGTAGGTAGAGAGTAGGACTAACAGTGGGTACAAACATGTGTGATCCTGGGGGCCCCAGCTAGCTCAAAATGTCTGGCTGCTTGAAGCTGAAAATCCAAAATCTGCCTAGCCCCACTCCACCAATTAATATACAGGATAATATACTGGGAAGACCACAGCAGGTTCTCCACTGAAATGGTGTGGGAACTGTGCTAAAGCTCTACTGTGCCACTATTCATTTCAAAGGATACTGTCTTCCTGTTCAAGCCCCGCTGAAACTTATGGGAGCAAGGATTTACCGTATTTTTCGTTCTATAGGACGCACATTTTCCCCTCCAAAAATTAAGGGAAAATGTGTGTGCGTCCTATAGAGCGAATGCAGGCTGCACCGCTAAGCCCAAAGCCAGAACAGGAAGACGGAGCACTGCGGAGCGCTCCGTCTCACTGCTCTAGCTTGGAGACAGCTGCGCGCACAGCCTCCCCAGGGCAGCGGGGTGTCTTCACCCCGCTGTCCTGCAGAAGCTAGCAAGGCTGTTCCCAAGCCAGAACAGTGAGACGGACGGCTCCGTCTCGCTGTGGTAGCTTGGGGATGGTTGCGCGCAAAGCCTCTCCAGGGCAGCGGGGTGCCTTCACCCTGCTGTCCTGCAGAGGCTAGCAAGGCTGTTCCCAAGCCAGAACAGCGAGACGGAGGGCTCCGTCTCGCTGCTCTAGCTTGGGGATGGCTGTTCGCACAGCCTCTCCAGGGCAGCAGGGTGACCTGCAGAAGCTAGCAAGGCTGTTCCCAAGCCAGAACAGCGAGATGGAGGGCTCCGTCTCGCTGTTCTAGCTTGGGGATGGCTGCACGCAAACCTCTGCAGGGCAGCGGGGCGCTGCGCTCCAAAGGCTTCAGGGATCTTTGAGGCTGGCGGTGGGGAAGCAGCGCTTCCCCACCGCCAGCCCCACAAGCTCTGGTGAATGTACCTTGAACGCACCTTGTTTTAGAGGGGGAGAACAAGAAAAAAAAATTCCCTGTTCTCCCCCTCCTATGGTCCGGTGCGTCCTATGGTCCGGTGCGTCCTATGGAGCGAAAAATACGGTATTTTTCTACCCCAGATGAGTTTGGAGTCTTTCACTCCAAAACCCTTCAAAGTGCTCAAAACTCACCATCTCCTTTGCCTCACTGTAAGGCCACTTCTGGTGGGGCCTCAGCATTTGAAAGACAAAAAAACTGAGCCCTGGCTCCATAAGCTAAGCGTTCTCCCGCTCCCCAGCTTTTAAAAAAACATTCCCCATCTCCCATGTTCACCTGTATGTCTGCCAGTTAAAGTCCAAAACCACGAGACGCCAATCCTATGTTGCTTTGGAAGTGTTTAAAAGTTGGCTGCGTGAATAAAAGCGATACTTGAATTCAGTGAAATGGGAAGCCCAAGGGGAATTTTAAAAAAAAAAACTGTCAAGATGACTGTGTGCTTTGGTCTCACTTTCACTGTTGCCTAAGTAGATATTGAGAGAACAGTCTGCTCTGGAAAATCCTCTCACTAAGTAAGAATAATCGCTACAGTCCAGATATGGCAGTCCATGGCAGTTCCTTCTGTCATCAGGTTTCCAAAACAAACATTACAAATCGTTTTACATGCTGCACTTGTGTTATGCTAAAAAAATAGTTGACTATATACTTGTTTTTAAACAGAGAGTGGCATGAAATGTGTTGGCAGATTCTTTTAAAAAAATAACATAGCACAACCACAGTATCAGTTAAGGAGTTCAACTAAAAGGGGGGGAATATCTATTTGGGAAGTTTGCATGAAAATCTGTAATAATTTGCTTTTGCATTGTTCATATTTTGCATTCAAAAGCCGAAAATAACTACCACCTTGCACTATAGCACTGTCAGACGACCTCAGCAACAAAAAGACAACCCAAGATTAGTTTTTTTAATGCACACGATCCAGAAGGCCGTAAGTACATTAGGCCGCATCCATAAAGAGCTTTTGCTCTTCGCAACTGACAGTGTAATGGATTTCTACCACTTGTGATTCTCAACTAGTTTTCTTCAGAATTGCCTCACTGAAGTCTTCTTGACTAGAGTATGGGAGACTAACATTTCAAGCACAATTATGTGACGCACTAGGACAATACATTCAAAGCCTTCAACCTCCAGGGAGGTTCCTCTTCAATAAGCTCAAAGAATCGCCCCATGTTCCTGAAGAACATTTTGAAAACCACTACATTGTGCAAATAAATCTGTACTTAAAATAAGGTGCCTGCTGCATGTCCCAAACGTAAGAATCAGAGACTACATTCTAACAATATGTTAAGCACTACAGATTACTTTCTAAAGTGATCCCAAAGGCATAAAAAGGATGGCCAATATGATGCCCTATAGCAGGCATGTCCAACAGGTAGATCATGATCTACTGGTAGATCACTGTACATCTGTGGTAGATCGCTGGTAGATCATTGGCTCCCCCCAAGAAGCTGAACAACTGCGGCTCTCCTTAAAAAAGCTCAACGACTTACCTCCTCCCTGAAAAAACTCAACAACTTTGACCCAAACCCCTCAAAAATGGGCCTTCCCCCTTCCTAAAAAAAGCTAAACAACTTTGACCTGAACTCCCCCCCAAAAAAGGGGTTAGATCACTGCCAGTTTTTAATTCTGAGTAGATTGCAGTCTCTTGGGAGTTGGCCACCCCTGCCCTATAGCAATGGGTAGGCAAACTAAGGCCTGGGGGCCACATCCGGCCCAATCACCTTCTAAATCCGGCCTGTCCAAAGTCCAGGAATCAGCGTGTTTTTATATGAGTAGAATGTGTCCTTTTATTTAAAATGCATCTCTGGGTTATTTGTGGGGCATAGGAATTTGTTCATTTTTTTCCTCCAAAATATAGTCTGGCCCCCCCCACAAGGTGTGAGGGACAGTGGACCGGCCCCCTGCTGAAAAAGTTTGCTGACCCCTGCCTTATAGATCTTGTTGAAGACCAAGCATGGCCAATGGCAGTGCTTTATTTCTATCCCATACCACTGCTGTTTGCCTGCTCGCACCCACCCCCACCTCTCCCAATTGCACCCTTGCCTGCTGTGGTCACCATTTTCCGCAGCAGCAGGCACAGCCTCCCAGTGTGGCCCTTTTATGCTCACCAAAGCATCTTCCAGGAGGGTGCTTGACAATCGTAAAAGGGTCACGTCAAACCTTGGGGTATGCCGCAACCTTTTTACAATCTGCAAGCTCCTGCTTGGAAGGTGCTATGGCAATCATTAAAGGACTGCGCCAAAGCACTTCCAGGAGGTTGTACCTGCTGCCATGAAAAAAGCGGCAGTAGCAGGCAAGGAAAAAATAGGTGGTGGTATGGCGTACCAGTGTGTACAGCCTCAAAACAAGCACTGGCCAATGGACAGGGATGATAAGAGTTGTAGTCCAACAATATCTAGAAGGCATCACATTGGCTACCTTTGGCACAGATTCACAGTAAGTTACCAAAAAATTATAGATTGTATTTCTCTTGGGGATAAGCCCTGGAGCTGTCATCTATTAGGAACCTAGGATCTCATCTGCAGTATCATCCTGGTAAAAAAAAAAAATCATTTGAGCCTGCCATTCTGATGTGTTTTCCACATGTGGGGTCACTTTAAGAAAGTCACTCTGCAACAGCTAAGCTAACATTCCATTGGGACTGAACTCTTGGCACAGATTTATTAAGATTTATGTCCCACTTCCAGTAGAAAACCACTGAAGCAGCTATGAATAACTTCAAGCATTTATTTATACATTTTACTGCACATTGTAATGCTGGTTTTGCAGGGGCATTACAGCTGCTCATGCAAGAAGATATGAACCAGCACAACTATTTTGGATTCACTATAATCAACAGTTTAAATTCTATGCAGACATAAGAAACTGTAGAACGTCAGCAGCCGCTGGCATTTAGGCACATGGATTCCGATAAGCTCCCAAGTACCAGTTCTGATATTCCACTCCAGTTATCACCTTAAACACGCAAGTACAGATTCTGGATTTAAAATAGTCAAAGGCATGAGCCTTCCTCACCACATCAGAAAGGTCACATGAGTATTGGAACTGCAAGTATCTCACCAAACTCAAACTGGCCCCAAACACCAGTGAATGAAGGATTAAAAAAAAAAAAATCAGGAGATGCCCTCCTTGCAATATGACAAAACCAAAGAAATGTGGAGCTTGGCAAATGTTGAAAACAGACAACAATACAGCACTGGTGACACCTCAAAGCACTCAAAATCTATTCACTTTGACAGCTTGGTACAAAATGACATCAAAAGAGGAGGGAAAGGGCTTTTCTGCATTTACAGATCAAATATCACTAAAAAAGAGAGCTAAATGAGATAATTCAAGCCTGCCAGACTTTCTCAGCCTCTAGAGCCTAGGCTGTATGAGGCATGCTGGACATACAATGGAGCAGCCCACACAGGACTTGGTTGATCCTGCAGTCCAAGAGGAGCTGCTTTTAAAAGCCTGTGCTAATTGATATAAGATTTTCAGCAAAAAAAACCCCCAGCCATTAGTGTGACAGGTGGGCATGTGGAAAGAGAGGGCGCTTATAATATATTCAGCGTCACCTACATATATGGTACCTTACAAACTTTCATAGGCAAAAAAATACAGTCCCTGCCCATCTTATAAGGGGACAATGGGGAAAACAGAAGGAGTGGGGTGGGAGAATATAGGTAGGGAGGATATGGGCAAATGCAATTAAAACTTGGCTACAGTCAGGGATGAGGATTAAAGGGATATACTGCAGAACATACTGCTACTCCCTTACATATGATAAACAATAGGGTCCAATAAGGCACACTATAGAGGGGGGGTAACTCTGCTCTGCCCTTGGTAATGCGCACCCAATCAAACTTGATTCTCTCTATCACCCCTTCTACGGTTCTAATTTATTGGTCCCTCCACAGAGGGAGTGAATTTTCAGAACTGTGACAGATATAGGCTTAGACAAAAATGCTTCTGAATCCCATTTGCTAGAAACCACAGAAGGGGAGAGTGCTCTTATAATTGGGTCCTGCTTGCAACTGATTTGCCACTTGAGAACAGGATGCTGGACTAAATAGGCCACTAGCCTGATCCAGCAGGCTGTTATAATTATTACTCTTCCTCCCACCCTTTCCCCTTAAGAAAACCCTCCAAAAGCTATGTTCCCCCAACTCCTGGAAAGCCTTCTGTTTTGTGTTAACATGGCCATAGCAGTCAATACTGTATAAGATTTACTTACCAATGCAGAAATGGTCACATCAAATACAAAGCAGACCAAGGCAAAGCAGTGTCAATACTAATCTATCTATACCAAAATATATTTAGGACGAACTTGAAACAATCCCCCATTACTGTGTTACAGCTGAAATGAAAAATAGCCTCTACTTCCTACAGTGCTAATTCCATGTTAGTTCTACTCCACTGAAGTCAATGGACAGGACTGATTTAGGTTCATTAGAACTTTGTTGGATAAGCTTAATATCCATAGTAACTAAAAACACTTTAAACATGTTTTTTTTAAAGATTAATTTGGGATTGGGTCCTAGCCAAAGCAGTCACCTTTCTGAGTAAAAGACAGCTTCCTTATTAAACCAGCACTACCAAAATACTAGCCTGTTAAATACATTAGGCTTAAAAATCAGGTGTCAACCTGGCTACCTGCATCATCAAGGAACTGCCATGAGAAAAACAAGGTAAGGAAAACACTGGCAAACAGGAATGGAGTTGGTGCTTTTATACTGTAAACTTGTACCAATGACTAATACAGGTATATGGTAGCAGGCTGACTAGTAAGTTGTGCAGACTTATTTGCAAGGGTGAAATACATGGATGAACTGACATTTATAAACACCCAGATTGATGGTCAGTGGGCTTGCTTTTGTAGGGTGGTTGTCAGGGCTGGACAGAATCTCACAGGCACCCAATCTGCATAGTTCACCTTGAACTTTGATGCTGGCTCCTATGAACCCCATTTCCCCCTCCATTAGCCCTGTTGGCAATTTGCCCATTGGCAAGGTTTACTATTTCTATACAGAGCCACTTGTAATTGTCCAGTACTAAAGTGCAGAGGATGTCTGGCTAATGCAGTCAGAATCCTGAGCAGGGATAGTATGATTAATCCTTTAAAAGAGGATTAGCCATGATGGCTATGTTCTACCTCCACTATCAGAGGCATCATGACTCTGAGTACCAGTTACTGGGTGAGCAGAAGGATGCTGCACTGAAGTGCAGCTTGCAGGTTTCCCACAGGAATCTGTTGAGCCACTGTGAAAACAGGATGCTGCACTGGATAGGCCACTGGCCTGATCCACCAGATTCTTCTTATTTTCTGGTATTAGTAGTATATTGACATATATAGTATCTCCAAGTGACTTACCAAGTTGTAGAGCAAAGCATGGAACACACACACAAAAACCAGGTTGCATCCAGTATACTAATAATCACTCAGTTGGTAAAGCATGAGACTCAATCTCAGCACTGTGGGTTCTAGCCCCACAATGGGCAAAGATTCCTGCACTGCAGAGAGCTGGATTAGATTACCCTCATGGTCCATTCCAACTCTACAATTCTATGATTCTGATGTTGGATCTACTTAGAGCAGACCCACTGAAATTAATATACTGATAAACTAATGTAGGTATATTAATTTCAATGCACCTACTGTTGAGTAGAACTTAATTGGATACAACTTCAACTGCCAAACAATAACCCATAAAACAGCAACAAAAACATACCATCAATAGATAGCATAATCACAGTAAAATGCTAGTGTCCACTATGCAGGGCCAAGAAAATCCTGGGCATCTAGATTCTTTGCCAGCAGCACTCAAGAAAACAGATATCCATCTTCCAGCAAAGAAGATGTCTAAATATTTTCTTCTGACACCATGCATAGGAACCTGAAAATATTTTCCCAGGCCTGCAGTTTCGAGCTCAGGACTCTGTACATTTCCGTATGGTTAGAGTAAGAATGAAAGCAGAAAAACACTTTAAAATAGGATGTGATAACAGGGTGTAATACAGTCAAATTAAAGTCCACTGAATTCAACTGAATAATTTAAGCTCATCCTAGACAGAGAGAGAGAATACAGTAAAAGTATTAAGTGTAAACAATACAAATGCATGCAGAATTTTTTTTAAAAAAGAGATACAGTGGTACCTTGGTTCTAGAACTTAATCTGTTCCAGGAGTCTGTTCGACCCCTGAAACCGTTCGAAAACCAAGGCATGGATTCCGATAGACTGCAGGAGCTTCCTGCACTCAAGTAGAAGCAGCGGAAGCCGCGTCAGAGATTCGGCTTCCGAAAAACGTTCACAAACCCGAACATTCACTTCCAGGTTTGCAGCGTTTGGGAGCCAATTTGTTCAGGAGCCAAGCCATTTGAGTACCAAGGTACCATTGTACACTGAGGAGGAAAAACTGAAAGCAACTGAGAATACAATACAGCATTCAACTATCGCATATTTTAAAAAGGGGGTGAGTCAATTCAGTTCACAATAAAGTCTCTCCACATGTTTATCCATAAAACAGGGGGTTTAGTGGGCTGTTTGATCAACATAGGAGAAAAACCATGTCAAATAAAGAATATCTTTTTAATGATCAGTTAAAGACTCTCCACTTAGCTGTTCTGACAGTGCAATGTCCCATACTTTCACTAGCAACTTCCCTTGGGAAGTTGGCCTTCCAGTGGGAGGCCACTAACAATGTGGCTGTGGCAAGAAGCATAAACCCATGAGGTTTTTGCATGATGGGAGAGTTGGTACCATGCTCCAAGGAAAGGAGCTCCAGACTGGGTCTGGTGATATTGAGGTGATAATGGAGATAGCATCAAAAGTAGGTTCCCTTTCCCCTTTTAGTCACACATGGCTTTCATAGTTCTGCCTGGCAGGCCATGTAAATTTTTAAGGCTGCAATTCTGTACCCTTACCTAGAGGTGAATCCCACTGAACTCAAGTGGGACTTAGTTCTAAGTAAACATGTTTAGTGTTGCATTTTTAGGTTAATAACTGAGGATATATTTGTAAAGCTAGTGTGAAGGTGGGAATGTTCAATATACTGGTTAGTTGTGAAGCTATGTTCTGTTTCCCCCACACATATCTAAGTTTTAAACGGACAACTGTTTATGCTGCTGCAATGAAAAGGTCTCAGGTAAAGTTTGTTCAGTTGTTCCTGGCTCAACTGCATGTAAAAGCAAAGGAGGAAAATGTGAAACAAGTTTCTGAGGGAAGTAAAGTGATTTGTTTATTTCATTTTATATCCTTCTGTTCTAGCAATGAACTTCCGAGTATTACGAGTGCCTTTGTGGGCAGCAAGAGCAGCATCCCTTGGAATGTTTCAGCAGAAAATATTGTTTTGTGCTGCACAGGCACCATGGATTCAATCCAGGTGAAGCTGAATGCTTTGATTTAAATGAAAACGTATGGGTCCAGAAGCTCTGAACTATGCAGCAATCCCACCACATATGAAGCAGCGTTCCAGGCAGCAGAACAAATATTCCATACCTTGTAACCTGCATGAGTTGTTACTATATGAGACCAAGCAAGTAAGTGGCTAGTTACAAACCTGTCTTCAACCATCAACAGACAGAAAAAGGCCACATTGCTACAAATATATCTAATACGATTTTTACAGGATGAAAATCATAAATCCACAGTGAATAGTATCACTTCCATTGTATTCAAAGAGGACAAGGTATGTAACTAGAGGATTGTAGCATAATCATAAATTTGTTCTCTCTCAAATTTTATGTGAGAGCAGATAAAGGATGGCTAATCAGCCTCTGGGACAGATGGTGCAGTAACTTTGCAATATGTAGTAAATTCTCACCGCCCAGAACACAGTAATGGTTAGTATAAATTTAAGACCTCCTCTGTGGCCTGCACCAGCTCCTCCAAATAAGGCAGAAGATCATCATCCATGTTACCCTTCTCTGCATCATCTCTACTACACAACTTGACACATTACTAATCAGAGTAATGAACAAAAAAAAATACAAATCTTAACATGAATCTTGTAAGTAGAAAGACAGCTATATTCCCATTTAAGATCACTCAGACCCAGGTGTTCACCTTTCTCCTGAAGTCCCTGGGGCTGTGTCTGAAGGCATATAAAGCAACCACGTTGCTGAAGCAAAGTTGAAGTTCAGTGCTAGGAAGAGAGACAGTTCAGGAAATCCTACATAAGCAGAATATGCCAACCTGGCACTCTCCAGAGGGGCTGTGGCTCAGTGGCAGAACATCTGCTTTGCATGCAGAGAGTCTCTGGTTCAATCCCTAGCATCTTCAGGTAGGTCTGGGAGAGAACCCGCCCTGAATTCTTGGGAGAGCTGCTGCCAGTCAGTATAAACAATGCTAGATGACAGCTTATGTTACCTTTTGATATCATCTCCCATGTCTAACATTGTTTGTATGCCATGTATGAATTCTCAAAATCACTTTCATATGAACAAACTAGTTGCCACTTTAAAACCCCACTACCTCCTTTGTCTGATAAGCACACACGTTAGGTTTGCCCCTTTCTTTTTGGAGAGCAATAATTTTGTTCCCTGCTTAGCATACCAGAAATATGCAAAACAAACCTCTGTAACACTTTTGTGGAACTGTGGAACATAGAATATGTTTTATCTGATAATTTTCCTGTTTGCTTTCTCCCACAAAAAGAACCATTTTGACACCCAAAATAGAGCTCCTTCTTCAAACAGACTTTGCTACTCACCACCACCAATACCCTGAAACAATGCTGCACCCAGGGTAATGTGGGGATTGCAAAATGATGGCTAGTCTGCCAACAGAGCTGGACTCCCTCAGGTGGAAGGTTGGGATAGAAACAGATTAAATAAAATGAATTTGCAAATAAATAAAAAAAGCCATGATGCTTCAAACGAGAACAAATGCCCACAATAAACTGGGATAATTTCTCCTCCCCACACCTCATAATTTTTGGCAAAATGGTACCGCCTCATTTTACTGCCTGCAAACAGGAAGGGATAATTTCACTATTGGGATGGGATAATTAGCTTATATGCCTGAGTGTCTAACACTGCTTCCAACTTGTAGCCACCTAAGACACATCCATCTAGTATTTATGGACCCACTGCCTTTGAACATGGAGGCTCCAGGGGGTTATAATGGCTTTGATCATTTGAAGCTACCTTAAAACAGAGTCTGGTCATTGGTCCATCAAGCATAATATTACCTGCTCTGACTGGCAGCAGCTCTTGAACATCTCAGCCAGCATGTCCCATTTCTCCCCCCGTGCCCAATATGATCTACTGGAGATTGAACTGGGATGCCCTGCATTCAAACATAGTGTTTGCCACTGAACTACAGCACCTGCCTCATCCACAGATTTATCTTCCATGATTTTAGAAATAAAGCTATCTAAGCCAGAGGTTGCCAATCACCCACCACATGCTGTGGCCCTGAATTCCTTACATTAATTACACACAGTGTGAAGCAGTGCTTCCTTCTGTCCACTCTGAACCTGCCAGAGATTGATTTTGTGAACCTGCCTGATTCTGAGCCAGACAATGACCCCATCTATGCCAAACTACTGTCAACTCAGATGGGAAGAAACTCTAGTACAGTGGTACCTCGGGATGCGAACAGGATCCATTCTGGAGCCCCATTCACATCCTGAATAGAACTTAAAATGCGACAGCGGAGTCTGTGCGTGCGGCGTTTTGCCGCTTCCACGCATGTGCATGACGTCATTTTGAGCGTCTGCACATGCACAAGCGCTGAAACCCGGAAGTAACACGCTCCGTTACTTCCGGGTTGCAGCGGAGTGCAACCTGAAAGTGTTCAACCTGAAGCACATTCAAACCAAGGTATGACTGTATCTCAGACAGAATTTTCTCTTTTGGGGGGAAGTGCTTTGAGCTTTATTACCTAGAAATTAAGAACACATTCTCTCCCTCTCTCCAGCAGCCCCCATCACTACCACCACCCTCCAATTTGGAGGACTCTTCTACCCCACACTTTTTCTTCAGAGCCTTACAAGTTTGAAGGTTGGAGGAAAATTCCTTTTCTGCAACAAGAAGAGGGAAATATGTCATAGAACAACACAGCAGGGGACAATCCTAACTGGCAAAGAGAAAATATATATTCTGACTTTAGACTAAAGTGGGGGTAGATGCACAAAGAGTAGAATAAGTTAGTTGAAACATAGATGAAAACTATAAACACATAAGGGAGGGAAGGAATGCTCTGACTTGAGAATTAAACTGAGGGAGGACACTGAGAACAGGATGCTGGGACTAGACCGTGTGATGGCCTGAAGCAGATTCTTCACACAGCAAGGATGAGGAACCTATGGCCCTCCAGGTGTTCTTAGACTACAACTCTCATCATCACTCACCACCACTACAGTTGGCTAGGGGTTGATGGGAACTGGAGTTCAACAACAAGAGGACCACAAGGTATGGTGTTGGTTGTAGGGCCTGAGAGGGAAAGGAGCAGATGTCAAGGCAAAATATGGAGGAGGGACGCCTAATTTGTGGCAGAGGAAGGACATATAAGAGCTAAATTACTTCTGAGATAAATGCATATAGGTCAAGGTGTAACCTGATCAGAAGTTGAAAGGATGGGGTAAGCAAATGCAAAATGTAAGGAAAGCAGGTTGTATGTGTGTCAGTACAACAGTGGCAAGAATTGACAAAGTGAGGAAAAAATAGCCTGCCTTTAGCCTGTAGGGACGCGGGTGGCGCTAGGGACGCGGGTGGCACTGTGGGTAAAACCTCAACGCTTAGGACTTGCTGATCACATGGTCGGCGGTTCGAATCCCCGCAGCGGGATGCGCTCCCGTCGTTCGGTCCCAGCGCCTGCCAACCTAGCAGTTCGAAAGCACCTCCGGGTGCAAGTAGATAAATAGGGACTGCTTACCAGCGGGAAGGTAAACGGCGTTCCGTGTGCTGCGCTGGCTCGCCAGATGCAGCTTGTCACGCTGGCCATGTGACCCGGAAGTGTCTGCGGACAGCGCTGGCCCCCGGCCTATAGAGTGAGATGAGCGCGCAACCCTAGAGTCTGGCAAGACTGGCCCGTAAGGGCAGGGGTACCTTTACCTTTACGCTAAAGGGGCTGTAGACTGGGGTGGGGTGGGGTGGTAGGATGCAATGTCAATGGTGTGAATAGTCTGACCAGACACTGAAAGGGTAAGGAATAAGACGTGCATGGCTTTATATAAAAAAAAAAAAGGAGGCAAGGCCAGGTGGCTGCTATCTTTGCAAAACTGGGGGCGGGGTGGGGAAGCTGACAATCACGAGGTGGGATAGGAACACCTTGATTTTCGGCTGAAAGGGGAGAGGGCGTAGTCTAGGTAAGAGGACGAGAAGCCAATGCAAAATATGGAGAGGGGAGATAAAACAGGCGGTCACGTGCAAGCTGTAAAGAAGGCAATGCAAAAAAAAAAAAAAAAGCCTGGGGTGGGGTTGGGGACAGAAGTATCTTGAATTTAGGCTGAAGGGAGGAGTGTAGGGAGGCGGGGGGGGGGGAGAGAGAGAGAACGTAAAGGGATGCCAAAGCGAAATATGGGGCGTGCGGGACAGCGGAGAGGAAAACGACACGGCGGGGCTTTAGGGGCCGTTCGCTTAGTAGCAGAGCACCCTCCTCCCCCCCCCCCCCCCGCGCGCGCAGAAGGTCCCGGGTTCAACCCCCAGCGGCGTCTCCGAAACCCCGCAGAGCTACTGCCAGCCAGTGTAGACAACACTGGGCTCGGTGTAAGGCTGAGATAAAGCGGGGCGGGGTGGGCTGCTGCCGCCGTCGCCGCAAACTAGCCCAGGTCCGCCCCTTCTTTTGCCCAGGCCGGACTCTACACCCATTGTGTGCCTCTTATCCCACCCCCCCAACTTCACCAGCCCCACCTCGGGCAGCCCCCTCACGGCAGGGCCCGGCGCTGCGAGGGCGGGCAGGACTACTGAGAGGAGGGAGGACGGCCTGGTACGGGCCTTACCCAGCCTAAGGGGACCAACCTGTGAGGCGAAGCCGCCGCTGCCTGGGTCTCTCCGGGTCCGCCGCCCTGCGCGAGCTCCTTCCAGCAGGGCCGCCGCCGCCGCCGCCGCCGCCACACCAAGACGCTCCTTCACTCTCCCTCTCGCTTCCCAAACCAGACACTGCGCATGCGGGATAGAGGGGCGCGCCCTGGAGTGGCTGGTATAAATACTGTCGTCCTGGGAAGGAAGGGTGCGCGCCACCTGCGTAGCCAGCAGGGGGCAGTGGCGGCGGCAGCTGCAGCAAGGGCGTTGAATTGCTTTGCAAGTGCAGTCACTCAAAGGAGAAGGGGCGGGGCGCCACGCCCCGAAGGCGGGGAAACTGTTTCGTTCTCCGGAGTTCTTGCTACCTTCGTTCATTGTTTTCATTCATTTATACGTACCCCGCTTTTCTCCCTGAAAGGGACTCGAGGCGACTTACAGTTAAAACAGGAACAGCTGAAAACATTGGGAAGGGAGGGAAACAATAACAGAATTTAAATTCTCTGTATGTATAACAGCTAAATTTTAATTGAATTTTAAAACACATGCTATAAATAAGGGGGTTAGTTAGAGGGGGCTGTACCATATTTAGGATGGGGGGGAATGCTGTGATTTCACATTGTGCTACTATTTTAGTGTTCTGTGTGTTTCAGTGTTGTATTCGCCCGCCCTGGGGCCTATGGGGTGGAAAGATGGACAATAAATTATAATGACATAACTTTTTTTTTTAATTCACTGGAGCATTTTTCTATGCTTTCTTTGCTCCTCCCCCCATCCTCCCCCCCCTTTAAAAATCATGTCAAATTAAGACAGAGACTACCTTAGCTTTTAATACTCTGATCATTTGTACAGTTGTTGTTTTTTTAAGTCCTCACTACATCTGTATCCAAGGGATGCAGGTGGCGCTGTGGGTTAAACCACAGAGCCTAGGACTTGCCGATCAGAAGGTCGGCTGTTTGAATCCCCGTGACAGGGTTGCTCGGTCCCTGCTCCTGCCAACCTAGCAGTTCAAAAGCACGTCAAAGTGCAAGTAGATAAATAGGTACCGCTCTGGCGGGAAGGTAAACGGTGTTTCCGTGCACTGCTCTGGTTCGCCAGAAGCGGCTTAGTCATGCTGGCCACATGACCTGGAAGCTGTACGCCAGCTCCCTCGGCCAATAAAGCAAAATGAGCGCCGCAACCCCAGAGTCGGTCACGACTGAACCTAATGGTCAGGGGTCCCTTTACCTTTACCTTACATCTGTATCCATACCTTTCCTTCTTGTGGTCCCCCCCCCAAAAAAAAACCACTCTGTCTTCACAACAGATCTGTGACATAGGTTAGTGCTGAGAGAGTGTGACTAGTTCAAAGTGAGTTTCCTGGCTGAACCATGATTTGAACCATGGTCTCCCAGGTCTTAATCAAACACCATAAGCACAACACCACACTGGCTCTCATACACCATTGCTGCTTGTCATGCAATCTACATTCCTAGGGGAGCTGAAGGAAGCGGTGGTGTGTCCGCTCTTAAAGAAAACTTCATTAGATCCTTTAGATCTGTCCAATTACCGCCCAGTTTCGAATCTTCCGTATCTGGGTAGGGTAATTGAGAAAGCGGTTGCTGAACAGCTTGGCAGGTTTCTGGAGGAAACATCGGCTTTAGATCCATTTCAGTCTGGTTTCCATCCTGGTTTCGGGACTGAGACGACTCTGGTCGCCCTAACAGATGATCTCCGTAGACAACTGGATCAAGGCGGGTCGGGACTGCTGATTCTCTTAGATCTGTCAGCAGCCTTTGATATGGTCGATCATGATCTTCTGGACCACCGCCTTGCTGACGTGGGGATACAGGGCACAGCCCGACAATGGCTGTGCTCTTTTATCTCTGGTTGCAGACAGTGGGTGGCACCAGGGAGGGAGATGTCCTCGTGCCACTCCTTGGTGTGTGGAGTGCCGCAGGGCGCAATCCTCTCCCCAATGCTTTTTAACATCTTTATGCGCCCCCTTGCCCAGATTGTCCGGAGCTTTGGGCTGGGTTGTCAGCAATATGCTGATGACACTCAGCTCTATCTGCTGATGGATGGCCACACCAACTCAGCCCCGAACACATTGACCAAGTGCTTGGAGGCTGTGGTGGGCGGTTTCATGGGAGCCGATTGAAATTAAATCCTTCGAAGACAGAGGTCCTCTGGCTGGGTCGGGATGGCATGAGGATGAGGGACCAACTCCCTTCTCTTGCGGGGGCCCAATTAGTGCCAGTGCCTTCCGTTAAGAGTTTGGATGTAATCCTTGACACCTCCCTTTCCATGGAGGCGCAGGTTACAGCAACAGCTAAGGCGACATTTTTCCATCAAGCAGTTGGTCCCTTACCTTTCCCGCCCCGATCTGGCCACAGTGATCCATGCGACGGTCACCTCCAGGCTTGACTACTGTAATTCGCTCTACACGGGACTGCCCTTGAAACTGTCCCACAAACTCCAGCAGGTGCAGAATACTGCAGCGAGGCTCCTCATGGGGTCCCTGCCATGACAGCATATTCACCCAGTGCTTTACCAGTTGCACTGGCTCCCGGTGGAGTATAGGGTCAGGTTCAATATGGTGGTCTTGACCTTTAAAGCCCTTTGCGGCTTAGGGCCCTCATATCTATGGGACCGCCTCTCCTGGTATGCCCCGCAGAGGACCTTAAGATCCATGAATAACCATAGTTTAGAGGTCCCAGGCCCTAAGGAAGTCAGACTATCCTCCACCAGGGCCAGGGCCTTTTCAGTGATGGCTCCGACCTGGTGGAATGCTCTGTCCCATGAGACTAGGGCCCTTCAGGATTTAATCTCCTTCCGTCGGGCCTGTAAGACAGAGCTATTCCACCTGGCCTTTAATTTGAATTCAGCCTGATCTTTTATTTCCCTTCTCTTCCCTCCCCCTCCGCTTTTATGAAGATCACCTGCACTGAGACCCCACAGCTAATTCTCTCCTGGCCTCCTCGCTGGCCCAAGTAGGACCAATTCAGCCAGCTAGCCCTGGGGATTATCTAATTGATTTTTGATTTTTATTGTTATTCATGTTTTTATACTGTATTTTATGCTGCTTTTATAATTAAGTGTTTTAAAGTGTTTTAAATTTGTTGTTAGCTGCCCTGAGCCCAGTTTTTGAACTGGGAAGGACGGGGTATAAATTATTATTATTATTATTATTATTATTATTATTATTATATCTGCTGAAATTTCCTCTTCTACATAACTGTTAAAGCCCTGTCCTCTTTTCCATCTGACCAGTCTAGTTACATTTCATTCTGACCTTATCAAAAGGCAAGAAGGGTTCCTGGGGATGATCTTAAAGCTCAGATAGGCCCATGTGAGTACAGTCTGTCTTTCAAATAACCAGGTGTGAAATTCCTCCACCATAGATAACACCTGCTTCAAAGATGATAACATTCCCTAAAAGGAAAAATCCAGCACTTCAGGGTGAAAGGTGCTAGCACTTTTTAGGGTGCTAGATGTAGTTAATGCATGCATTTTATTCTGTGAACCATCCTAAGACCCCCAGGCATAGGGGAGTATACAAATTCTAATAATAATAATAATAATAATAATAATAATGTGTTACAGTCATACCTCGGGTTACAGACGCTTCAGGTTGTGTGTTTTTTCGGGTTACGGATGCACCAAAACCCAGAAGTACCGGAAGGGGTTACTTCCAGGTTCCGGCGGCCGCACATGCACAGACGCGCCGCTGCAGATTGCGAATGTGCATCCCGCATGGATCACGTTCGCAACCCGAGCGTCCATTGTACTTTAAAAGTGCCTGAATGAGGACACTTTTTGTCTAATGATCTAGCCAACCTCTGGATGTACAGTGGTACCTTGGGATGCGAACGGGATCCATTCTGGAGCCCCGTTCGCATCCCGAGCAGAATGTAAGACGTGACAGCGCGTCTGCGGCGTTTCACCACTTCTGCACATGCGCATGACATCATTTTGACCATCTGCGCATGCGCGAGCAGCAAAACCCGGAAGTAACACGCTCCATTACTTCCGGATCGCCGCGGAGCGCAACCCGAAATCACTCAACCTGAAGCGTATTTATCCCGAGGTATGACTGTAGTCTCTATCTCTTAAATTAGGTCCTCCCCTAAAAGCTGAGCCACTTTGTTGTTCTCCCCAACTTGTTGATACAAGATGTCTGCTATTTCTCTCATTCTCTGTAACTGTAACTTGTTTATGCATTAATAAAGCCTTTGAACTCCATAAACTTGTAACTGATTGTTTCGATCTAATTCACTCAAGGTCTGCTAACAATGGTGAAGAATTACGGTATATTTTGAGATTTTAACATTCCTACTTGAGATTTCCACTGGCCTAAGGACAATGATTATCTCAATAGGGATCAGGCAGGTGTGTTTTAAAACTTCAAATGGAAACCGTGAGTCTGCCAAAAAGGCAACACCCATCACAGCACAACTACAAATGATGGCTCTCTCGCTAAGATGCATCCAAAAATAATTTGGTATGTATTCAACTTTGGTTCTTCCACAGTATACAGGGTTAGGGGCGAGGGAGCACACAATTGTGGTGTTTGTTTGTTTGTTTGCCTGCTTTTTGGTGCCAGTTTTGCAGACAAGGAAATAAGAGCAGAGTTGGAACAGATCTAAAAGATCTAGTCCAACCCCATCGACGCAGGAAATCTGCTGATACAGTTGGTAGCCATCCAGCATCTACCTAAAGAACTCTTAACAAAAGAGAGTTTGACACCTTCTAAAGCAATCTGTTCCACTGTTGAACCATTAGTAACATCTGGAAAATACCTTTTAATGTCTGGCCAAAATCACAGCCCCAGATGCATACGTCAGAACAAGTTCTCTTTTTTCCTCACATCACAATAAGCCAGACTTTCTGGCTCATTGTGGTTTATTGTGAATAAGCAGTGTGCTGAAACATGCAGCTCACTTCACTTCTCCCCTGGTACAAATAAGGTAAATGCACCCAGATGCCTTGGCATCTAGCTACATCCAAACCAGGAATCAGAGCTTCTTGCTCCCAGGAAAGTAATGATCTCTAGCTATGGTTTGCTGTTGGCTTCCTGATCATGGTTTGTGAAGGGGCAACGGACCATTATTCATGGTTTGGATGTACAGTGGTTCCTTGGTTTTCGAACATAATCTATTCCAGAAGACCGTTCTATTCCAGAAGACCGAAATGTTTGATAACCAAAAACTCAATATGGAAAACTCAATACGGAAGCCACGTGACATGTTTGACTTCCGAAAAGTGTTCGGAAACCAAAGCACTTACTTCCGGGTTTACGGTGTTCAAAAACCGAAACGTTCATCAACAGAGACATTCGAAAACCAAGATACCACTGTAACAGGGAGTCAGAGCAGGGCCAGAGGCAAAAGCAAGTAGAATAACCGGCGTGTGCTAAAGTGGAAAATTTCTACACACACACACACTTCCATCCAGACAAGAAAGAGGCAATATCATAGTTCATAGAGGCAATATCATAGTTCAATGACATATTCCAGCCAGGCAAAAACATTAAAGGGTAGTGGAGACAGGAAGGGCCTGGAAGGAAGTTATTAAGACCAGCAAAATATGTGTGGAGACTGTATTTGGCTCCTGACCCTGAGGCTCCCCACCCTGACTTCAGGACTAATCATAATTATATCTCACATCTGAACAGTAGGTAGAACTGAAGTCATAGAAGCTGGGTGTGAGTTGTACATTCTCTGACTCCACTGCGTTCCACTTCTGAAATCAGTGAGCTGCTCTGTGCACATTTCCACACCCATTTTTCCTCTCCCCAAAATTATAAAAGATCCCCCTGTGGGGTCTCAGGAAAAGCCACAGAGGCCTGTTCTTGTCCTGGTGTTTTGTTTTGTTTTGTTTTGGCCTAACTGATGCCATTTTGCTGCTGTGAAAAACTGCCTGCTTTAGAATTTAGGAGGATGAGCCGCAAATATGTGAAGACCAGTTAACGTTGCTAGGTGATTTTCAGGAAAACCTCCCTCTGCCAGGCAACTCTCCCCTTCAAGGTATCCAGGAAGGGTGTCCTGTTTTGATTAGCACAAGGAACCTCAAAAGGGGGGAAAGAAGGGGGGGTGCCTATAAAAAGTAAGAAGAAAAGCTGTTTGGTGCGGCTTCATCATCACACTAGTGACTGTGGCTCCCCTGCTGTTTTACTCAGCTGAATAAATGAGTGATTATGGGAATCTCCTATGTCTATGGCATTTATTGGCTTTTCAGTGACCAAGGCAGCTTGGGCCCAATTAGTTGATACCTAACACCCATCCCTCAACAGCTCCCATCTTGATGCTTGCTTTATATAGTATTTTATTAGTGCCTGCTAAGGTAGAGTTACCAGACGTCCCCGGTTCCCGAGGACAGTCCCCAGTTCCCAGGGACAGTCCCCGGATTTGCAAATCTGTCCCCGGACAAATTCCGTCCCCAGAATGTCCCCAGATTTGCAGATCTGTCCCCGGGAAACGTGGCAGTGGCAGCCTCAGCAGCCTGGCAGCGCATTTGGTTCTGGCTGGCTTCAGGAGCTGCTCACTGCCGTGGCGCTTGCCATTTTTCCTCTCCGGAAGTCCCCATATGATATGTCTTCTGCACAATACACCATATGGGGACTTCCAGAGAGGAAAAATGGCGGGCACCATGGCCACGAGCAGCTCCTGAAGCCAGCCAGAGGCAAATGAGCTACCAGGGTGGCTCCAGGCTGCTGACTGCCTCTGCCGCCACCACTGCCAAAGGGGAACCGGGGACGTCTAGCGGTACAGATCTCCTGCCCACTTCCCCCTTTGTTTTGACTGATCTGGGAAGGCTCAGGAGTCGCAGGTGGGTGGTGTGCCATTGCCCAGGAGGGGTGCAACGCATGTGGTTTCTCTGCCAGGCAAGGTGCAGAGTTTTTTTAAAAACTGGGCAATGGCACACCATGTGCCCGTGACTCCCAAGCCTCCCCCAATCTCCTGCCCCCTTCCCCCTCTGACTGATTGAGGGAGACTTGGGGGTTGTGGCTGGCCAGCCATTGCCCAGTTTTTAAAAAACTCTGCGCATTTATGTTTCACAGGGTGCAAAATAAGGGCTTTGCACCTTTATACAATATGCATGTGTGCTTGGGCCCAGGGTCTTTTGCCTCACCATCCCCACTACTGACTGCCTGTTGCTTCTCAGATTAAAAAAAAAAATTTAAAAAAAATGTCCCTGGTGTTATGTACTGAGTTGAATAGGATCCAAACTGCAGCAGTCTGATTGGTCCTAGAACAATAGGATCCAAAACGCAGCAGTCTGATTGGTCCTAGAACAATAGGATTCAGAATGAAGCAGTCTGATTGGTCCTAGAACAATGCAGCAGTATGGTTGGTTGGCAGGAACCACCCAATCATTCTCCAGATAGAAGCGAATCCACAACCTGATTGGCTTACAGTAGAATTCCGGATTAGCCAATCATGTGCAGCCCATTGTGTAAATAATGTATATAAAGCAGATACTTTGAGGGGACATTCATTCATTCCTCCTCACCACTATGAGCTGAATAAAGAGCATGAAATCACTTTGCGACTCTGAGTATATTTCACTGGCGACGAGGATGAGATCCCGCTGAGCTGACTGCCACACACAGCACCGCAGCACCACCACCTGCCGCACCGCTGCCTCGCACCGTGTATCCAGGCTTCAGCTCCGGGACACAAGGAACTCAGAATGGCAACCGACAGCAGCTTCTCGCCGTTCAACCCAGCATCCGGAGACTGGGAAGCGTACGCCTCCCGTTTCACCTTCCTCCTAGAAGCCAAAGGGGTCACCGATGAAGAAGACGCCAAGAAGAGGGCGATATTCTTCAGCGTCTGCGGAGAGGAGACGTTTGAAATCGCCAGGGCTCTCCTTGCGCCTGAAGACGTCGCTACTGTTCCATACAAAACAATAATGGAACAGCTGAAGGGGCACTTTTTGCCACAGCCCTCAGTGGTGGCTTGTCGAAATGCCTTCTACGCAAAGCGGCAAGCCCCTGGGGAAACCATAACTGGGTTTGTGACCTCTCTCCGCCAAGCCGCCCGGTTCTGCAACTTCTCAGAGCTGGAGAACATGCTTTGTGACCGCCTCGTCGGTGGCCTGAAGGATGAGAAGCTGCAACGATGCCTCTACGCTAAGAAGGACCTAACGTTCCAGGTCGCTCTGGAGGAGGCCCAGGCAACGGAAGCTGCCGAGAGGTCGACGCAAGAGGCACGGCCGAGCCTGCCGTCCCAACTGAGGGTCCACCACGAAGACCTCACCGACGACTCAGGATCCGACAGGGAGGAGGTGCACCAAGTACAGCAGCGCACTCAAGCAGCCCACATACCACACCTGCCTCGACGAGAAGGAGGGAACTGCGCAAGCTGCGGGGAAAGTCACGAGAGGAGGACCTGCCGTTTCCGCAACGCAGAGAGCAGGCAGTGCCTAAAATCGGGACACATCGCCCGGGTATGTCGGGCTCGGCCCACCCGATGCCAGGCATCAGATGACCAATCCAAGAGCCCCAGGTCCCGGGGCCCAACGCACCAAGGCAACTCGACGGAGCTCACGGACTTCCAGGTATACCAATTGCCCCACCCCAACGTAGAGAAAATTTATGTAGAGGTACAGATAGAGGGGGCCCCATGCCGCATGGAGCTTGACACGGGTTCAACTCTATCCATAATCTCGGCAAGGACCTTAAGGAAACTGTGTCCTACTGGGGGTCACAAACTCAGGCCGGCCCCATTCACCCTCTGGGACTTCCAGAAACGTAAGGTCCCCACAATGGGGGGACCTTCAGGGTGCAATACCGAGGGCGGACGCGGCAACTGGACTTGCTTGTGGTCAAGGGCCCCTACATTAGCTTACTGGGATTGGCATGGTTTGGACCACTGGTGCTAGCCGTCACCGGGGTGAACCACACCAGCTTACAAGTGGACGTGGACGCCATATGCAAGGAATTTCCGGGGGGTTTCGATGGGAAATAGGGACAGTATACGGCCCCCCCATTGCTCTACAGCTTGACCCCGCAGTACGACCGGTCAGACTCAAGGCCCGCCAGGTCCCGTTCGCCCTGAAACCCCGAATAGACGAGGAATTGGACCGGCTCGTGGAGCAAGGAGTGCTGGAGCTGGTGCCTAATGCCCCCTGGGAAACCCCAATCATCACACCCGTCAAGCCTAATGGTTCGGTCCGCATCTGCGCAGACTACAAATGTACCATAAACAAGGCCCTCACGGCCCATGCATACCCAGTGCCAGTGGTCAGCCATGTCCTTGCCACCCTGGCTGGGTCGAAAAATTTTGGCAAGTTGGACTTGGCCCAAGCATATCAACAGCTGCCAGTAGATGAAGCCACAGCAGAGGCACAGACGATTGTGACGCACAGAGGAGCGTTCAGGGTAAAGCGGCTGCAATTCGGTGTCAGTGTGGCACCAGGCATATTCCAGAATCTAATGGACTCTCTCCTTAAAGGGATTCCTGGCGTCACCCCCTTCTTCGATGATGTGTTGATTGCCGGGCCCACACCAGGAGTTTGAGGACCGCCTCCGCACCGTTCTGCACTGTTTCCAGACGGCAGGTCTCAAGGTGAAGCGGGAAAAATGTCTACTAGGAGCGCCTCAGGTGGACTTTCTGGGATTTATGGTGGACGCAGAAGGGGTCCACCCGACTGGGGACAAGGTACGGGCCATTTGTGATGCCCCAGTGCCCAAGAGCAAGACTGAACTCCAGGCCTTCTTGGGACTATTGAACTTTTACCATTCCTTCCTTCCCCACAAGATGGCGGTAGCGGAGCCCCTACACAGACTCCTGGACAAGCGGGCCCCTTGGGTGTGGGGCCAGCGCCAGGAGGCCGCATTCCAGGCAGTCAAGGACTTGCTTGTCTCAAACTCGGTCTTGGCACACTTCAACGAGAAGCTGCCGGTGGTGCTAGCATGCAACGCCTTTCCCTATGGCATCGGCGCTGTCCTGGGACACCAGCTCCCGGATGGAAGAGAGGTACCGGTGGCATAGTTTTCCCAGACACTCAACGCAACCGAGTGGAACTACTCGCAAATCGACAAGGAGGGTCTGGCAATCATGAAGGGAGTAAAAAAAATCCATGATTTCTTGTACGGGCGGCCCTTCACCGTGGTGACTGACCACAAGCCGTTGCTTGGCTTGTTTGCCCCCGAAAAGCAGACCCCCCAAGTGCTGTCTCCTCGCGTCCTCAGGTGGTCAATTTTCCTTGCCAGCTACCAGTATGCACTGATTCACCGCCCTGGGAAGGCGATGGGCCATGCGGACGCCCTCAGCAGGCTACCACTACCAGAAACAGGCCCCGACCCAGCACCTGCACAAGAGGTTATGAGCCTGGAGCTGCTTTCCGACCGCCCCATTCAGGCACAAGAAGTTGCACACCATTCCAAGAACGATAGGGTCATCTCCCAGGTCCTGGACTGGGTGTGGAGCGGATGGCCCAGCAGCAGCCCCGGGCCAGAACTCGCCGGCTACACAACCCGCAAACATGAACTGTCGGCCCACAAGGGGTGCCTGTTATGGGGAAGCAGGGTCGTTGTTCCCCAGCCCCTCCGCAAAAGGGTCCTCACAGCCCTACACGAGACACACCCAGGGGTAGTAAGAATGAAGGCCCTTGCCAGGAGTTATGTGTGGTGGCCGGGGATCGACGGAGAGATAGAGGCCTGGGTCAAACACTGCCAGGCCTGCCAAGAATCCCGCCCAGATCCCCCAAGGGCCCCAGTCCAGTCCTGGGAGTCCACCCGAGCACCATGGTCACGCCTGCATGTGGACTTCGCTGGCCCCTTTCAGGGGAAAACAGTCTTCATAGTGGTGGACTCCTACACCAAATGGCTGGAAGTCGCACTGGTACCATCCACTTCTACGTCCGCAGCCATCCGGGTACTACGCAGGCTGTTTGCAACCCACGGGCTCCCTGACACTCTTGTCTCAGACAACGGGACTGCATTTACGTCAGGAGAATTCCAAACCTTCACAGCGCAGAACACCATCTGCCACATCCGTTCGGCGCCATTCCACCCTGCCACCAATGGCCAAGCAGAATGCATGGTGCAGACCACCAAGGACACCCTTCGCCGCATGACACAAGGGGATTGGGAGTACCGCCTTGCCACATTCCTTCTAGCACAGCACAGCACCCCCAGCTCAACGACTGGCCGGAGCCCCACTGAACTGCTAATGGGTCGGCGCCTTGCAATCAGATTGGACCGCCTTCACCCCGATAGAGCTCAGGATGAGGTAGTGATGGGGGAAGGCAGGAACCCCCGGACCTTCAAGGCCCAGGACCCAGTGTACGCAAAGAATTTTGGGGCAGGCCCAGCATGGGTACCCGCCACAGTCACCAGGGTCACTGGCCCCGTGTCGTACGAGGTGCTAACGGATGGGGGGCAATGCTGGCGCCGCCACTGCGACCAGATACGGCGACGATTCCCGGGAGAAAACCAGGAGGAGGACAGGTCAGAGGAGTCCCAAGGGAACAGTGGGGCAGTGAGGCCCATAGAGCAGGAGGGGCCAGCAGGAGAGGCAGAATCAGTAAATACAGAGAGGACCCGCGAGGCCGAAAGGACACCGGAACCAGAACCACGACTGAGCGAGCCGGTTGCGCCAGACCAAACAGCCCCATCACAGCCAGCATCCTTGGAACACGAGCCAGAACCTGAACCCTGGACCAGGGAACACCCCAGGCCGCAACGCACACGTAGGCCGCTGGCGTACCTTGAGGACTATGAATGTGAACTCCCGGGCAGGACTGGAACTTAGAGGGGAGGGGTGTTATGTACTGAGTTGAATAGGATCCAAACTGCAGCAGTCTGATTGGTCCTAGAACAATAGGATTCAGAATGAAGCAGTCTGATTGGTCCTAGAACAATGCAGCAGTATGGTTGGTTGGCAGGAACCACCCAATCATTCTCCAGATAGAAGCGAATCCACAACCTGATTGGCTTACAGTAGAATTCTGGAATTAGCCAATCATGTGCAGCCCATTGTGTAAATAATGTATATAAAGCAGATACTTTGAGGGGACATTCATTCATTCCTCCTCACCACTATGAGCTGAATAAAGAGCATGAAATCACTTTGCAACTCTGAGTATATTTCACCTGGATTCATTGAAAAAAATCTGGTAACCATATGCTAAGGCACATTTTTTCTCTTGGCTTCAGTCTTGGCTTTTGAATATGTTGGGCTGGTAGGAGAGGCTAGCACCTTGAAAGACAACTGGCAGAAAAAGAAGCATACCTGCATCCTCGGCTCTGAGGCTCAGCACCATATGCTTGGGTGAAAAATAATCATTTTGTGATGTATTCACAGAGTTCTGCACACATCAAACAGGTAGTTTAAAGTGTGTGTAGAAAGCAGTTTTCTTTCTAGGCAAAGAAGAGCCAAGCACATTACGGTAATCTGAATTGGTTCTGCAGTTATTGTGTTTATAGCACCATTAAGGCCTTTCAGTGGCACTTCCAAAAAGGCTGGAGATATAACATGGTGTGTTAGAGAGGGATTGTGTACTGCAAGGAGCAGGACACACACCCCTTCTCCCATTTGGGGCTGTAATCTACACAGCTGGCAATAGTGGTGGGTGGGACAAGAGCAGATGGTAGCCAGAACCTCCCATCCCATTCTCTCTTTCTTACCCCAAATCAGCTTTCCCCTTGCCCAAAATAATTACCCAGCCAGATTATCTGACTGGGCATTCTTAAAGTAGGCTTTGACCACCAGGTGGCTTCCCCAAGGTTTTGTTGGACAACTGGCTGCCATACTGTCTGAGGCTAATGGGAGTTGTAGTTCAGAGCATCTGGAAGGCATCATATTGGCAAAGCTCCTTTGAAAGTTTAAAGCAAGGATTCAGATACGCATCTGAATACCTTGCTGGAAAACAACAGGAATATGTTGTGCCCATATTTGCCTTCAGGGCTCCCCATAGATATCTGGGTAGCCACTGTGGGAATGCAGGATGCTAGACTAAGGGGGACTTTGGTCTGGATACCATGGTTTGTCTCATGCGTTTTTATTGTTAAGCAACAAATCAGTTCACAGAAGGGATGACTGAAGGCTGTTTACTTTCCACATGGCACATTTCACAACAGCCAGTAGTTTGATGTTAAATTGTTGCTGTAACATCCAGCTGTTGTTTGCCACTCTTATTTCCCCTTGAATGAGAAGTAGTGTGTGGGACCCCAGCATAGAGCGTAACTCTCGTATCCTGTTGAGCAGAAGTAATTTGTATGAGGACTGCATAGTGACACAACAGGCTTATAAAAGTTTTAACTGTCATGCTTTCTTCCATCAAATTATGGGAATTCTAGTTTGTGAGAAGACTGATACATCTCCATTAAAGATCCCCGTCACTGCAGAACTATAGCTCTCAGGATTCCTTGGGCTTGGGCACATCCAGGAGGGGGAAGGGGGCAGCTGCCCCCACAGATCAAGTAAAACAATAAAAATGCTTAATTAACTGAGGTTCTGCCCCCCCCCCCCATAAATTCTGGCTACACCTATGCCTTGGGAAGATGGAATGACTGTTAAACCTATTTAATTATGTGGCATAGATATATATATGTATATAACACTGCTTTTTTTCAAAGGTAGAATTACCTCTATTTTATCCTGCAGAGCGTTAACAACAACAGCTAGGAGGAAGATGTGCACATTAGTGGCATTAAGCCAAATTTAACTTCTCTTAGAATCATAGAATTATAGAATCTTAGAGTCATAGAATCTTCATTTGTTGTTATATTTTATAGGTATACAGGCTTCACAGGTTCTTCCTGAAGGCAGCTGAGCAAGTTGAGGAAGTCTGTGCTCAAGTAACCCTAGGACAGCTCTCTCATCTTCTGCCTGGATGAATGCTAGGAAGTTGAGTGGCAGGATATGGTGCAATACTACGAAACTGTGGGGTGACTCATACTATGTACATTTATTCAGATATTAGTCCCACTGGGTGGTATCTGACTTAAGTCAGAAAAGACCAATTGAAATAAATGTCTGCTGACTTCTGTAGGTTTACTCTGAGCATGGCTTAGGCTTCCAGACGGTTGCTGTTTTCAGGTGGGATGCAATCAGATACTGGCAAATTTATGTATTTATTTATTTGATTTATATCCTGCTTTTCCTTCAAGGAGCTCAAAGTGGCATACATGGTTTCCCCGCTCCTGGTTCTATTCTCGCAACAACGCTGTGAGGTAGGTTAAGCTAAGAGACAGTGAATGGCCCAATCATCCAGTGAGCTTCATGGATGAAGGGGATTTGAACCCTGGTCTAAGTAAAGGTAAAGGTAGCCCTGACCATTAGGTCCAGTCGTGACCGACTCTGGGGTTGTGCGCTCATCTCACTCTATAGGCCGAGGGAGCCGGCGTTTGTCTGCAGACAGCTTCCGGGTCATGTGGCCAGCATGACAAAGCCACTTCTGGTGAACCAAAGCAGCACACGGAAACGCCATTTACTTGGTCTACCAGGTCCTAATTCAATACTAACCACTGCACCACACTAGCTTTAAATCCAGGTTGTACAACTGAAGTTGATTTGGTGCTTTTGTGCAACAAACCTGCTTCCCCAATCCCATCAGAATTTTTATAATAAGTGACAGGAAAACACACTGGAAAGTGATGGATAATAATTGCTTGATGAAGTATCTCTGCAAACAATCAGAATAGAAGTTCTAGAAAAGATGGTGTGACTGTTGTCTACCCTCCCCACAAATTTTGTGCAAATAAAAAAAGAGCAAAGTGACCCTAATTGGATACCACCCATAGTGTGCAAAACTAAGTGTATTTAAGATTCAAAAGCTCAACCTAAACAATATCCCTTCAGTGGATGGTTATGTCTGGTTTTTCCCCATGGGGACTCTCAGTTGGACATTCTATGCCAGGGATGCCCAAACTTTTTTCAAAGAGGGCCAGATTTGATGAAGTGAACATGTGTGAAGGCCGACTTTTTTTCGATTTTACCCCAAAGTTGTTGAGCTTTTTTAACAATTGTTGAGCTTTTTTTTTAGGAATTGACCCCAATGAATAAACTGCCACAGGGGCCGGATAAAAACAGACTTTGGACGTGCCTGTGAATGCTTCATGTAAAAAATCATGTGTGACTACTGCACATGTGTGTGTGTGTGGAGGATCTTCTTTGTCTTATCTACCTCTATGCAGTGACATAAAGAAGAAAGATTATCTTACCCATCAAAAGAGTTTATTTGTTGCCAGCAAATATGGACCCTGGCAAGCTAGTACTTGATATAATGGTTTGAAGAGTTTTTCCTTTGCATTAATTATTGTCAGAAGCAGGGGCACGCCTACAACTGGAGTTGCTACACCTGTGACTAAGGGGGAAATTGCAAGTTGATTTTTTCCCTAGTCATGAAAGCTTATGCAATTTTGAATATTTCCCAACACCTTATACCTTCAAGCTATTGCACTGTTTTTATGAGGCTGCCATTCTCATGAACAGTTATGCCACTTTCAGACAACCTGTTAATTGAGCACTCACATTGATTTGGAAGTTTGCAGGAAGGTTAGACAACCCAGGCCAGGCATAGGCAAACTTGGCCCTCCAGATGTTTTGGGACTACAATTCCCACCATCCCTGACCACTGGTCCTGTTAACTAGGGATGATGGGAGTTATATTCCCAAAACATCTGGAGGGCCAAGTTTGCCTATGCCTGACATAGGCTATTTATTGAACATGCATTTTGATTTCTTTGCAGGGACATTAAACAACACTGAGTCAAGCAAGTGTAAGCCCACACTTTCCATTTAATTTTCCTGTCACTTTTCTTATTGCAATAAGTCCATTTTGGGTGGGATGGGGAACAGGTTTGTTTGCAGTATTCTGGTGAAAAGAAAGAACGTAAGAAGAGCTTGCTAGATCAGGCAAGTGGCTAATTTAGTCCAGCACCCTCTTCTCACAGTGGCCAACCAGATGCCTCAATGGGAAACCTGCAAGCAGGACCTGAGCACAGGAGCACGCTCCCCTTCTGCAGTTTCCAGCAATTGGAATTAAGAACTAGAGGCAGAGAATGCCTATCATGGCTAGTAGCCATGGATATGCCTTTCCTCCATGAAATTGTCTAATAAGCCATCTAAGTTGGTGGCCATCACTGCCGCATGTGGGAGTGAGTTCCATAATAGTCAATTTCTTTTATTTCCTGAATCTTCCAACATTCAGCTTCATCGGATGCCCACAAATTATGGCATTACAAGAAACAGAGAAAAGCACTCTCTATTCACTTTCTACATGCCATGCATAATGTTATAAACTGTCAGTTTGCATTTCTTAGTGCAGAAAGTATAGATCTGATGTATAGAGATATTTCCTATTCTCCTCAATACACGAGGATTTTGGAAGCTACTGTGTGTGACAGAAGCAAGCAGAGGGGTTAATGATTGGGTTATACCTTCTAGGAAGCTGGTTTGAACTAGTTCTCTTATCTCTTCCAATTAAGGGCATGCTGACTATAGAATGCTTAGTGTTAAGGTTTAGTCTTAAGTTTTTGTAAGTGCTGCAACTGGATTTTTATGGACTGTGCCAATCCTGAATGTACAGTATTTGGACTTGTGACAATTATGCTCATTTTCCTTCAGCACAAGTAAAGCTCTACTGGATAAAATATTGCCTCTGGTCTATTTTTGGAAACTCTGCTACTACGAGTTTAAGTTTTTCCTTCACACGTACAACATAAATGTGTCACCTCTTCCTGGCCTTTTCCCTAATCAGAAAGTCCCAAATACTGCAACTGTTGCTGGAGGCCTCCCAATCACTGTTGATTGTGGAACCTGAATTTACAGTCACACGGCTGGATCCCACCAAAAAACAGCAGCAGTCTGTTGGTTACAAGGGGATGGTGCTAGTATTGTTGTAGGGCAAATCTGCTGTTTCACTAGTACCATTAACTATTCGTGAATCGGGCTGAAGAAAGAGTCTGTATTTAGGCTCTCCATTTTCTCCTACATTAAATGAACTGTGTTACAACACCATATAACACAGTTTGTCTGCTTAATTATATACTCCCTATTTTGTCTGGGAAACTCAAGGGATGAAAACGAGGTTCCAACGTTATACCCTCACAATAACCCTGTGAGGTAGGCTAGGCTGAAGCAGAATGACAGGTCTATCCTCGGCCACTGTGCTGCATGGCCTACAGAATATAGCAGCCAGCATCTCCCCCAGTCCTAGTCTGACACTTTAACCGGTGCAAAGCAGCCTTCAGTACTGCCTACGAGACATTGTGGCAGCCATAGGCACAGCAACCCATGCCTTTTTCTGCCCCCGCCTATAACAGGCCGCTAGGCCTCGTAACCATAGAAACTTCCAGAAAGAGCCAACCCTTCCTGCCTAGAGATTTTTTCAACATGACGCCCAATTCCAGCCAATGAGCTCGCTCCGCTTGGCTCATGCAGCAGCCCTTGATTGGACTGCAACACCGGTAGGACGGCCCAATGAGGCTCGAGGACGGCCGAGCGGAAAGAGAAGGGGTGGGGAAGGAAAGCGACACAACCAAGCCTGACGGAGCGGTGCGCGACGGGGGCCTGACGTCACAAACGGAGCGGACCTATCGGCTCCGGCCAGCTTGGTGGCAAGCGACCAATCGGGAGGCTCCAGCGAGAGAAAATGGGCCAATAGTGCGACTCCACGCAAGGCCACGGGAAGGTATATAAGAGCCGAGGGGGACATCTGGGCCAGACCGTGATCTTTGAGTGAGAAAATCACAATTCAGATCGTTGCGTTCGTCGGATAGAGCGTGAGGCGACCGCGAGGTCCTGTTACCTAATACAGGTAAGGCTCGGGTGGCCTAGTGCTTGAGCGGAGGAGGGGGCCGGGGCCTAACGAGAAGGGGAGGGCGGCGTCTCCAAATCTATCGGGCCTTGTGGGGTCCCCCTTGCCCTCAAAATGCCACTTCGTTCTCAGTTATCCAGGTTCCCATTGAGAAAAATCCAATTGCGGCTCACGGTCCAAAGCGCGCCATTTTTATTCCCATTTCCTGCCAGTTCCATATTCCCCTTGGTGGTGGTGGCGTGGCGATTGCAATGATTACAGTATTTGGCTTGCATGAATGAATAAAAGGTTTATATCGCAGAATAGGAAAAGAGGTTTGTGCGGGGTATTCTTTTTCGTTCCCCATGCTCATTATCGGGGAGAGGGGATTTATCCAAAAAGCAGAACTTGCTAGACGTCTCTGTATGGTGTTTGTTTTGTATATTGATAACCTTTGCCGGTTTGGGGCAAATGGTAATGGCTGGGTTTCTGGTGGTGAGTACAGCGACTACTCCCACTTTTTACGATGGTTTTCTTATGAGAATGGGTGAAGGCAAAACAGCTGTGGTTGTCGTGAACAATGTTAATTATTTGATTTGAGGCTGCTACTCGTTTTACAGTGGCTCCGTATTCCAAAAAATGGGAGGGGGGAGCAGGCTATCTCTGGCACTGGATTACCAATTTACTCTTTGCCTTTAATGTTGGGATTGTCTGAACTAAAGTTAAGAGTTTGGTAGCCCTTTTTTGATGTGTTACGTTTTGCAGCTTTTACACACTGCCTTTCCACATGATTTTTCTCAATGAATGTCTGTAGAATTTAGCACAGTGTGTGGGTTCATATTCATGTTTAAGTATCACGACAGCTACATATTTTCTTAACCCCTTGGCTGCCTTTTCCTTGAACAGAAAAGTTTCTTTTGTATAGGATTTAGGGTGTTTTCCTTGAGCTGCCTGCCCTCCCAGCCTTTGCTAATGATATGTGGGACCAGTAATACTTACTCTGTAAATTTGCCCCTATTTCTGTTAAATGGGCATCATAGTATTGTCTTTTTGCTCATAGTATTGCCACTGATGATTGATTTTACTTATTACAGGGTTTTTTTCCTCCCTGATTGTGAATACTTGGTACAAGGGCAAAATGAAGTATGCACTTGTCTGCCTGTTGCTCATTGGCAGTGTATTTGCTGCTGATGACGACGACAAAAAGGAAGATGTGGGGACTGTGGTTGGCATTGATCTGGGAACCACATATTCCTGGTAAGTAAAAGAAGGGTGCCTATTTGAGTGGCTTCTGGGTGTCTTGAATAGCTTATGGCCACTGCACCAAAATATGGCCAAGATTTGATGCAGTGTTGTGAACCGTCATTCTGCACTAGTGTATACAAATTAATTGTACCGTACTACTATTTTAATGCACTTGGTACAAGTCAGGGGAGAAACAATACGATAGCTATTCAGCTCAAACTATTTTGATTCAGTGTAGTCTTACAGCTAAAAGCTTGAGTACTGGCCAGAAACATTAGTTTAGCCCAGAGGATACAACTAGCTTGCTTGTTGCACCTCTTCACAGGGCTCAGATTTTTGGCTTGATGTGCTTGATTTTCTCCTGTTTGCTGTTGGTTTTATGTGAATTCTGTTTTGTTTTTTTGTTGGTGTTCATTTTTTCTTGGTTGTGTTAATGCATTTTAATGTACTGTATCTTAGGTGTATTATATTTTGTGAACCACCCAGAAGGCTTTAAATAATACATATATTTTAAAAAGTAACTTCCATTCTCTTTTACAGTGTTGGTGTTTTCAAGAATGGGCGTGTGGAGATAATTGCTAATGACCAGGGTAACAGAATCACACCCTCCTATGTGGCCTTCACACCAGAGGGGGAACGTCTTATAGGTGATGCAGCAAAGAACCAGCTGACTTCAAACCCTGAGAATACTGTATTTGATGCCAAACGCCTCATTGGTAGAACATGGAATGATCCTTCTGTGCAGCAGGATATAAAATATCTACCTTTCAAGGTACTAATTTTGTGCCTTTTATGTTATGGTGTATATAAAGTACATTGAACACCTTTTGGTGTGAAATTTGAACCCAACGTGTCCCCAATCATAGCACTGTCTTAGAGACACTAGGTTACTAAGCAATGTATGAAGTGTTTTTCCAGTCCACACGACTTATGGCACTGCTTTCACTCTGCTTAAGATACCAGCATCCAAGCATGGGTCATTCTGCATCTGGCAACCTGATGGGCAGGTTGTTTGGTCCTGCCGCTTCTTCAATGGAACTTCTTTAAGTCCACCACAATATTAATATTGTAGATGGTGTGCTTTTGGTTTGTAACCATATCCACTTGTACTTGTCTTTACAGGTCATTGAAAAGAAGTCCAAGCCCCATATTCAGGTTGATATTGGAGGTGGCCAAATGAAGACCTTTGCCCCAGAAGAAATTTCAGCAATGGTTCTGACTAAAATGAAGGAGACTGCTGAGGCCTACTTGGGAAAGAAGGTAAGATGATGTTTCCGCTGGAGCACACTAGCGAAAAGAATAGGCACTGAGGGGAGCCTTTGTGAATCTACCGTGTATGGAGATTGGCCAGTGGTTGGTCTAATCTTTTACTGCTTACTCTAGTTAGCAGCAGGTCTCGATGCCTTTCTGGTCTAGAGATCATTCTAAACTAGCTTGAACATGTAATATTCTACTTACAATGTAAGTGCTCTGCCACTGAGCTTTGATGCCTCCTAACAGGCCTGGCTGCTTGTACACGAGGAGTCCCTGCTTTTTTGGTTCCCAGGACATAAAATGGATGGGGGTGGTAGAATTGTTCTCCAAGCTGAGAAGGCCAATCTGTAACCTTCTGGATGTGTTTTAATTCTAATTTCCAATATCCCTGACAGTTGACAATGCTGGATGGGGCTGATGAGAGCCTTGCAGCATCTAGAGGGCAACAGGCAATCCACTCCTCTAAATAGTCTTGAAAGGTGCATTATAGACAATCGGGCTCCCCACCCCCCAAAAAAACCCTTTATTAGATCTTAATTTGGAAACAGCAATCAGAATTACTCTCATTCTTCTCCAGGTCACCCATGCTGTTGTCACTGTGCCAGCTTATTTCAACGATGCCCAGCGTCAGGCTACAAAGGATGCTGGTACTATTGCAGGGCTGAATGTCATGAGAATAATCAATGAGCCGTAAGTAGGGTTTTAATAGTCTTCTGCCAGTATTTGGAGTTTGTGTGGGCTTTTCTCACATTTACCAAACTAACAAGTTGCTCTTTCTTACAGGACTGCTGCTGCTATTGCTTATGGCCTAGACAAGAGGGAGGGCGAGAAGAACATCCTTGTCTTTGATTTGGGTGGTGGAACCTTTGATGTCTCCCTCCTCACAATTGATAATGGTGTCTTTGAAGTTGTGGCAACCAATGGAGACACTCACCTGGGTGGGGAAGACTTTGACCAGCGTGTAATGGAACACTTCATCAAGCTCTACAAGAAGAAAACTGGAAAGGATGTTCGGAAGGACAACAGAGCTGTTCAGAAGCTTCGTCGAGAAGTTGAAAAGGCCAAAAGAGCGCTTTCTTCTCAACACCAATCTAGAATTGAGATTGAATCCTTCTTTGAAGGAGAAGACTTCTCTGAAACCTTGACAAGAGCAAAATTTGAAGAACTGAACATGGTAGGTATCTTGAATTTTAAAATAGGTTGTTTCTAATAAAATGGCTCTACTATTTGGAGCAATTGCTGTACACAAAACATAAAATTGGGAGAGAAGTAAGATTATAGTAACGTAATAACATGTAGTACATGCGCGTCATGGGAAAAATAAGGTGGTGCCCTCCTGTGTGAAACTGCCAAGTTATAAGGGGAAAATAAGGTGCTGCCACTCCCAAGACACTATGCTGGTCAAACTGCACCAACAGCAGAGAATAAATTGGTTCCCTAATGGCTTGAGTCAAAATTGCTTGCCCTCTAAAAGATAGCAATGACTGATCTTTGTAGATTCTCCTGTTAAAGAAAAATGAGATATTAAGAGTAGGCCCATCTGATCTCAAATAGCATCATACATGGGCATCTTGGGGGTGGGATGTATCTGATAATTTGGTGACTGTATCATCTTGTGGCCTTGTTCTGTGATTGCCTTTCCACATCAATTAAGTGATTTTAAATTCTGCTTGTAGGATCTCTTCCGTTCCACCATGAAACCTGTCCAGAAAGTCCTAGAGGATGCAGACCTAAAGAAGTCTGACATTGATGAAATTGTGCTTGTCGGTGGCTCTACTCGCATCCCCAAGATACAGCAGCTTGTGAAAGAATTTTTCAATGGCAAGGAACCCTCTCGTGGAATCAATCCTGATGAAGCTGTAGCTTATGGTGCTGCTGTGCAGGCTGGTGTACTCTCTGGGGATCAAGATACTGGTAAGTCTGAGTGACTTAAATGCTGCATGAGGTGTTGGGCAGATTAGCCTGTACAAGTGAAAAGCTTCCAGTCAGCCTCATAACTGTTTGGAATGGAAGATCTTTGTCTTTGCTGGCTGTCAAGTTTGTCACTACAGCTAGATAAATTATCATGATGCTTCATCACTTAAAACCTCCTTTTCATTCTTAGGGGATCTGGTGCTGCTTGATGTGTGTCCTCTGACCTTGGGCATTGAGACTGTTGGTGGAGTAATGACCAAACTTATCCCAAGGAACACTGTTGTCCCCACCAAGAAATCACAGATCTTCTCCACAGCTTCAGATAACCAGCCAACTGTGACAATTAAGGTTTATGAAGGTAAGTGGCCAACCAACATCATTTGGTTTGGAAACTTTTAGAGTTTTTTGTCTTCTGGGCAGTAAAGAGTAAAAGGCGACTCCAACACAGCTTAATTTTGCAATGCATGTTTCCACATTTGTGAGGTTCCTTAACATGCTTGGAGTATCACTAGTTGTTGATTATTAATAGAAACACAAGTGAGATGCCTTTAAAAAATGATAATCTTGTACTTGCATGATTACCAGAGTATAATTTGAGTGATTTCATGTGAAATGAAATTTCCCCCCTGTAGGAGAACGTCCTCTTACAAAGGATAATCATCTCTTGGGAACTTTTGATCTGACTGGAATCCCTCCTGCTCCCCGTGGCGTCCCTCAGATTGAAGTTACCTTTGAAATAGATGTGAACGGAATCCTTCGTGTTACGGCTGAGGACAAGGGCACAGGCAACAAAAATAAGATCACCATCACCAATGACCAGAATCGTCTTACTCCAGAAGAAATTGAGAGGATGGTCAATGATGCAGAGAAGTTTGCCGAGGAAGACAAAAAGCTGAAAGAGCGGATTGATGCTAGGAATGAGCTGGAAAGTTATGCCTACTCACTGAAAAACCAGATTGGAGATAAGGAGAAGCTCGGTGGCAAGTTGTCATCTGAAGACAAAGAAACAATAGAGAAGGCTGTAGAGGAAAAGATTGAGTGGCTAGAGAGTCACCAAGATAGTGACATCGAGGAATTCAAAGCCCAAAAGAAGGAACTGGAAGAGGTGGTGCAACCAATTGTGGGCAAGTTGTATGGTAGCGCAGGCCCACCCCCTACCGAGGAAGAAGCAGCAGGAGGAGATAAGGATGAATTGTAGGCATCAGTTTCCTAGATGTTGATGCTGTAAATATTGGACTTTGAACTTTTGTTTAAACTATTTGAACTCTAGATTTGGAATGTGATCTGAATCTTCACATTGGGTGGAGTTGGAAATGCTAGCCCAAAAGTGGCTGTATACTGCTTTTCATTAGCAGTTGATAAATGTCCAGCAGGGGGGTGGGCAACCTGACACGGGGAGCGGGTGAAGTATTGAAACCATTCTATTTAACAAGTTGGGTTGTGTGTGTTATGTGGAGAACTTTTCTACTCTCCAAGTGACAACAATAAATTTGTTACTTACACTGGATCTGGGTCTATTTGATCTTTGTAACACAAATGCTTATAGGAACTAAGAACACACCAGGACCAGAGCTATGGTTCTGTCTGCATGCTTCTTGGGTCTGACCCCCTCAGACACCACCTTCCTCAGAGCAGAATACAATTGGGCGAAGAATTATTCCCATGCATGTCTGCTAGGTGGTAACAGGCCATTGGATGATGACTTGGCATATGTGGACAAGCCACAGAAACATTAGAATCAGAATTGTTACAGTTGCAAGATACCCTCAGGGTCATCTAGTGCAGTGTTTTTCAACCTTTTTTGGGCAAAGGCACACTTGTTTCACGGAAAAAATCACGAGGCACACCACCATTAGAAAATGTTAAAAAATTTAACTCTGTGCCTATATTGACTATATAAAGTAATTCTCTTGAATAGGAATCAAATAAACACAAAGTATTTTATAATTACTTTATTATGAAATAGTAAACAGAAATATGAAAAACTATAAAATACTTTATTCAGTGCGCAACCTGGGCCTGTTTGGCTGAACACAAAGCTGATATTCTGGCTGAAATCGAAGAAAGACGCACGTAGCTCTTCGTCAACAGCTCTCAGTCTCTCTCTGTATTTAGTTTTTATAGCAATCATGCTTGAAAAGCTCATCTCACACAGATAGGTAGTGGAAAATGGGAGCAATGTCAAAATAGCTTTGTTTGCCAGAAGGGGGAACTCCTTGGCAGTATCCAACCAAAAACTGTCCAAAGGTAGATCAGCAAATCTTAGCTTTGCTAAGATTTTCTCAGTTCAGTTAGTTCCTCCTGCTCCTGTAAAGTCATGTCCTTTTCCACCAACCGATGCTGAGCTATAAGGGTCCCTAACCCAGTCAAGGCATTCAGTGGAGACTGAAGAGAAATAAAATGACAACTTCTCCGGTCCTCCTGGTGACTCGAGTCGCGACATCTTCTCTCCGCTGCTGCGCACACTGTGCTAGGGCGGGAAGAAAGTCAGAAGATGATGTCCTACTGTGATAGGTCCAGGCCGGAGTCTGGACCAATCACAGCCCGGACATCAGAAAAGTGGAGGGTGTTCCCCCCCCCCCCCGGAGGAGCGCCAATCGGCGCCCCTGCTGGCCGAGGGTGGGGTCAAAAACCCCCCCCCATACCCAGGACATAGTCCGGCGCCCGCCTAGTGGGCGAAAAATTGAAAAACCTTTTTTTTAAAAAATCTTTCGAATTTTTCCCACGGCACACCAGGCAACATCTCGCGGCACACTAATGTGCCGCGGAACAGTGGTTGAAAAACACTGATCTAGTGGTCCTTAATGTTTACATGTTTTGTTTCTAGATGAAAAGTGATGTGTAAATGAGCTCAGAGTACGTATGCATTATTGTGCCAGGTCAGAATACCTCAAGTTGGATCTCTGAATAATTTTAAGTAATTTCAGGCCCAGAAATATACAAGAGAGAAGCTAAGGGCTGGACCAAGCGCACAAAGGAGATGATTTTGGATAACTTAATCCCTGGCTTTATCAGCTGCTCAACTCTGCAGTTTGTTTGCTTGATCACACAAGAAGCAGCCAATCTACTATTTTAGTTAACCATAACTAACTCTGAGAGCCATGATGTGTTGCTTATTTAATATTCAAGCTGTCTGGCTCTTTAATCAACATAAGCTAATGCAATGAAACCACTTGGCCAATAACCTGTGTTAATTACAATCTGCTGCCCATTGTTGGCAAAAGCTGTGTGCCCTTAGGAGTTAATGGTACTTTCCTATCTGTACTGAACTGTTTCAGTGCAGTAAATCTGTTATATGGGAAATTGTCCAATCCTGAACCCTCCAGCACTAATTATTATTAGCTTCTTCTAACACATCCTGATTCATCCCATTGTTGGCAGGAGAGCACCATTTGGGGTTCAGTGCCTGTAGAAACTACACATTTCATTTTCTGAGGGTCTTATTTCACTTCCATGGTAGTAATATGAAGCAATCAACCACCCAAATTTGATTAAAGGAGGGCAACTCACTTGTATTTTATTAAACACTCCCCTTCCTTTCCCAGCCATTCCAGCCACTGGACATGCTGAAACTTTCAAGAGGCAGAAATATGCGCGCACACTTAATTTGTAGTCCTCCGGCACAAAACGTGGATTGTCTTGCATTACAAGGAGGGAGGCAGATTTAGATTATTAAACATTTATTTAAAACATTTTACTTAAGAAGAGTTACAGCACTGTCTTTGTAGATTTCCCCTTTAATATCCATTCCACCAAACACTAAGCACAAGTGTTCATCTGGGCAGCCTTGAGATAGATTGTCTCCATTGGAGCCCCCAGCTCCTTCCTTCCTGTTGCTGTCCTCACTGGAAGACACTTTCCATGGAACAACACACATAGACTGGTCCAGACGAGCAGAAGGCACAGGAGTTTTAAACTCCAACTTTGTCCAATGTCCCTTTTCTGCAGTTAAAAATAAATAAATAGAAAACTATGCAAAAAAAGGGGGGGGAAGCAGCAGCTTCTTGTAAATTAAAACATCATTATTTGTCAATCTTGAAGAGAGCTGGAAAATTAGACCTGAAGCTTCTACAGGGAGTGGAAATATTGGGAATCTCTTTTCCCTCTTAACATTTTAAGTGACATACATGTGAATAGTGACGGCTGCCAGCTGTATGGTTTTAAAAGCAGCAAAGAAAGATTCTTGGAGGATATGGCAAACCAGTTGTTTGGAATCAAAAAGGGGAGACTGCAGTTTCGCACAATTCCTGCTTGCAGGCTCCTGACTGAGAACAGTATGTGGGGCTATTTAGACCAGATGGGCTCTTGTGGGTGTTATGGAACACTGAAACACTGAGCGGCTCTTAGGCACATTAAAACTATTCCCATCTAGACCAGGAGTAAGAAACTCCTAGCCTGCCAGATGCTGTTGGATTCCTAACTTCCATCAGCTCCAACCAGCATGGCCAAGGGTGGGGGTTCAGCAACATATTGCAGAGTCACAAGTTCAGATGGGTTGGGTAAAAATAATAAATTATGTACTATTCCTGATCTAGCCCACTGCTGCCTAATACAGTGGTACCTCGGGTTAAGTACTTAATTCGTTCCGGAGGTCCGTACTTAACCTGAAACTGTTCTTAACCTGAAGCACCACTTTAGATAATGGGGCCTCCTGCTGCTGCCGCGCTGCTGGAGCACGATTTCTATTCTCATCCTGAAGCAAAGTTCTTAACCTGAAGCACTATTTCTGGGTTAGCAGAGTCTGTAACCTGAAGCGTATGTAACCTGAGGTACCACTGTACTGAGAGCAGCTCCTCAAGGTTTCCACTAGTGAGCGAGGAGAGAGAGAAGCCCCTTTCCTATCACCTGTTGCAAAAGATCCTTTTAACTGGAGAATATTTGGGATTAAGCCTGGGACCTTTCTGCATGCAAAACACCTGCTCTTTCACTGAGCTATAGATGCTTTTGATAAACATGAATCTGCCTTTTTCCACATCAGATTTCTTTTGCACACGTAGCCCAGGTGTGCCTACTCTGAATTGACCACAACTTTCCAGGGTTGCAAGCAGATCTGTTTCAATATCCCTTGTTCCCTGATGCTCCTCCTTCTCTATCTTGTTAAAAACTGCAGACTCAAGGGACTAAGCCTGGGACCTTTTTCATGCAACAGGTGAGCTCTACTCCCTTTAGTATGTGGTGACAGTGTTTATAATCCGGGGCGGGGGGAGTCACACTACATAATCAGAGGCCACATAAGCACTCTCTGTTTTGGATTACAGCTCCCATCAGCTTCAGCCACTACTAGCTTCAGATAAGGTTGTCATGTGGGGAGGTTACATGGCTGGGGCTGCCATCTCAAAATTGCTGGCAATGGCACATACACAAAGAGGACTCCCCAGTATAATGTTCCCAATGGAAGCTAAGCAAAGATATCATAAGAAACACCCACCTATGTGATATTTATACATTGTGTCCAGTGCTCCAGTTGGGTCCATTCCACCAAATATATACAAATGGCCCTGAAACACAACTGCTGAGTGGGCTGCCCGCCCTGCTGGTACAGATCCAGTAGCTGACAGGGTCTCCCACTTCATTTCAGCTGCAAGCACATTAAACCAATCCACATCAGTGCTCATCAGGTGCAAAGCTTAAGCAAACTGAGCTTGAAACACACATAACAGGGCTGCATGCACATTCTGCGATTCTGCAACAGGAAAATGAATTTGGTAAAGAGTTTGGGACAGTTACTTCAATGTTAAGTTTCTAGCTGTTAATGACAGCAAAGATTATTGGGGGCTTAAACAGATGGGAAATGCCTGTAAAATAGGAATCAAAGGAAGGCTAAATGGTATTTAGAATTTATTTTTCACATTAATGTCTGCCTTTCCATAAAGGAACTTATGGCAGCATACACGGTTATCCTCCCTTTTCCTCCCTTGTATCCTCACAACCTGCACGGTAGGTTAGGCTGAGAGATTATGCCTAACCTAAGGTCACCCAGAGAGATCTGAGTGGGGATCTGATTCCTCGTCTTCCTGGATCTTGTCAAATGTTACCCACTACCCCACACCACCTCTTAAGGCTGTACCACAATTCTGTAGTAACACAGCCTGCAGGTGGAAACTGTAATCAGGATCCTACAGTATTTCTTACATCCTTAGTCTTTAAGGCTTTATAATGTGTGGCTTCTAAAGATCTATGGGTTGTTATTTTTTTAAGGCAAGGTGGGAAGATAATAATCCCTTTTCACAAAGTTTGCACCACTGAGTACTTACTTGTATCAAAGCAGAAGAGATCATCAAAAAAGGTATCACCAGCCAATCCGCCATGTATGTAGAGCCTGTTCTCAACAGCCACCACGGCATGGCCATGTCGAGGAGCAGGAGGGTCGCCCCGAACTTCTGGTTGCAGCCATGTCAGAGTGGCTACAGGTGGCAAGAGAGAAATGTATTAAGATGAAGCAACAGCTACCTCAACGGCCTTGCTCCCTGCTTCCCACACATAGGGTTAAAAGGCCTACATTAGTCATGTTTATCCATTTCAACGGGTTTTCTCTAAGTAGGACTAACAGGATTCAACTCCTACTTTGCTCCATCTGCTGCCAGGCCCAGGGGAATCAGCTAAACATTTGGTTTGGGAAATATCTGCACAGGAGCAGAGGAAGCTTACCAGAGTCAAAGATGTGAAGCTGCTGGTCTTTGACTGGATCCACCCCTTTATCGCCTCCTCCAAATACATATAAACGGTCCCCAATCACTGCTGAGGATGTATGATAAGTCCGAGGGGACGGTGGAGTGCCGCTCACCTTAGGGCTCCTCCACGTTCCAGCTTCTAACATGGAAAACAAAAATATTTGTAAGCTAAGCTAGAATATTGAAAAATTGGGGATTGCACACAAGTAAGTTATAGGCACAGAAAATGAGGGCAGGTGCAAATTACATGTCACATGTGGAAGAAAGAAATGGAATTCCTAGTCCCCTTTGGTTACCAGGCAAGTGCTTAAATGCAAGGCTAATTTAATGGTACTTTGATTCAAAGGAATGTCAAAGAGAAACTAGAACTTGAAACTACTGAACTGTAGTTCCTCAAGAGATTTAGTGCTATAAGTTAGGGACTGAATTGAAACATTTTGCGGGTTTTAAATCAAATTACATGTGCCAGTTTGCTGACCAACGGCTTGGATGTTAGGATGTTATAAACCAACTATTTTGTGTGTATGTCAATGGCAACTGTTAAAACACAATTATCACCATCTCTACATATTATTTCCTTCTGATCTCACAATTCCACCTTCTGACCCACCAGTGCAGTAACTCAGGATAATACTTCATGCATCTAAAGAAGCAAAAGCTGATGCCATAATAAATTTATTAGATATAGAAGGTGACACAATATACTGTTGTTTTTGCTGCAGTATGATAACCCAGCTACCACTCTGAAATAAGTTTTATTGTTATTTTCATCATCTAACAGATAGCCAGTGTGGTGTAGTGGTAAGATTGTTGGACTAAGTCCTGAGAAACTAGAGTTCAACCCCCTGACTAAGGCCAAGTGAACTTGGACCAATCACTCTCTCCTAGGTTAACCTACCTCAATGGCTTGTTGTGAGGATAACCATTCTCAGGAGAGCTATATTTGCTGCTCTGAGCTCCTTGGTGGGATAGTGGGATGCAAATATTGGATATGGATAAATTTAGAAATTGGACAGCTGCATGTTTGAAATCTTTAAAAAAAAAATACTCCAAGAAGTAATAAAATGAAAAGGAAATAACTAATACTCACGGAGGTCCAGAACTTGCACACAATTCCTGTTCCCAGTTTCACTGGCTCCTCCAAACACCCAGAGGCTCGTGGGCCAGCTTGTGGGAATGAAGGTGGCATGCTCATACCGCGGCAAGAGACCCCGCCAGGCAGGTGCTGTCCAGCAGTGTGCATCTGGGAGCCAGAAAGACACATAAGAGCCTGGTAGTGGGATCAGGCCAAAGGGGGCTCATCTAGTCCAGCATCCTGTTCTCACAGCAGCACCTGATTTTGGGCAGTGTGGGTGCTTCCCATACATAGGGCGCCAAAAGAGGGAGAGCAAAATTGAGATGGTGCATTTCGGTGTGCCAAATTTTGTCATAACTCAGTGCACCATATTACCAAAGATTACCAAAGTCTGCCTCTGCTCAGAGTCCAACCAGGTGTCCCGATGCAAAGCCCACAAGCAGGACCTAAAAGCAGCAGCACGCTCTGCAATTGCTGTCAGGTAAAGGGTGGGACATGGGTGGCACTGTGGGTTAAACTACAGAGCCTAGGACTTGCCAATCAGAAGGTTGGCGGTTCGAATCCCCACGACGGGGTGAGCTCCCATTGCTTGGTCCCTGCTCCTGCCAACCTAGCAGTTCGAAAGCACGTCAAAGTGCAAGTAGATAAATAGGTACCGCTCCAGCGGGAAGGTAAACAGCGTTTCCATGCGCTGCTCTGGTTTGCCAGAAGCGGCTTAGTCATGCTGGCCATGCTGGCCACATGACCCGGAAGCTGTACGCCAGCTCCCTTGGCCAATAAAGCGAGATGAGCACTGCAACCCCTGAGTCGGTCACGGCTGGACCTAATGGTCAGGGGTCCCTTTACCTTTACCTAAAGGGTGAATGGGCAGGGTTTTCCCAAAATAGCCTGGTGGGCCAAATGGAGTGGACTGGTGAGCCAAGTTTGGCCCCTATGGCAATGGCACCATCAGGGCAGAGCTTTTTGGAAGAAGTCCAGGGCACCAAAATGCCACAGGGCTCTTTTGAGTGTCAAGACCCTGCAGCCACCTCCTTGTTGGAAAATAACTCACACAAGGACACAGATATTAAGTTTATGTTATTGGGCAAATTTGGCCACAACGTTATTGAATTACAGAATGTGAGAGGTATTGGCTTAGGCATTGATGGGACCTGACTATATCTGACTCCTGCCCGCTGTGCAGGAAGTCCAGTAAGAGTAAACCACCAGAAGGGGGAGCCCTGTCCATGCAAGAGGAAGTCCTCTGGCTCACTCCTCAATTTAAACTGTCCCCGGCCACGCCCCACCGGCCAGCGGATTGGCTGGTCGGGCTCTGACGTAGCCGGGATCCCCCCGGGCTATGGGGGACAAAGTCCCCCGCTCCCCAGTGGGGAGTGTGTGGCCACATGGTCCACCGCAACTCCTCCCCACTGGGAAGTGGAGCAGATTTACCACATTTGGAAACCTGGTGAAGAAATACAGATCGTCACCTAAAGAGGGAGAAAGAACCCCATGAATCCAGGGTCTAAAATTACTGCATTGCAGCCATGAGGACCAGGAACTTGCTTTTTTTTTTTTACAAAAAACAAAACAAAAGCAGTTTGCTTGAGAAGCTGAATTCTGCCACATATCATACGCTTCCTTCCTGCTCTAATGACACTCTGGCCCTTACCAAGATCCATGATGTAGGAGTCGGCAAAACTGCCACTCGGGTCTGCTCCCCCGACAAGGATGACTTTCCCTTTCCTGCAGCCTGGCTCTGCAGGAGGTAGGTACACGGAGTTCTGCCCCACACGGGCACAGGGACTGTCCCCAGGTAGGAGAAGGGCATACCTGGCATGGAGAAATAAGCAAAAGGGATCTCAGCAAGGCTGCTGTTCCATGTGGAGCAGAAGATGGAGCGTGTATCTTTAAGCCTGCAATGCTATCTATGCACACTTACCCAGGAGTAAACACCACCAAACAAACATGCATAAATGCTGTAGCAGCTACTAGGATGAGCGGGGAACCAGGGGAACCCTGGGCTATGAACTCAGTCAGAGAGTCTCAGGGAAGTCACTCTCAGCCTCTCCATCTACAACATGGGGATAAAACAAGGCTGGGTAACCTTGCTGGGCTGTTCTATGGATTATTGAGGGCGTATGTGCAAAATACTGTGAATACCCCAATCTTATTATTCATACAAGAGTGAAACAAAATGCTGCAGTATGGACTCTGCCAGACAGCCTCTCTTCCAGGATACTACATTCCACCACCAAATTTTCTCTTCCCTGCTTCTCGGAAGCCAGTCATTATTCCTTGCTCAGTGTGTACATTTCACCCTAAGTGAGCTGTTTTGCCCTCTCTGGGTCCAATCACTTGCCCCCCAAAAAAGTTCGTTTTAAACTTTTGAAAAACTTCAAGTTCTTCCAAGCCTGTTGTGGGTGGATGGTACTCTTTTACCTACATGAGATCACATACCAGAAGATGCTATGCAGTGTTTGCCAAATGGATGCCCTCTAGGTTTTTGGGACCACAACTCCCATCAGCTCCAGCCAACATGGTCGTTGTCATCCAAAAGATCTGAAATGCACCTTCTTGGCAGAGGCTGTCTTCTCTCTGCCCCATCAGCACCAGAAACCCATTAGGTGGTGACAGGAGAGAGAGCCCCTTCTGTGGCTGCTCCCCTAGATAGGATTTCCTCCCAAGAGAGCTTAGATGAGCTCCCTCCTTGTTATCCTTCCACCAGCAGGCTAAGGCCTTCCTGTTCAGACAGGCCTTTGGGAACTTAAGGTACAGGCAGTGCTGACCACTGGGCTGCTGTCAAGACAAACAGGATTTCAATTACTGGTTCCAAATGTGTTCTGATGTATTTTAAACTATTGTTCCTAACTAGTTTGTTTTTATTACTTTGTATTTTATAATGCTGCTTCAAAATGTTGAATCCCAACTTGGGAGAAAGCTGGGATATAAATATAATAGGCAAACGAATAAATAATGCACAGTAATATACAGTAATATACATCCTCACCCCCTGGTACACCAGATTTCTGCAACCTGATGTACAGCCATGTTCTTTTGAGGATAACGAGAATTGTTCTTTAAACCATCTGGAGGGCACTGGGGTTGGGGGAGGTTGATGTGCACAACATTTTTAAAATTTACTTCTTAACTGAGGTTTGCATATTTCAAAAGAAAGAGCCACAACACAATCATAAGGTAATACTACCAATAAATAAATTACCAGGGTCGCCACCCCCTACAGCGATAAACAAGATCCATACCCCACACTACAATTCAAAATGTAAGTGCGGTGTTGTGGTTTGAGTGTTGGACTAGGGGTCTGTGAAACCAAATTCCAAATCTGCACTTAGCCATTCCGCCCACTGGGTGTCCTTGAGTCAGCCACTTCTCTCTCAGCCTAACCTACCTCACAGGGTTGTTTTGAGCATAAAGTGGGAAGAAGGAGAACAAGATAAGGGCCATCTTGAGCAGCTTGGAATAAAAGATGGGATATAAAATAAACATGGCAATACAATTAATATAAAAACCTGTCAAAAGCAGCATTAGAACATTGTAGGTGTTGTCTTCCCCCTTTTATTGGATTTTTCTTTACAAAACACAATACTGTAATTCTTTCTTTCTTTCTTTAAGTATTTACTTATGCATTTTCATTAGTACAATAATGCAATAATTCTCTCTGATGCATGCAGACCATTTGACAGGGCTGCAGGAGATCAGGGCCCTGCCTCGCGGAGCGTACGGTCTAAAATTCAACCTAGGAAAGCAACAGCAGAAATGAATGGCGTGCAAGAAATCCTCTATAAAATTGGAGGCAGGAGTAAATATCGGAGGCAGAATCTTGTAAAGGAAGGACTATTATTAATTTAAGCCTCTGGCCGCAAGCAGAGTTTGACTGCATATTGCGTGTCATCTTCCGCAAGTTAATACTCCCTTTGAAAGGCTATTCCCCTCTGCTGGGGGGCACAGGAGAGAGAAAGCTCCCTGATCGATGGCTGCCCCTTCCAGGTAGGCTGAAGCGGATCCAGGGGGCCCACGCCTCAGTTCAGAACCGACCTCCCCGCACCCTGTTTCTCTTTGCACGTCAACTCCCTCAAATTGCATCCCACGTGCACTGATGCCCCGCCTCGAGAACGCACCAGTTGCCTTCCTCCGGGTTTCCTCCCGGCTTCAGCTCCAGCAGCGCCGTCCGCGAGCCCGGCTCCGGCCCCATGGATGCAGGCCGAGGGAGAGGGGTGAGATAAAAAAAAAACCGACGCCCCGCCCCCGGGTCCGTTGCTAGACGACCAGCAGCTCCGCCCTCAACGTGGCTACTGTGCAAGCGGACAGCGCTTCACGGTAAAACCACCCCGCTGCTGCACACTTTTAAATTGCATATCCTTTCTCCTCAGTTCATTCCAAGGTGCTTTTCTCCCCGCTTATTTTTTTTTAAAGAAAGAAGGCCACGTGAGAGCGTTTCTGAGCATGTGCAGATCTCTTCCCATTTCATCACACAAGCCATTACTTCCTCTTGCTTCAGATATGTGGGATTGCTGGTGGCCAGGCTGCTATTAATATGTTTATAAGGTGTATCATGTATATTTATATAAAATATTTCTTATTTATATCTGTTTATTCAAAATGCCTTACAAGGAGTTGCATCCAACTGAGAGTAGGCCTACTGAAATCAATGGGCCTGTCCATTAATTACAATGGGTCTATGCTCTGTGTATGCATTAGATACAGACCAACATTTTTTACCTGCCCTCCACTATGTGGTCCCCATGTGGGTTACACAACAACTGCTTAATAAATATAAAATTACAACAAAAACAACAGAATTCCAAACAAAAGCAGCACAAATACAGATTAATCCAAAGAGAGGAGTCAACTACAGTGGTACCTCGGGTTAAGAACTTAATTTGTTCTGGAGGTCCGTTCTTAACCTGAAACTGTTCTTAACCTGAAGCACCACTTTAGCTAATGGGGCCTCCCGCTGCTGCTGCTGCGCCGCTTCCCTGCAATTTCTGTTCTCATCCTGAAGCAAAGTTCTTAACTTGAGGTAATATTTCTGGGTTAGCGGAGTCTGTAACCTTGAGCGTCTGTAACCTGAAGCGTCTGTAACCTGAGGTACCACTGTAAAAGATACTTTAATGACTGCAGTTTCTGGATGAAACAAGAGGGAAGCCCCATATAGAGTGCATTGTAGTTATCTGGTCTTGACAGAATTGGTTGACAGCTCTCAGGATCTATTGGGTTACAAATGATTTGTGGCACATCAGCCACCATCCCTTGTTTAAAAATACTTGTTTCTTTCATCCAGTTAAGTCCTCTTTGCTGCAGTCTAGGAAAAGCCTCACTTTTTCCTCTCAGCACCTATAAGTTAGTTTAGCCCATCCTCAGATATGATTAATCTCTGGCATAGTCAGTTCTGGAACACTGCACTTACAAAAAGAAATAACACAAAAGATTAGAAGAATAGGAACACCAGTTGCCAAGAACAGTTTTATTTCATATCTTATTCTTTGGTGATCACTCGTAGCCGAGTAAGATTGTTTTCCATGAACATGATTTTAACAGTGAGTCTGTAAGTGACTATGGAGGCCAATTCTGGATCCACACATCCTTCCACAGTGGGGACATAGGTTTCCGGGCGGGAGTTGATCACAGTGAGGGTTTGCCAAGCATTCCTTCCTCTTAGCACGTTTCTCCCTTTCATCCTGAGTCTGAGTCTCTTCAAAGCCCATGACACCTTTGGTAAAGGCTGTTCTCCAATTGCAGCACTTGCAGGCTAGTGTTTCCCAGTTGTTGGTGTCTATACTACATTTTTAAAAATTTGCCTTGAGAGAGTCTTTAAAACTTTTTTGTTGACCACCAGCATTCCTCTTTCCATTTTAAAGTTCAGAATAGAGTAGTTGCTTTGGAAGACGATAATCAGGCATCAGAACAACATGAGCTGTCCAATGAAGTTGATGCTGAAGAATCATTGCTTCGGCACTGGTGATCTTTGCTTCTTCCACTACACTGGCATTAGTTCACCTGTCTTCCCAAGTGATGTGTAGTTCATCCCCGGACACATGGTTGATGGAATCTTTCAAGGAGTTGGAGATGGCGTTTATAAGTGGTCCATGTTTCACAAGCATACAGTAAGGTTGGTAGTACAGTAGCTTTGTAAACAAGCATTTTGGTTTCCCTGCAAATTTCCTGATCCTCAAACACTGCACTTCAATCAGTAGAAAGCTGGACTCGCAGAGCTCAAGCGATGCTGGATTTCGGCATCTATGTTGGCTCTTGTAAGGGATAACTGCCCATATACACCCCAGAGAAAACATGACTGGAACCTGCTCACAACACACATGTAACCCTGTGGAGGTTATTACCTGGCGTAAACTGCATTTTATGTACAATATTCATATATGCACACAAACACATACATACTGCAGATCTCATTTAACTAATGTACCAGGCACATTTTTATATAATTGGACTGATGAAATGTGAATCAACCTTTAGATGAATTTGCATGTGTCTCCTGTATTGTGTTCTTGTATTCTGGTTTTTTATAAATATAACAAAGAATTGCTGGGTGGGGGAGGTAAACAAAGGCAAAAGAGCACCGTCTGGCACCCACTTTACATCCCGATCTCCCTGTGGCGTTGAGCTATTGGTTTTGCACCAGACTACGAATCCCAGAATGCAATGGGGTTGGGATTCACCTCAGAGCGCTGTAGGAGGAAGAAGCCGGTAGTCGTCTGCAATCTTATCGGAAATCAGTCTCCCGACATCGAGTTTCGAACCTCCAGCGGAAGTGGGTCCCCTCGTTTCCGGTCTGGCTTCCCTCCCGCCGTGGGAGGGGAGGGAGCGAGAAGAAGAGAGAAGGAGGCGTTCTTGCGTCCTCCTTACTTTTTGCTTTCGTTTATTTATTTATTTATTTTAAGGGACATTCGCCCTTTTTTCATCCGGAAATTCGAGGGAGTGGGTTTCCCGCTTCACCATCAGGAATTGCCGTGTCCTCGCTTCCAGTCCTCTCTCTCTTCTTACCTCGCACCCTCCTCCTCCTCCTCCTCCTCCTCCTCTTCTCTCTCTTTCTCTCTTTTTCCCCTCTTTTCCTACCTCCCACCTTCTCCCCCGAGAAAGCTGCCCTCCCAAAATGGCGCCTTTGGACTTGGACAAGTATGTGGAGATTGCGCGGCTTTGCAAGTACCTGCCCGAGAACGATCTCAAGGTAAGAGGAGATGGGGAGGCTGGGTCTTAGGAGGGGCAGGGGGCGAGTGGGGACCCCTTCCCCCCTCTCTTTCCGCGTAGGGCTCTACTTGAGCTTCCGCTTTCACGGAAGCCGCCCCAGCGCGTAGCGGCAACACGGGCACCCGCTGAAACGCTTTAATCAGTGGTCCCACAATTAGCTAATTACTGGGCACCCCTATTTTTAAAAAGCCAAGCCATGGACCCCCTACTTTTGAATCCCTAATAAGCAAATCATTTTAGGTATACTTAAAAATAACCGTAAAATTTGTAATATTACAACAAAAAATGGCAAAGACTTAGTTGTGGGGGGGGTGAGACAAATTTAATTTTATTCATGTATAGTACAAGTAAACAAATTATGACATGTCTAGCAGCTACTAAACCTTAATTTTATTTATTTATTTGTTTGCTTGCTTGCTTCCTTGCCGTTCATCTGGCTTGGTTGCCCCAGCCACTTGGGGCGGCTCCCAACAAAACACTAAACCTAAATGTGATGGGAGAAATCATGTCTCTCTTGGCCCCCCCAAATTTCCTTCCACGTTCAGTTCAATATTGCCTACTTTTATTCTCAAATCTGGTTCAACATCAAGCCAATTTCTAGATATTTCAAAGCTTTTTCAACTAACTTCTTATAATTAGCAAAAACCTTCACCCAGAATTGGTCCAGTATACATTCTTTGAAAAATGATTGTAATGAATCATCACTAGTCACGTCAACAAGTGCATCTTGCTCTTCTGCTGATACAGCCTAGGACTTGCCGATCAGAAGGTCGGTGGTTCAAATCCCCACTATGGGGTGAGCTCCCATTGCTCGGTCCCTACTCCTGCCAACCTAGCAGTTCGAAAGCACGTCAAAGTGCAAGTAGATATATAGATACCGCTCCAGCACGAAGGTAAATGGCGTTTCTGTGCGCTGCTCTGGTTCGCCAGAAGCAGCTTAGTCATGCTGGCCACATGATCTGGAAGCTGTACACTGGCTCCCTCTGCCAGATGAGCGCCGCAACCCCAGAGTTGGCCACGACTGGACCTAATGGTCAGGGGTCCCTTTACCTATACTTGTAATGCCTAATAAAGATTTGGCGAAGAAGAAGTAGGTGTACATCACTTTCAAAAGGATTCTATAGCCATGAGTTTTCAGGATTTGATACAGAGAAGTAATCTCTGAAGCTAGTCACTAAATCATGCAGGTGCTCAGTGGTGTAATATTTACTTCTGGTATCAATTTTTCGTCGGTAGCCTCCAGAAATGTCTCCAGTGTTGGAATATTAGTGAGGCTACCATCTTCTCAGCTTACCCATAACCATAATTTTTAAATCATTGCCTCAATCTTATCTTCAACGTAAAAAATATTCACATCACTACCTTGGAAGCTTGTGTTGAGAGTGTTTACGTGAAACCGTCTGCTAAGTAGTCTACCATACACAACTGCGCAAAGTTGTTAAACTGATCACATGGAAATTTTGAGTCCGTCAGAAAAAGTCATACTGCATCACGTAATTCAAAGAATCGCTGTAAGTCTGGACCCTTCAAATGAGAGTCTGTTTTATATAATCAGACATATCATATTTGCTTCATTTCACAGTGTTGTTCAAAAGAGGTACAGTGGTACCTCGGTTTAAGAACAGTCCTGTTTACGAACAATTCGGTTTACAAAACTCCGCAAAACCAGAAGTAGTGTCCCGGTTTGCAAACTTTACCTCGGTCTAAGAATGGAAACTGAATGGTGGAAGGGCACCGGTGGCGGGAGGCCTCATTAGGGAAAGCGCGCCTCTGTTTAAGAACGGTTTTGGTTTAAGAACAGACTTCCGGAACGGATTAAGTTTGTAAACTGAGATACCACTGTACTGTGTTGATTTCCTTAGCTGCAGACTCACCAAGTACTCATTTGCATATAGCTGGCCCTATAGTATGAGCCTTTCCTGCTTTGGCAATGATTCTTGTCATATCAAGAAGCTAAGGTTGATTCTCCTGAGTGGTCACACCAGAGTTTTTCCTATGGCTTTTTGCCCCTTCTTCAACTGCAAGTTTGATCTTGAAAAAATCTATTGGTTTGTTTTTTGTAGTGGTTATGTTTTGTCTCCAAATGGCATTGAAGCGTAGCAGGCGTCATAGTTTCATTAGCCAGAAGATCGTCATCATTGTACTTATGGATTTTTGTTTTTTTCTGTGATTGAGATATGAGATATAACACTAGTAGACGCGCTGACACTAAGCATACTAGGAAGTATCCACAGAATTAACAGTACTAATGGGTGGCACCACCTGAGAGTCTTTTGTTTCCTGCTCTGTAGTACTCCTTGGTCTTTTCAAAGATCCCATCTTTTATCATGAATTTGTTTTTTACTGGTTGTTTTTCTGTAAAAAATTACACAAAACATATTGTTACAAAAGCTGGGTGCCACCCGCTCTCTGCTGAGCCAGCCTTCCCAAGATGGCTCTTTCTTCCCAGAATATCTGTTCCTGTCACCTCATGCCCAGTTACCCTGGGAACCTTCTGTCTGCCCAGGTCCAAAATACCTCCTAGATGGGCCATCAACACCTTTTGTCTTGTAAATCCCTCTGTCTCAGGTGAGGCCTTAGTTTGGAAGGAAGCTTAGCTTGTACTTTTCCACTGGCCTCCAATTTTCCCTTCAGGTAATCAAAATTCTACAATTTATTAATTTCTAGGTTTTGAGGGGGGTGTCCCCCAAATTTATAACAAGAACTCCAGTATGTGTTCTAAAGACCAGGATACTTCAAGCTATTTGAAGTAAAACTCTATGTAGACTGCATTGTAGAAGGCTGCTGTTATATTGTATTTATTTATAGAGTCTCCTCATGGGCTGTTTAGTGTATATGACTAATCATAGTGACAATCTGCTTAACTATTTCCCCTGTTGCACTTCCAAGATGAGACATGAATCCCAAACTCAGAAGGCAAGATTCACTGAAATCCTACCTACAAAGTAGTGTTAGAGTCCTCTAAACTTAATGGTAGTTGAAAGCAATTATAAGTTATTTTCAGTTAAAAAGGGAAGGGATCCTTTACATTTTTTAAAAAAATGATAAGCATGTGAACCTACCCCTTGGTTTGCACACACTCTCTCTCCCCCTCCACCCCCTACAATTGCAGGAGCCCTAAGAAACTGTGTCAAAGGTTTTTGCCCAGTCCCAGTTTACTTGCCATCTAGCAACAAGTTTTTCCCTGCCAGCAAGGAGAGCAGAACCTGGATAATCAATGAAAGGCTTTCACTGTGCAATTAGCAAGATAAGCAAGTCCCTTGGACCTCCTGGGTGCTGTTCCCGGACCCTTAATTGGGAACTTTAAACTAGTAGGTTGAATTTGAGTGGGGGTGGGGGTGTTGAGCCTTTTAATGGTTAGATCTTTTTTCTTTATGTATACCTTTGTTGTTGTGTTGACTTTTCTAATATTACTGCTGTTGTCATCAAATTGTCTCAAGTGCATTTATCTATGTTACCTTCAAGTTTAGAGTTCCACCTCCATTCCCGCAATGGCCCTGTGAGGTAGGCTAGGCAGCAATTTGACAATGGGCTCAGAGTTAGACATGAGTGCAGGAGCCAAATGGGAACTTAAACCCAGTTCTCCTCAGCTGTTGGCAAAAGCGTGGGTTATTTTTGGCCCTCCAGATGATACTGGACTACAGCTCCCATCAGCTCAGAGCACTGGATGTGTGGATGGCAGGGTGGCATCCAGGAACCTCTAGAAGGCTATACATTCCCCATCCCCAGCTCTAGCTACCTCTAGCTATCAAATTATGCTTGAGAGGTCAATTTATGTTTGATCTACTGTTATCTTCCTTTTGCCACCTATTGAAATTTGAGAGTTCTGAGAAAAGTAGATAAAATCTGGGATAACTGGCTCTTCTCAGAACAGAAGCCTTTAATTAACAGGAAATAAAATCACAGTTGGATTAACTGCTGAGATGTGTGACCTAATTTCCTAGAGGAAGTAAGAGTTTCCACCAGGTAAACTGGAATGACAGTTTTGTAGAGGATTTTTATTTTAAAACTACAGTTGTCTAGATGGTTGGACAGTGTTCTCCAAGCTACTAACATGAGTTTGACCAAACTGAGGGAGGCAGTGGAAGACAGGAGTGCCTGGTGTGCACTGGGCCATGGGGTCATGAAGAGTCGGACATGACTAAACGACAACAACAACAACAACACCACAGTTGTCTATAGACAGCTGCTTAAAGTTCCTGTGGGTTAGTAACTTCAATGTACATGTTTACAAAGCTGACCCTTTCACAAGTTTCTGGTTTGACATGTTCATAACCTTGTTAGCTGGCTATGTGCCATTGTGATGACCATAATGCAGAGAAATCTTGTATTAATGACCAAAATGCACTCTCTCTTTGTAGCGCTTGTGTGACTACGTCTGTGACCTTCTTCTAGAAGAATCTAATGTGCAGCCAGTGTCTACACCAGTTACAGTCTGCGGTGACATACATGGACAGGTGGAGTTTATATGGATTGTTCCTTTGATGCTATACCCTCCAATAATAAAGGATTGACACTTGCAAACAATCTTTTGCATTGTAAAAGAATGTGCAAGTATTCACTAGGGGGACATGGAAACAGCAATACAACATAATATCCCTCCCTTTTTTATACCTTGAAAGAAAATGTTTTTGTTGTCATTTGTTCATAACGATAATACTATACGTTCCACAAAATTCAGAAGTGACAGTTGGTTGAGTGTACTCAAGAGCAAGGTGTGTTAATTTTCTGGAAGTAAGCATGATCTATTCATTTCTTTCCCCCTCCAAACAAGTAATCCAGCTTGCAGAATGGGGACTCAGCTGCATAGCTGCAAATGAAATATTTTAAGTGTGTTGTAAAGACATTAGATGGCAATGGGTGAGCTATGGCAAATTCAATATATTTTTCAAAACTTTTTTTTTTAAATGCATTTTCACAGCATTTTTTATATGTGTGTAGATTCCACCTGAGTTGACTCCTTGAATCATTTTCTGAATAACCAAGCTACATAGTTTCATTGGTTTTGGTTCTTGGCCTTTAGACTGCAGTTAATTGAACTGCTTAACATTAACAGGAGTATTATCCCTGAAGCCTCTAATACAGAAGTAATTCTGTTCAAAGGTTATAGATATTGTGCCCAGAGGAAGCTTGCAGGATTAAATCAAAGGCTTCCTTTAGATCAGCACTCTTGTAGTAAAACCAATGGTGCTGCTTATGATTGGCATTGCAAGATTAAAAAAATAGAGAAACAGAGTTCTTGCAATGATGCCATGTTACAAAGTTATGGCAGTATTTCGTTGTGGGTGGTGCATTTGCAGTGCTTTAGAAGTGATAGTCTAGGTGTACTTTGCAAGAACTAAATGTTGGTCAAGAGGTTGGGCGTGGTAGAGAGAGCATCACTTAGTGATGCGTGGAATACTTATTTCCTCCCAATGCACCATTGAAACCATAAAACAAATATTAACATTAGTTTTTGAATAGGAATAGTTATCAGGAATAGTTCAGATGTTGTCTGCCTTGCACTGATTCAGCATCAAACAGTTTAGGTAAACCCCAGGATCAAGCTAGTAGTAGCATTTTAGCTGTTTGAATGTGGGATTCTAACACTTGAACATCCCCTAACACACCTATGTCTGTCCAGTCTGTGCCTTTTCTTCAGATGCCTTTCAGAGCCACCTGTTTTTTAAAAAACCGAAAGGTCATAACTTTTGGGGCGTTTAAAGTCATTTGGGTTTAACACAGAATGTTTTTTTTAAAAAAAAAAAATTTTCAGAGTTTCAAAAAAACAATTTTTTTACACACACACTTGTTACACTTGTTTACATTAAACCATAGTCCATATCAGTACCTTTATGGGGTTCCCTGAACCCCCTGATTTCCCCCCACCCCTCTCTTGGCTTCCAAAATTTATCTTCCTTTTTCAACTGCATCTAATTACATTTATCCAAATTATTATACTGTACTTCATTTTTACCCTTTGTCATTTTAAATTACAAGTGCTATATCAATCCTGCTAGAGTTTTTACAATTTTTCCAGTGTTCTTTAATATACTGTATTCTATAAAGTTATGCCATTCTTTGTTGAATTTGTTATCCTCTTGGTTTATCACAGAATGTTAATGATACAAGCCTTCCCTCCTTTTGTTTTTGTGTTCCAGTTTTATGATTTATGTGAATTGTTCAGAACTGGAGGTCAGGTTCCTGACACAAACTATATATTTATGGTATGTACAAATTAAATTCTAAAAATAACTAGCAGGTTTTTTAATGTAGTACATCCATGACTTGGTAAAGCAGGGGGTTCTGTGTATGTTTTAATTTGGGTCCTGTTTCCTTGCTTGCTGTGTCTTGCCTCTGCTTTTTTCTCTCTTTACCATCTCAGAAAATATAATCTAATTAATGAAGGCTTGGACTGAAGTGCTTGATTGCTCACGTTCCTGAAATTTCAAACCTTTGCTCAGCACTGTGCAAAACTGGTAGAAGTAGAAAATGGTTCAAATTCTTTTCAGGGCAATGAGGAAGAGATTTGTTTCTTTGTGAGGGGGTATCTTATTATTATTGATGCAACTTTCATTATTGTGGGAATTCCTACTTTGCATGAATCTGTTACTTGGGATAGGAGAGGTTCTGAATCTGAACAGAACATTTGAAATGTATTTTATATGAGCCATAGTAGAAGGGCAGAGGTTGTGGTTTTCTGCAAGTACAGTTTTTTTTTAACAGTTGTGCTCCTAGAACTTGTGAGGGGCCATAGCTCAGTGTTAGAGCACATGCTTAATACATCAAAGGTCCTACATCAGAATTAAAATTTGCTCATGCCACACAGATCTTTTTTATTGATAAGAAATATATTGGAAAACAAAAAGAAATAACTCCTAGCAGTGCCGGGTTTATAACATAGAACACAACTGCTTTATAATATGATCACAGGATATCCAGAAAGTATAAAACAATACAGCTACATAAGAACATGAATCATTCCCAAAATATAATTATAAACGAGCCTCGTAGTACCTTAAGTATGTATACAAGCTCCTCGGTATGAGCTTTCTTTTGCTGGGTAATCTTATTTATATTAGGCCTAATTTGAGGCACACTCGTCTTATCAGCAGTGTGGTGTAGTGGTTAAGAGTGTTAGACTGGTAATCAGGTGTCCGTCTCCGCTCCTCCACATGCGGTTTCTGGGTGACCTTGGGCTAGTCTCACTTCTTTGGAGTCTCAGTCTCACAGAGTGTTTGTTGTGGAGGAGGAAGGGAAAGGAGAATGTTAGCGGTTTTGAGACTCCTTCGGGTAGTAATAACGGGAGATATCAAATCCAAACTCTTCCTCTTCTTAACAGTACAGCGAATCCTTTCTCTTTTATGATCTTTCGTATTTGTCAGAGTTGAAAATCCCTGTTCCCAACAATATGTCAAGGAGAACTGTAAAAGAATAGTCAATACTATTCTCCAGCACAGTTATGGATCTCAGTTAGGATTGTCCTCAGTATTACTTGATGCTCTTGATTTGAAAAAATAAAATATTTTCATACTATACTATGCTGCACAACATTGAAATGTGTAGGTGTTTCTTTGATTGTCCTTTAGTCTACCTAAAGGTAGACTACACCCTTTGAGAACTACTGTCCTAGATTCAATCATTGTCATCCCCTGTTATCATTCATTATTTAAATTCATTGCCCACCCTTCACCAGCAGGTCCCAGGACAGCAAGTTAAAATTCAGAATTAAAAACAGTTAAAACAGATTGGGGTCACAGAAATAGAACAATTCCAAAAATGCACATTTCAGTTGTCAAACACCAAGGTAAAGAAGTGTTCATCAGTCACTGAAAACTGTATGGTGAAGAAGCCAAATGCATCTCTCTGGCGAATAGGCCTGGGCGATTTTGTGATAGATAGTTGAAAACCAGTTTAATAACAACTGGTTCAAAATATTTGCCCTGATGATAAACCTTATGAAGCCAAGCCAGAATGCTATTGTCTGTTGTTCCGACGGGTCAGCTCTCCCCTGCCTCCTGCAGGGGGCAGCAAACCACAGAGCAGCCGTAGACTGGGAACTTCCTCTGGCGCCACCGCCATAAATTTCGCTTCTAGGCAGGCTGGTAGGTGCTGGGATCGGCATTCTGCCATGGGGTTCTTCCGAGTTTAGAAAATAAATAAATAAACCTTGCACCACTTAAGCCTCTTCTTTCCCAAGTTTCCTGCTACAGTGGTACCTCGGGTTACATACGCTTCAGGTTACAGACTCCGCTAACCCAGAAATAGTGCTACAGGTTAAGAACTTTGCTTCAGGATGAGAACAGAAATCGTGCCCCGGCGGCACGGCAGCAGCAGCAGGCCCCATTAGCTAAAGTGGTCTTCAGGTTAAGAACAGTTTCAGGTTAAGTACGGACCTCCAGAACGAATTAAGTACTTAACCTGAGGTACCACTGTATTTTTCTTTCTCCACACCCCACCTGTGTGTGTCTGCTTTCTCTTTCTCTGTGTGCTTGCATGTGTCTCCCCCCTTGTTCTGCCTGCCTGCGTGTGTCTTCGAGGTAGCCCCTACGCCCCACATGAGCTGAAGTGGTATGGGGGCTTGCTCATCTGTAGGGCTGGGCAAGGTATCTCAGCTGCTTCTTCCTTGCCTGAGGTGGGAAGAAGCAGCCAAGATACATTTCAGATATTATGATATATTATTATATCGCAGTATTTAGCTGCTGATGCATCACAATGCTGAAAACCAGATATTGCCCAGCCCTATTGGGGAGGAAATTCCACAATTTGGGGGCTGCCCCAGTTAAAAAAAAGGACCTGGTCTACTGACTCCTCTGAAGGGGATTGCTTGTTTTTATAATATGTAAGCTGTTTTACTATCCCTCCTTTTCTTTTTTCTTTAATTGTATAATTATGTGTTGTGCCCTGGGACCTTAAAGGCAAAGTGCAGATAAACAGTCTTATAAATAAATAAGCAAGCAAGCAAGCAAGCAAGCAAGCAAGCAAGCATACATATACTTCTGGAAGCAGAGGCTAGCAGCCCAGTCCTATGCATATTTAGTCTGATACAAGTGCCTCAGAGTTCAAGCGCATGTAACATTGCAGCCTGAGTGTCTCATGTCATGCAGTATAGTAAAACGTTGTTTACCTTTTCAGGGTGACTTTGTGGACAGAGGCTATTATAGCCTTGAGACGTTTACCTATCTTCTTGCCCTAAAAGCAAAATGGCCTGATCGCATCACACTTTTACGTGGGAATCATGAGAGCAGACAGATAACTCAAGTGTATGGATTTTATGGTAAGTTCTCTTCCTACCCTACCTTCAGTTTCACAGTTATAATCAACATAAGCCCGTGATGAGTTGGCTTGTCCTCTTAGAAGCTGTAGAACAAGGGTGGTGAAGCCTCTGGCTCAGGGACCAGATGTGGCCTCCAAGCCTCTCATGTTTGGACCTTAAGACTCACCCCAGGCCGTCCAGCTCACCTTCCCTGCTTCACATCCTTATTGAGCCTTCTTGCCTGTCCTTTAACACTAACAATAACTCTTGCTTGTCTGGATGGAGGATAGAGAGGGGTGTGTTAATGTGTGCAGATACTAGCCTCCTGTACATAAGTAAACAAACAAACAACCTTAATTGCTCCACCTTCTTTTGCCTCTGATTCCACCCATCACTGGCTGTGGCCCCTGCAACTTTGCCAGATGTGAATGTGATCCTTGGGCTGAAAAAGTCCCTGGCCCTTCCTGTAGAGTTTGGAACATTTTTAGAAGGATTGTGAACAAGGGGTTTGTTGTTAAAACAAGTATAAGCTTCTGCTTTATAATGTAGGAAGCTGTCCTTAGAACCTTAGAGTGATGCATAGTGCTAAGATCTAGAAATAGAGATTCTGTGTTAATTTTCCTCACAATATATTTTGAAGTGCACCCACCCACCCAAAGAATCCTGGGAACTGTTGTTTGTTAAGGCTGCTGGGAATTGCTGTTTGAGGAGTAAACTATAGTTCCCAGGATTCTGGAGGGGACACAACGGAATGAACAGTGCCTTAAAAATATGGTGTAATATGGACAACTGATTGGATCTGTATCTGCAACTGTGTGTGAAGGAAGAATATGGCTAATGTCTAATGGAGTATTGGACTCGAAATGGAGCAGGTTGTTTGTGGGCACGCTGAGTGATGCTGGGCATGCAATACTATTTAATTTACTTTTTGAAAAAGAAATACCTGTCAAAGTCTCACAATTGATGTAAAAATCATGTTCATCTGTTCATTGAGCATTTCTTTCTTCATGATAGATTTAAATGATTACACATTTTTTCAAGTAATTCAAGAAATGTGAACCAGTTAGGATAAAACTTTTAAAGTAGTTAAATCTGTTTTATAAGGTTGTTGTGATTATAATGAATTTTGGATGCAACCCAAATTAAATGAGTGATTAGGTGAACAGATAATGCTGGGTTTTCAGTCAACATGGGAGCTCCTATCTCCGCTGTTGTTCCTACAACCCGTCTAGTTTAGTCTGAGAAATTATAATCACTAAAACATTACTCTCTTCACCTCTTTCCCCTGCTTCTTTCTCCAATAGATGAATGCCAAACCAAATATGGTAATGCTAATGCCTGGAGATACTGCACCAAAGTTTTTGACATGCTCACAGTAGCAGCGGTAAGGGTTTCTTTTAAGTGAATAACAAGTGACTTTCTGTCTCTGTTTCTCTAATTATACATTTACCAAAGGTTTTTTTTTTTAATTTAAGGATTGTGGTCCTAATAACATCTTCACCTCCTATCTTTTTTCCCTTCAAGTTAATAGATGAGCAAATCCTCTGTGTACATGGGGGCCTGTCTCCAGACATAAAAACACTGGACCAGATTCGGACTATCGAGCGCAACCAAGAGATCCCACACAAAGGAGCTTTTTGTGACCTTGTTTGGTCTGACCCAGAAGATGTGGACACCTGGGCCATAAGTCCCCGAGGTGCTGGCTGGCTGTTTGGGGCAAAAGTCACAAATGAGGTAAGAAAACCCAGTTTCCCAACCATGTCTCTGGCGGTGACTCTGGCCTGCAATCAAAGTATTGCCTGAGAAAGAGAAATGATGGGGAGTTTGAGACTGTGTTTGCCTCAGAGAACAAGTTTGCATTTTGGGAACAGTTTTGTTTTATGATTCTGTTTTTGCTTCACACAACTGTTGCATTTGATATCCTGTTACTTGCACAAGGCAAGTTAAGATTGGGCGTGCCCATTCCATCTTTTTCATGTTGCTGGGGGTACAAGAGCTAATGGTACTATTATTTTGATTATATCCCACCTGTTCTCCAAAGAGGTCAAGGTGACTGACATATGTGGTTCTCCCCCTCCTGATTTAATCCCCACCACAGCCCTATAAAGGGACGTGGGCGGTGCTGTGGGTTAAACCACAGAGCCTAGGACTTGCCAATCAGAAGGTCAGCGGTTCGAATCCCCGTGACAGGGTGAGCTCCCGTTGCTTGGTCCCTGTTCCTGCCAACCTAGCAGTTCGAAAGCACGTCAAAGTGCAGGTATATCACCTTCTGGCGGGAAGGTAAACGGCATTTCCGTGCGCTGCTCTGGTTCGCCAGAAGCAGCTTAGTCATGCTGGCCACATGACCCGGAAGCTGTACGCCAGCTCCCTCGGCCAATAAAGCGAGATGAGCGCCGCAACCCCAAAGTCGGCCACAATGACCTAATGGTCAGGGGTCCCTTTACCCTTTACCTTTACAGCCCTATGAGGTAGCTTAAGGTGAGAGGCTGTGACCCACCCAAAGGCACCCAGTAAGCTTCATGGCTGAGTGGATATTCAAACTCCCATCTTCTAGGTTCTTTTCCAACACACTGCTATATAGTATAAATCTTGTGTTTGGGGGTATTTTATTGGAAAATACGACACTGGTGTAGGATGTCTGGATACAGTAATCAAAATGGTTGCACTTCATGTTACTTCATATTGAAAATGCCTTAGTGCTGTGTCACTGCTGCCTGGTTTTGTTAACATATTCTTAAAGATTGCGTTCGGCTTTCAGGATCACATTTTAAAAGCATCAACTCTTAAGGAGAAACTGAGAGTTTAAGGGGAGAGAACAAGAGAGTATTTGAAAGGAGACTTTAGTATGAGAGAAAGAGCATCGCCGCCTCCTGCTCTGTGTCTTTGTGCTGGGCTTCTGTAGTGTTGCCATGGCTCCTTGTCATTGGAATAGAATGCGTGTGTGTCCGTGCATGTGTGTGTGTGTGCGCACACTACCTCCAACATTTTTACTGTAAATATTTTCCTTAACTTCCTTATTTTTTTGTTTACACCTTAGTTTGTCCATATCAACAACTTAAAGCTCATCTGCCGAGCCCACCAGCTGGTGCATGAAGGTTATAAATTTATGTTTGATGAGAAGTTGGTCACAGTGTGGTCTGCTCCGAACTACTGCTATCGCTGTGGAAATATTGCCTCAATCATGGTATTTAAAGATGTAAATACAAGGGAACCAAAGCTCTTCCGTGCAGTTCCAGACTCAGAACGTGTGATCCCCCCAAGAACAACCACACCGTATTTCCTCTGAGATGTGGCTTTGCCCTTTTCTTTTGTGACATACCCTTTTAGCACTTTGCTGCTGAAATGCTGCCTCTTGCCTTTTATATACTTAAATTATCTAAATGTGTTGTATATTGTCAATAGGGGTGCATATTTAAATCTTTCTCCCTCCTCTTATCCCTACCTTACCTTACTTGCCAGCTTTTGAAATGTCTCTGAGCACCCACCCACCTACCTACCTGTTTTGTAGTACTTGTGATTTATTTTTTTTAGTTCAGTTCTTTTTTTCTTTTCTTTTTTTCAAAAAATAGGAACATGCATTTTCCATTTAATGAAATAAATCTGAACAGCAAAACATCAGAACTAGTCTGATCTTTCAGGGGGTTGACTTTGGGGAGGCTATTGTTTTTAATAAGCTCTTTAGAAATTTCAGCAGCAAAGTTGTATTTGATGTGCATGATGGGACTGTCCGAGCCCTGCTAGTGAGTACATTTCCAAGATGTAAAAAAAATGTCCTGGTTTATATTTTGCTTTATCAGCATAAATAAATGGTGTTAATGGCTGCCCCTGATCTCCCTCCACCCGTTGCTTTATTTTTTTAGGATTTAAACTAAAATGCAAAACCTCGTACAGGTAAACGAATTTGTACAACGAAATAATTGTTCTGATTTTTCTCAGATACTTTGTCTTTTTAATAAAGTCATAACTCAGTCTCTAGGTTAAGCATTCAAAATAAAGCCCTACATTGTTGATGTGAATTCATGTCTTTTCATTCTCCCCACCCTCCTTTCACAAAGAAATCTCACATGTGTGGTTATGGTTTGATTGATAGAATGTTTGGATTCTGCTAATACAGGACTTATTTTTCCTTAGCTAAATTTCCACATAGCAGCCCCTGATTTTCAGGTGTGTCGGAGCTATCAGTTGTACAAGGAAGTAAACAACTTTTAATAAGAAAAAGTGATACCTAGGCATTTGTGTTCCTAGATGTTTTAAATTATATGGCCCACAGAAGGATCTGACTTGGTTGCCTATTATGTACAGTAGTAATATTATGCAACCAAGTCAGACCCTTCTGTGGGCCATATAATTTAAAACATTTAGGAGTTATAAAACTGTAAGTTGTGATATAGTTGAATGAGTTGAACTACTGAAAGGCTATGAGACTTGCACAATGCATGCTTAATACAAGCATTAGATGCATTAATCTCAGTTCACCTGTCCCATCTAAATGCAGGGCCCTCTTGTCACCTGATGTAAATTTCAGCTTTGGAGTGTGGCTGGTACTGTTATCTAGTACATAAACTGTTCCCTTGACACTGCCTTTTAATCAGGTATTTCTGATACACTGAAATGTTTGCTTCCAGGCACCAGAATACAACTGGGTTGCTTTCATTTGAAGAGCTTGTCTAAAACATTTGGTAGAAACACCTTATGCTGGAGTTTGCTTTTGTTTCAATCGTGTGCTTTTTGCTCTCACTGAAGAATGCCCACACTTTTTGGATTTCCAAGTTCCTCCTTGTTAATAGCCCTTCCTGGTATCACATCAGTAGATGTTCAAATTCAACCAAGATACAAGTATTCAAGCACACAGTATAAATATTCACTTTATATTGCTTTTACAAATATTTTTCAAATGACGAAAGTTACCTTAGCTACACCAAATCCACTAATTCTACAAATGTGGTCAAGCTGTTTTTGCGGATGGACCAACTCCTCTCTCACAAGTCGGTTTTTATGGTTACCTTGACCACTGCCTCCTATTTATGTGTGTGACCTTTTGCTTCTCAGCTGTACTCCGCAGCTTGCCTCTCATCAACACTGATGAGCTAACAGCTGTGGAAAATATCTATGACTTCCGCTTAAGTGAACAATTCGGTATATGAGACAGTGATGAGATATTGATCCTGGTAACAAGGATGCATGGCTATGTGCTTACAGGACCTATGCATAGCTTCTTCTTTTTTTAAAAAAAAAATTAAATTAATTTTCTTTTTTCTCATTACAAATATACTTATAACATACAGTTTACATAACGTCTCTCCCTCCCTCCCTTTGGACTTCCCTCAACTTCTATTTCTTATTTATTATCCTCATTATTATATTTTGCTATTTTCTACAAATATCATATTTTCCCTTTTATTACATTATTTGTTCCCTATCCATAAAATTGTGAATGTTTATTTAAGTCCTACCATCAAGTCAATATTCTTTCTTTGTTTCTGCAAATATAATATAAAGGGTTCCCACTCTTTTCCAACGTCCCTACTGTCCTTTCCCTGAAGTCTGTCTGTCAGCTTTGCCAACTCCACATAATATACATAGCTTCTTAACAGAAGAGCCCTGCTCTGCTTTGTGGACTGCTGTTTTAATCTTATTCCCTGTGTCAATATATTTTAAAATTTAGTTAAAAGCCTTTCTTAAACTGCTAAATATTTAAACATCTCTTTAAGTGGTATACAAAAATACAACAATAAAACAGTATCCTAAAAACAGCTGTATCCAAAGTTAGCTCTCTTAATCAATGTGGGTTCCTTAATTTCAATGCGTCCTAGAATCATAAAATTGTAGAATCAGAATAGAAGGGACCCTGACGGTCATCTAGTCCAACTCTCTGCAATGCAGGAATCTCAGCTAGATTGTATTTGGCAGATCACCATCCAAACTCTTAGAAACCTTTAAGGAAGGAGAGTTCACCACTTCTCATGGGAGTCTGTTCCACTGTTCATTAGCTCTTACTCTCTGAAAGTTCTTCCTGATGTTCAGTTGAAATCTCCTTTCTTGCAACTTGAATCCATTGGTTCATGCCCTAGACACGAGCAGGATAAAACAAGCTTCCTCTATATGACAGTCCTTCAGCTATTTGAAGATGGCTATCATATCTCCTCTCAGTTTCCTCTTTACCAGGCAAAACATACCCAATTCTCTCATCTATTCCTCATAAGGTTTGGTTCATCATCCTCTGCACACACTCAGATTGTTAATATCCTTTTTTAATTGTGGTTCCCAGAACTGGTCACAGTACTGCAGGTGTGGTCTGATTTCTGTTGATTGGGACACTACTGTTGATGCAGCCTAGAATTGCATTAGCTTCATATGCTGTTGCAACACACTGCTGACTCATGTTAAATTTGTGGTCTACTAAGACCCCTAGATCCTATTCACAGATACTGATAGTAAGCCAGGTGTCCTCCATCTTATATTTGTGCAGTTGGTTCTTCCTGCCTAAGTTCAGAACCTAAGGTTGTTTACACAATCATACCTCAGGCTGCGAACATGATCCGCGTGGGAGGCATGTTTGCAACCCACAGCACTCTGCGCATGTGCGTGATGTCATTTTGTGCTTCTGCGCGAGCGCCAAAACCCGGAAGTAACCCGCTCTGGTACTTTTGGGTTTGACGTGGTCAGCAACCCGAAAACCCGCAACCGCAGCATTCATAACCCAAGGTATGACTGTAACAATGTTGAAATGGGCCCAGGATAGAACCCTGCAGTACCCCATTTAACATTTTTTTCCAGGATGATGAGGAAATGTCAGTGAGCATTCTTTGGTTTCCGTCAATAAAACAGCTACAAATACACCTAACAGTTACCTTGTACAGTCCACATTTTACCAGCTTCACAAGAATATCATGGGGGACTTTGTCAAAACACTTACTGAAATCAAGATAAACTATGTTCACAACATCCCCATGAACCACCAAGCTTATAACTACAGTGGACCCTCCAGATACGAATTACATTTGATTCAAGGGTCTGTCCGCAACCCGAAAAGTCCGTAGGCAGAGGCACCGCTTCTGTGCGCAGCATGATTGAGCGCTTCTGCACACGTGTTGTAGGACCTTTCCTGGTATTGATGTCAAGCTGACCGGTTGGCAGTTACAGTACCTGGGACTTATTTCTCCCCTTTTTTGAAGATTGAGACAACATTTGCCCTCCAGTCTGCAGGGACCTCACCTGTTCTCCAAGAGTTCTCAAAGATTATAGGCCAGGAGTCAGCAACCTTTTTCAGCTGTGGGCCGGTCCACCATCCCTCAGACCATGTGGTGGGCTGAGCTATATTGGGGGGGGGGGGAATGAACGAATTCCTATGCCCCACAAATAACCCAGAGATTTAAATAAAAGGACACGTTCTACTCATGTAAATACACGCTGATTCCCGGAATATCCGTGGGCCAGATTGAGAAGGCGATTGGTTCGCATCTGGCCCCCAGGCCCCTGTTATAGACACTGAGATTACATCCGCAAGCTCTTTTAGTACCCTTGGATGCAGCTCCTCAAACCCTGAAGATCGGAATTCATTTAAATTAGGTGTTCCCTTACCACATTTCCTCCTATTTTAGGCTACAGCTCTCTCCTTGCATTGTTTATTTTTTTATTACCAGGTTGGGCACTGTTTTCCCTTTGGGTGAAGATGGAGGCAAAGTAAGTGTTGAATAGTTCCACCTCTCTGTCACCCAAATAATTTTCCATCTCTTCCACACAAGGGACCTACTACTTGCTGCTTCTATTCTAAGTAGAACTTAGTTGGATATAAACAGTATTATGAAAACAGAAATTCAGTAATGATCTTACGGTTCACGGAAAGCCTGTGCAGATAGAATATAGAATAAAATATGTAGGAGTTTGGGGTAGGTTGGAGTACTTTCTGGGACTTTCTGGATTGAAGTCAATTACTAACTTCCATTTTCACTTGTACAATACTCCAAATGATTTATGTTGCTGTATATCTGCTGTGACGCTTGTAATGTCCTTTATAATTGTGGCGTTCGTACGGAGCCCCCGGTCGTCTCACGGACTATTGACCCATAAACTACTAATCCGCTGCCACCAACCAGGTCCTCCCTGGTAAATCACTTAGTCTCAGTCAGGTTCTTAAGTTAACAAAGAAGAGTGTAGTTTATTGCAAACACAAATAAACTTTAACTGCATTCAAAACGTTGTTACTCTTTACCTTCTTAGTCTTATTTTATCCTGTCTCTAACTCTTCTACCTCCCCTCACACAAGAACCAACTGCACTATTTCCAACTGTCTGCCAACTGCTTTCCCAACTGCCTTTCCCAACCAACCAAAACTAACCCAGACCTCAGGCTGAGCCCTTTTATAAGCAGATGGGCTCCGCCTCTCACTTTTCTATTGGTCTACCTGTTAACCCTTTCTCTTCCCCCGTACAGACATTTTCAAACGAATGGGCAAACACCACAACAATATTTTTTTAAAATTGTAGCTACCGAGTTATTGTCATTAGGATCCTATGGACAACCCAGTTTGAAGCAGCTGTTTTCTCAAGATCTTCACAGTGTAAATGTGTGTGGGTGTACACAAGAAACTGTAATTGCAGTACATACGGTAATGACTGGTGTTTTTTTTAATAGGGAGGTTTTGCACAATACTTCTTTATGATAATTTAAGTATTTTACTGCTGTTTTGCTGATTGTTTTAAAGGTGTAGGGTGGAATCTGAGGTTGTACTTTAATGGAAGCCTACAGCTTCTTAATATTTTTTGGATATTGCAATCTATGCCCACTAAGCAACATACTATACTGAGAGCACTCTTGTTCAAGACCTGAATATTTCTTTTGAAAAACACAGTGGAAATGGATATTGCCCTCACACTGCCTACAAAAAATATATGCCTTAATTTCCCCCCATTCTGAAACATAACTATGGACTAACAATGTTTGCTCTTCTTCCTGTGGATTTTTTAAAAAGAGTGTGCGCACACACAGATGCAGTAATACCTGCCCATGCTCCAAGGATGGAAAAATA